TTGTTGAAATATTTGGAAGGAATTGAACGAAAACAAAGAAAGAAAAAAAGAAAAGATATTTACAAGGAATTGAAGTTAAAAAAGAAAGTAATAATAAATAAAAACATCACATTTTGTTGAGCAGTGCATCTGACAAAATAAAAACACCTCATCCCAACACATATCTTCCCTCTCTCTCTTTTTTATTATATTTTCTCGTCTCTCTCTTTTTTAATCTCTCCCTCTCTTTTTTTATTCTTTTTTCCTTGTCTCTCTCTCTCTCTCTCTCCCCCCCCCCCCCCCCCCCCTTTCTTTCTTTTTCCTTCTTCCTCTCTTGTTCTTTTCTTTCTTCTCTCTTCGTCTACTCCATCTCTCTGCTCTTTCTTCTTGCAGCCAGGCTAAATGTTAATTTAAGCTGAGAAAAAATAAAAGCCCCTGGGCTGTAGCCCAGATGAGGCTGTACTAAGGTCCATGCTTGTTCTCATCCCTCCTCTCCATCTCCCAGTCTCGAAAGCCCAGCACTTATAGTCCCATCCAACTGCACACAGGTTGCCCTTCTGGGGCATTTCGTCGAACACTTTGTGAGGGTCAAGTTTGGCTGCTCTAATGGAGGATTCCAAATGTTGTAGGGGTCAATTGACCACCCTTGCTCTTCTGTGGATCCGCCCCTGTCTATTGAGTACCATTAGCTCGCCCATTATGTTCATTAGCCATTTGACTTGGGATGTGATATAATTAAGGGGGTTTAATGCATATGATATTTTCCCATTACCTACATAATAGTTATAATGGCTTGTGACCAAAGTTGGCCCTGGGTTTTCTAAGGCCTAGGGCAAATTTTCTCAAGTGTGCCCCTTTATACAAATTAAACACTAAAATAAAAAATAAAAATGATCAATTAATTAATTTTATTAAAATTATAAGATTTTACAAAAGATATAGAAGAACACTTTGAGCCCTCATTAAAACTTTGTTTGGGGAAAATCCAATGGGACAAAACCTCAAACGAAGGAAAAGGAGTACCCCACATTGTAAACATTGCATTCACAAACAAAAACCAACTTTGGTTTGTTTAACAAAATATTTATTCAAAGATCCTCTTAAACTTTGAACAATTTCTTCTTCTTTTTTTCATTCTTTGTCTCTTGAGATTTCCAAAAGTTTTTTCTTAGGAACCATTTTTTAATTTTTCTAATAAACAAAACACAATAAAATAAAATAAAAAACTAATTAACAAAGAACAATAAAACCTGGATTTTGAGCATATTTTCAACTTGAAACTTCCAATTATAAAGAACAAGAATAACATCCAAGTTTTCTGTTGAATCAAATAATAAAGATATGTATTACAATTTACAAAATTTATACATCTCTATCTATCTATAAATAATAAATAAAATAAAAATTACCTTCAAAGAAAGGCAACGGTGCAGACCTGTTAAGGAGCAAAGAGGTGCAGCTGCACCTCACCTCGCCAGAAAAAACATCGTTGGTGCTTGAAATTGCCCATTTGCTCCTTATTTTCATCTTCAACATTTAAGTAAATGTCTTTGTCTTTTTACTTTCATTTATTTTTATATTACTCTATTTACTTAAGTTTACAATGTAAATAAGGAAGTACCCCCTATTTGGATTCAAATAAAAATACTAGAAAATCAAATTCCCCCCAAAAAATTTGAAAAATTGATTTTAGTGCAAAATAAGATTTAGGCTAAAAATGATAGCTCATTAAGTCAATATATACTTCATAATAAAATCCCATAAAATCGAGTTTTCTTATTTGATGTGTAAGGAATAAAAGCCGTCAAAAATTATCTTGAGAAAATGATTATTCCGAAAAACCATTTTTCATACTTAGTCAATATTTGTACATAGAACAATTTTTCATGTATGATATGAATGCATGAAGGGACCTAAGGTCAATCTAAGTAAAAAGCCTTAGATGTTCATCCACAAAGAGTTTTTAACCTTTTAAAATTGCACATCCGCTAAAAAATTCTTAGGTCCGCTAGTTATAGATGATTTGTTTTCCAACTCTTTGTTGGAGAAGATGAGAATCACAACCCAAAAAAAAAAAAAAAAAAAAAAAAAAAAAAAAAAGCGTTATGACCTTCTGATGAAGCTCTTATATGTTATGAAGGGTTTTTTCATCTTTTTATTTTTGGGCTAAGAAGGGTTTTTTTAAAAAAATTAATGTGGAAGAAGGTTTGTTGATTTCCCCATGTTTTGTTTATTTTGTTTTATATTATATTATATAATTACTAATTGACTTTACTTCCTCAGTAAGTTTCTTGAGAATATAAAAAGTGATTGATTTGGCTTCCTCTTTGGTACAGGTACAGCTCCTTCTAGGCGGTTTGACTTCTCTCTTTTATTTTTTAAATTATATATATAATACACATATACATAAGTCGGGAATAACAAAACAATGATATCCTCATTTCATGTAAGTGTTTCTCGCACTCTACCCACTGTGCTGAGCCCATACAACTAGTTAAACAGAGCTTGGTGCTTTATTACTTTTTAAAATACATAACATTATTTTATTGTTTTCTCCAAATTGACAAAATTCCTTGTATATAGTTGACAAAGTATTGTGGGGAAGGGTATGGTACACATGTTTAAGCCCAACCAATAGGATAGAGACGGGTGAAAAATGGAAGTTTGAAAAAATCCAAATTGGTTTGGTTCAGTTTAACCGAAGAATTTAAAACTTTATATTGTAAATCAAAGCACGTTCAACAATTTTTTTTTTTTTTTTTTTTTTTTTTATAAACCCATCAAACCGGCTTGACTAATTGGATTAATCGAGTTTATTAATTTGGGTTGGAAATGCCCAACCCTAAGACAACATTGACGTGCGGAATGAAAATTGATGATTACATTGATTTTTTATTTCTTTCTTGAATAAAAGCGTTAATTTAAACTATAAGGGGACAAAGTTTTCAGACTTTTAAGTCATGGCTCTTTTTGGTTGAATTATGAATGCAATACTAGAAGTTCTCAACAAAAAAAGGGACCCTATTGGCAATGATTACATTGATTAATTTGCAATGTGGAATACCAAAATAATTATCAAAACTAGGGTGGGCATCGAGACAGGAAAACAGGAACACTAAGTCATACCGGATGGAAAAAATTGTGTTGACTAAGAAGTCAACAAACCAGCATTGAACTGACCGAACTGGGTCAAATTGTTCAATGCTGATTTCACACCTTACAAAACTGGAGACTGGACCGACTGTGTATTTTTTTAAATATCTTTTTAAATATTTTTAAAGTACAATGCTAAATTTTTAATCCCATAATTAATATTTCCCTAAGCCTAACTTCAAACCACCTCTCTTTTCTAGGCCCAATCATCTCTCATTGCATGAAATTGGGTCATTAGTGAGTTTTTAAGCACAAAAAAAGAAAAGAAAAAAAGAAGTTGGAATTTAAAAAATATAGTGAAAAAAAATAAAAACCGAAAGTCGCACCAAAAACTAAGGGTGGGCATGGTCCAGATCGGTCCAGTTCTCACCTTAAACTAGAACTGGAATTAATATTATTTAATTGGTTCCATTCAAGCAAATTTTGTTCAAAAAATTGTCCTGTTCGGTTTTGACCAATTCTAATTATGAACCAAATTATTAAATTTTTTTTTATAAAATAAATATTATAATAAATAAGTTATTTTTTTGGTTTGAAAATTAACAAATGATCTAATTCATGCAATGAGAAATTTTTTGAAGTTAAACTTGGAAAAATATTAATTATAAAATTAAAATATAGCATTGGATTTTAGAAATTTGTAAATAAAAAAAAAAGGTTCAATTTGGTTTGGTCAACTTTGGTGCGGTGTGAAATCAAAACCAAATTGGTTGGAATCGGTTCAGTTTGATTTCGGTTTGGTTTATTGACTTTTTTGGTCAACCAATTTTTTTTTTCAATTTTTTTTTGTCGGTCCGATTTGATGTTCCGATTTTCCGATCCAGAATGCCCATAGCAGCCAGAAACGGTTTAAATTGGACCAATCGAAAAACTGGACCAAACCTTCCTGATTGAATAGTACCGATTCTAGTTTAAGATAAAAACTTAACCAAACCAAACCCCACCCCTAATCAAACCCCTGTTAATAAACTGTGTATCGTTTTTGTTAGCCCATGATTTAACCAAAGAAAACGCGTTAAGTCAGTTACCAGAAAATGACAGACTAAAATAAATCCAGGATAATCAAGTTCAGCACTACCACCAATTGTAGAAACAGTCCTCGCACCACGTGACGAGATCTCCTCCTTCTTCCCCAACCCCACACCATTTTAAACCCTATTCCTCCTATCTCTCTCTCTCTCTCCGTCTCTCTCGAGCTAAGATTTGCTTTCTCTCTCTAGATTTTGATCTAGATCGTTTTCAGGTACGAATCCTTGACGCCCTATTTTTTTATTTTTTATTTTATTTTGTAAATTTAAATTGCATTTCCAAAGATTTCTTTTGCTTCTCATTCTCCAAAATTTGATGTTGGATTTGTATCAAACCACAGCTCGATCAGATCTAGATATTGAAATAAATGTGTAATTGAATATAATCATTAGCTCACTTTTAATATTAATTTTTTGTTGTTGTAGAATTTTCACCAAATTTTTCGTTTTTATATTGTTCAATGTTTTATCAACATGGATGAAATTTGTTCAGAATATTAATTTTTGGGTTTTGTTTTTTCTAGTAGACAATAAAGGTAACTGTTATTGTCATTATTTTTCTATAATTTTCAAGGAAATTGAGGTGAATGTTAAGTTAATTGAGATCTATACACATGATTTTAGTTTGCACTTGCTGGTTTTATCTGATTGTACTGTCTTTGAAGGAACTATGGACCTACTTGAGAAATAGAATGAATAAGATCACATGTAAATTCTTAGAGCATTGCCTGGAATAAGTTTGGGGGGTTTAGACCATGCAGGTTTCATGCCAAGGAGATTGTGTAAAATCTTTCTGGTTGACAGTGTCTCTTTTTTAATGACTAAATTGCCAATATACTTATGAGAGTACAAATGTTAGTATTGAATTGTTTTTCTTCTGAAATTATATGTCTCTAATTCATTGAGTCTATTTTCTCTTATTTTAATGTGCTTGCAAAATGGGGGTTTATATTTGATGCATTGTGAATTAACTTCACGGGGTACTTGTTGATGACATATAAATAACTACTATGGTGTTGCAGCTGGTATTTGCTAGGGTGGGGTGAGGACTTTATTCTGGGAATGGAGGATGGCAAAGAGCAGCGAGTGGATGAGTCTGAAAAATCATCGCCACAGGAGGTTGTGTTCAAACTCTGGTTATGCAAGATGCATGATGCTTGTTTTTTTTTTTTTTTTTTTTTGTGTCTAGAAAGCTTTATTACTGCTGAGGAAATTTTTATTGAAAATTGTTTGTACAGAAATCATTGTATTGATATAGAGGTTTGACCCAAGTTTATTCTTTTCTTAGGAGGAAGCTATAAAGAAAAAATATGGTGGCATTATTCCCAAAAAACCACCACTAATTTCCAAGGTGATTTTTGAATTGGATATTTCTCTCATTTTATGTCTGTGGTTCCAGTTATAAAGTTTATTCTATATTTTATCTGAGACTTTGAATTTGATCTCAGGACCATGAACGTGCTTACTTCGATTCTGCTGATTGGGCTCTTGGAAAGGTACTTTTCCCAGCACTGTAGATGAACTTTTTAATTACAATGGGAAATCTCTACTCTGTGATTTACTTCATATCATTTGATTCTTTTTGGATGATAACAGCAAGGTGTTGACAAGCCAAAAGGACCACTTGAAGCCCTTCGGCCAAAATTACAGGTATCGTTCCCATTTTCAATTGAGGTTGTATCCACTTTAACTTTCTGATTTGGCTGTCCTCTACACATTTTCAATACTTATTACTTTTGTCTTAGATGATGGTTTGCGGGCTTCTTGAACCAAGTTTTGTGGCATGTTGGGAACTCCATATTTAAAAATATTCATTCTGTTGTGTCAACTAGTTGACTGCTATGAACTGATTACCTGTGCTAAAAAGTAGATGAAATTACTTTACTTTATTATTGGTGGTTTGGTTAAATGTAAGTGTTGTTCCAATGTTTTCATTAGGCCATAACTAGGGCCAATGTAGATTAGATCAGGCTTTCGGATGAGATGGCAAACTTTTATTGGGCCTGATGACATTTTATAATGTTTTCCTTAAAATATTATATTAACGTCCACCAAAGTATATTGGTTTAAGTTTAATGCAACAGATGATGGTATTCTCTTTCAGAATTATTGCATATATTATAACACATGCCAAATAGTGGCATTTTAAGCACGCTGAAAGAAGTTGCTAGAGTTGAAACACTTCCTGTATGGAGAAAGAAAAAAAAATCAAGTAGATAAACTCTGCAAAAGAATCCTTCTTCCCTTTTTTCGATACATGATTATTTCAATTGATGTCAAACTGATATCCCCCTCCCCTACCCTTCTTATGCGTTACCAGTTTTACAGAAGAACGAGATAATTTACACATTGCATTGTTCTCTTTAGTTATTTTAGGGCCTCTTTAATGCTCTTTTTCATGCTTCAGCCCACACAGCAGCAAACACGATACAGAAAGTCTCCATGTGCTCCATCAGATGGTGAAGGTATGCTAATCATTAGAACTCTGTAAATCTGTTTCGGCTAGATACTTAAATCTTTCCATATTGTTTTTCCCAACCAGAAGAAAAGTAAAAAAAGAAAGAATAGAAAAGCCATTTACCTTTTTGTTCTAATTTATGTAGATGGAGGAAGTGCTCCTTCTGAGGATTCAGCTGCCAATGAATGAGAGTGCTTTCGGTCTTTTAATCCTCTGAGACCTATCGACTGTTATTATGGTACCTATATTGGTGATGGATGATATTCTGTTGTTCCTGAAAACAAACTTGGTGAAGATGATGTGAACTTAAGCTATAATGAAAAAAGAGAAATGCATTACACCAACATTCCTACAGTTGAAACTAATCCATAACTTCTGGTGTTCCAAGTTTTGTTGTGGGACATTATTGCTTTCGTTATTAATGATGGAAGAGCTATTTGCAAAATTTTAAAAATTTATTGAGTTTTCAGGTCCGTATTTAGGGCTTAGCTTAAGACTGGATTCTTCTGTCTCATAAAAAAATCCAGTTAACGTGTATTGTATTCTGATAAACGCATTTTAGTAGTTTCATAACAAATCTTACAATTTAAAATTTTAATTTTACATAAAAGTTAAAGAAGTCTTATATATTGCCGTGGTCGTTGTAATTTGGGGTGTATTTGTTTTCGGATCAGAAAGAGTAATGCCAAGGAAATTACATTATTGTACTACATTGTGTTTCATCTCTCTTATTTATTTTTGGTTTTTGGAAACCCGACATCCAATTTAATATTAAAAAAGGGTGTTTAGCAGCCCAAAAATAGTATTTTCAGGAAAAGATCAAACATTGTTTTCCAAGTTTTTTCTTCAAGTCATCGCAACATTGCATGGACGATTCAGGAAGGACGATAGTGTTTCTTCCGTCACTTCTTGAGGAGTCGCCCCTAATGGTCTCGCTTTTAGATAAAACTTTCCTTAAAATTGGTCATGTGTCTTGATGTGATCAACTTGAAAATGGTTTTTTCAGGGGATAAAAAAGAAGAAGCTCATTTTAGTCATGAAACTCATATTTTTTTCTCAACAAGGTCATCTCTTCTCCACTTGTTAGCACATATAGGCCTCGTTTGGTGGGTTGGACTAGACTGGTTAAGATTAGGCTTGAAGTATTGGACTAGACTGGGCTATACTTGAATCCTATTCAACTGTTTGGTAGAACACTAGACTGGACTGGACACGACACACTGGACAACATTGGACTTCATTTTTTTATAAAAAATTTCAAAAAGAATTTACTGTTTATTTAATTATTTAATATCATAAATAAATAATTAAAAATGTATCAAATTACAGAACCAATATTTATATAAAAAAATTATTATAGAACCATCACATTCAAAGAGATTGGGACTTCAATAAAAAAAAAAATATATATATATAAAGAGATCGAGCCTGTCTTAAAAATATTAAAAAGAAAAAAAAAAGATTGGAACCTACAATCGAACATGTAACAAAATCCAACAAAATAAAATCAACATATCTAACTTACTCAGCACAATTGAGATCAATTCGATCAACCCATTAACCACTATTAACAACAATAGTAAAAAAATAAAAATTATTGCAGCCAAAAGGAGATGGAGAAAATCTGGGATTCCCCTATTACAGCCAATGGTCTTTGCATCTTGGACCAGAAACAAACATAAGTAGAAAAAAAAGAAAAAAAAAGAAAAGGAAATATGAGATAGCATTGAAGAGATTGAAGTGAGAAGATTTGCATCAATGGTCTTTGCATCAAGCCCACCCTTTTCCTTCCATTTTTCTTGTTCCTATTTCCAAGAGAGAGATTGAAGTGAGAAGATTGCTTGAAATATGAGATAGCATCAGAGAAGAAGATGAATAGAAGAACAGAAGAAGAAAGGGGGCGCTAGAAAAAAGAAAAGAAAAAAAAGAGTGAGGAGAAAATCACAAAGATAGAAAGAGAGGAAGAGAGAAGAGAGAGGGGAAGAGAAAGGAGATGAAACTGATGAGAGGAGGCGTGCTCGCCAAGGAAGAGAGAAGAGGCTTGGGTTCTGGAGCTATAGTTATTTGGGACATGGATCCCAAGCTCATATCCAATCCAAGACTAATTTAAGTTCACCAAATAATGGCTAGGATCTATGTCCATTTTAATTGAAAATATACAGTATAGTCCAGTCCATCAAATGGGGCCATAGGTTCCATCAAAGAGAGCCAATAGCACTGTTGAGCAAAAGAAGTAAGCTTTGCTTTGTGTTAAGGTTGAATAGGTTGTGTTTTGACAAAAACTCACATTCAAAGTTAGTCATGTAACCAATTTTAACGAATATTTTGACGTAATGCAAGAATGATCTCTTTTTCATACTCGTGACTCAACCTAATTGAACCGCAGTTTCTCGGTTTAAAATTCCAGCCCTACTTTTTATTTTGGCAACGCAACAAATATTTCTCTTGTGCATGGTTTGGGCACCTTTATAATAAAAGAACAAAAGAAAAGAAAAGGAAGATTCTAATTGATAATTAGGCCGGAAATGCAAAATTGGATGCATATATTAACAGAACAGTAGTAGTAGGTCATAAAAAAGCTCAGAAAACTCAAAAATAAGAAGGAAAAAAAAAGGCAGGGCTAGCGAAGATGGAGACCGTGAGAGCGAGCAAAGCGAAGACGAAAGGCCTCAACGACAAGCTGTCTCTCGAAGATTACCTTCTCCTCATTCAATCTCACTCCCACCTCCATCTCACCAAACTTCATCTCAATCAGGTTCTTCTTCTTCTTCGTCTTCTTCATCTAATTTAGCTGCATTTTCCTTTTTATTTCTGAACTAATTTCATCTTCTTTTCGGAATTTTGGTTTTTCAGATCATCAGCATGCACGGTTACAAGAAACTCCACAAAGTTCCCAAGGTAAAATTTCATTCCCTTTTAGCATATGTTTGGTTCCAGAGAAAATTTTATGAATTAGTACTGTAATTTCCATTCTCGTTTAATTCTTTGTTTTTTCAGTTGAAATTTGCTTGAGATCTTCCCCGATTTTCTCACACTTTCTCGGAAACCAAACGAATCCTAACCAATCACATTTCCCTCTGTTTTTCCCCAATTTTTCTACTCTCAAGAAACTTCTAAACGACGCCGTGAGCACACTGACCCTGGTCGAGCCGAGCCGCTCTACGCTCAGAAAGTACGTCTCTCCCTTGGTCATCACTACGCTCGAGGACGTGGTCGCCGACCTCGACCACCTCAACTGGAAAGAGTGCTGCATCACCTCCATCGAAACTCTGAGCTCATGGCAAAACGCCCACTCTTCCCTTCCTCTGACGAGCCCTCAACAGGACGTCGTCCGCTACAGCAAGCATCAACCATCGGCGCTCCTGGCCCTGGATTCGACACCCTACGTCGCCGTTTCTGCTCCTGACGGCGCTTCGTTGCCGTCTAGAGCTTCAGAGACCGCTCGTCATCCAGCGAAGAAATTGGCGCCGAAGAGGAAGAGGAAGACGTTGCCGAGAGGCGGCGGTGGAGGTGGCGCTCATGCCGCTTTGGATTCTGTTTCGTACGGATCGTGCTGACGTCATAGGTAACGGATCGTCACGTTTTGTTTGTGATTTATTATTTTCTTTGTTTTGTCTTTTTTATATTTTAATTTCTTTTTCGCAGCACCCAGAGCAATTTTCAGTCCTTCGCGTTGTCGTGGCGGGGTTTTGGTACAGGATTTGTGCTCCCTCAGTGGGTTAGTTAAGGAGTGTGAATTTCGTGAAAGGGAAAGGGTATTTCTGTACATTCCTTTCAGACAGTGGTAAACTTGTGTTTTACAGGTAGTATTAAGGGTATTTCAGTCTATTAGTATCACAAATTGCATTCGGATTTCATCCCTAATTGGTGTTAAAGTATTTTATTAGTATCTTAAATTGAGAAAAATGGGACTTACCACTCTGTTGCGTTCATTGTGTGCTATTTCTTCTACCATTCAACTTTTTTATTATTATTATTTATTTTTATGCCTTCAAAGGGGTTCAAGAAAAACTGCAAACAGTCGCCATATTAATGTGAACATCATACATAACTTCATACCTAATAGTTTGGGCAGGGGCTTAAGCGTAATTAGCTATAAATATTAATTTTGCTGACATTAAAAATGAAGTATCATGAGGAGATTGGTGAGGAAGCAATCCCAAACCCAAAACATAACAATCGAAAAATAAGAAACAATTTTCACAAAGAGGCAAAATTATCTGAAACCCATCCTTAGAAACTTGGAGTTGGAGCTGGTGACTTGAATGGTATTACGCTCATGAATTGCGTTTCTTTTCCGAGAATTTGATGCAGAGACAGAGGAAGAGAACGAAAGAGTTGCAGTTGGTAGAGGAGCCACCAGGAGGTTGGTTATATCTGCAAGAGGCTCCCTCCTTAACCCTATGCTACTACATCTCTGGGAAGATGACCCGTTTTCACGAACCGGGGCGGTCAGCTTTGCCCTTGGGAAGAATGGAGGGATCGTGTTCTCTTTGTCGCTGTGGTCAGGGCAAGCAACGGCCTCCATTTATGATAACTTTGAGAGTCCGGGACACTTTTTTTCCTTCTTTTGATACAAATACAAGCGATATTGGAGGATGGGGAATCGAACCTAGTAACTCGGGTGCAAGTGTAAATACTCTCAATCACTTGAGTTACAAACCTCTTCCAAGACACAAACTTTTTGAATCGATGGCTGTTGATGGACTTGGGCATCAGAGCAGGGAGGGAGTGAGCTGCTATTTGTAATGTCTGTTTGTGGGATGGCTATTTATTTTGGAGGGATGTTTGAATCTTTCTTGTTTTCTTCAGCTCAAAATTTCATTTTGGGTGTTGGGATTTTGTTTTGGAAGGTTGAAATTTTTGTGATTGCGGTCCTGTGGCAATTAGGAGAGTTCGAAATTTTGACGTGGCAACTGGTAAATGCCGGAAGGTGAGAAAGCGTTGAAAAAAGTTCATGAATTCCTTCCCGGGTCATTTGTAAAAGTAGAAAGGCGGGGAGGGGAAGGAGAGCCAAATCTCAAACCCAAATGTCACTCAAATCAAGATTTGGCTTCTTTTATGTTTTTTCAATTGGCGCCATTTGGAGACGGGAAATTTTGGACACTAAATTTTTTTTTTTTTTTTTTTTTTTTTTTTTTTTTTCTCCATGGGGAGCTCTACATTAGGATTGCTAAATTCAGGGTACTAATTTAAGTATTTGCAATTTCTCTTTTTTTGTTAACTTTTCTTAAAGTTAATTATATTTTATATTATCTCAATTTTTCTTAATTAACATGTCAACCTAAAAAAATTCAAATTCCAACAAGAAAAAATGAGAGTAAATCAAAGAAAATGATGGAAAGTGTAGATGTTGCAAAAACCTAATCAAAATAGTTGAATATAAGTATAGTAAATTGAAACTTTTGTGTGAGATGGGTGAATCTTAAAAACATAGCAAAAAATAGTCATTAATATTGATTGAATAATTGTCTTTGGATAAATATGAATCCACCAATATAAATTAATTAGTGGGTGCTAGTGAGGTATAGATCAGTTGGTTGCACTCTTTCACCTCTACTCATGTGGATAGAGGTTCGAAGTCTCCAGGCACTCAATGAATATTTGTGTAAACTCCCCCTCCCCTAATCTATTGTACTAAAAAATCTATCATAGATGAAGACAAATTAAAATATATGTCTTCATCTATGATAATTATCCAATAAAATTTTGATTGAATTCAAAATTCTTTTTATTAAAGAAATAGATCATTTACATGATTTTTTTAATTTTTTTGGCTTATTTACTGTAGTACCTCATGAAACTTTGATCAAATCTCACTTTGTCCCCCGGAAAATTAAAGTAACCCACTTAACCCTCTTGACCATGGTTTTGTGTTCCACTTTACCCCAAATCGTTAAATCCATCCAAAAGCGTGTTAAAATTGCTAACATGACATGGATATTTGAGTCATTTTTAACACAGGGGTTATTTACCCACCAATCTTATAAGAGCCTTTCCATCGGATGAGCCCAGCCCGAGGCTAGGGGGAAAAAAAAATTGTGTTCCAGCGGAGCAGCCCAGGCCCGGGGGGGGGTGTGGGACCCACCACCCCGGGCTGGCCCGAAGACAACTTCTGCCTGAGGTCCAAAACGAGGGGGGTTACTGTAGCGCTACAGTATCTGCTACAGTACTGCTATAGTACCTCGCTGATTTGATTTTTTTTCCTGTTGCCACGTGGCGTCGTTTGGGCTCTCCGATCTGATTTTTTCCTCCAATCCAACGGCAGCCAATTTTTTTGCAATAAAATACTGGAAAAAATTCGGAAAATTTTTTAAAAAATACCCAAAAATTAATGAATTTTTTTCTATTTTTTTTTTTTTTTATTTATTTTAAATATCTGAAATTGAAAATTTTATCCGATTATGAGATATGAATAGTATTGACACGTAGGAACCCGAAAATCTTATCCGAAAATATTATACAAATTAATTATTGAGGTAAAAAAAGTTGTGAATAAAACAAAAAAATGAATAGTAACTGCCCTTAACAAGGGCAACGGGTAGAAACACAAAATTCGGATTTTGCAAGGGCAACCACTATTCACGTGAATAGTGGTTGCCCTAGCTCCCCCCTTGCCATGGCTAAGGGCAAATGGGTGGAATTGCTCTAAGGCAAAATGGATCCCACATCTAGCATGCACAAAAAAACAAATAAAAAATTTATTTACTTTTTAAAAATTAAAAAAATCAATTACATATCATAATTACATAAAAAATTACAAAATCAATTTCCCAACCTCCCTCAGCAGCACCAACCCAAACCTAGCCGATTTCCCATCCACAACTCTCCCCCACCAACCCAACACCATCCCCTCCCTTCTCTTCCCCTCATCTTTCTCCCTTTCCAGCAGACGAGGCACATTCATTCAAGAAAGACTGCACCGAGCTCAAATCCAAGATGGAGAAGCTCGCCGGCCTCCTCCTCCAAGCGACCCTCACCACACAACCCAAAGCCACCCTCACCACCACCACTCCAAACCCGCTGGAAAATCACCCACCTCCCCCACAACCCACTGCACTGCACCCACCTTCAACCCCACAGAGCATCGAGCACAAACTTGGTTGTCCACTATGACCATCTCTCCCTCGAATAACCCAAAGGCCGATACCGAGACGATGTCTGATATATCAGAGTCGCTCCACCCACTGCGTCACAAAGCAAACCCGATTTGATCGATGTATTGGTTGGCCCATTTTGGAATTTCGGACCTCGATGGCATTTCGAAGAACCGCTTAGGCGATGAGGACGCTGATGACGACGAGTTCGAGTTCTTCCGGTGACGATCCACGACGATGTCGCTCCAGAACTCGACCCATCTCGGTGTTTTGCCTCCGGACTCGAAACATGTATCCAAACTCCTTTGCGAGAAATTCGTCTACAACCCGACCGATTGTTCACTCATTGACCTTTGCTTCTTGAGAATATGAGGGTCGGAGTGCGATTTCAGAAACAAAGACTTGAGATTTCATTTTTTTTGCCTTCTTCTAGTTCAATTTAATAACTAGAGATGGGAATGCCAACCCCAACCTTGGAGGTAGACGACCAAGCCCATTCATCAACCCCAGTGAATATTTAGTAGGCACTTTGGGTTGCCCATCAACCCTTCCAAGAGGTCAAGATCGAAGTTTTAAATGGCAAATTTTGGGGGTTCATGGGGTCAAGTGACCCCATTTGTCCTAGTGTGCACCTATTTCTGGTGGTTGTGGTCTGATGGTGAAGTTTAGGGGTGATTGCGGTTCGTTAACCGCGAATTTTTGCTCAAATCGCGAACCAACCGACTATTTGCGGTATGGTGATTTTCCAAACCGCGAACCGACCGCAATTTGCGGTAAACCACAAATTGCGGTCGGTTACCGCGAATTAGCGGTTTAAAACCGTAAGTTCTCAAGCATTCACAAAAAATATAAATTCACAACCTAAATAAATAAATACACAACCTCAACTTCTCAAACATATTATAAATTCACAATCTCCTCAAGCATATTATAAATTGACAACCTAAAGAAAATTAAAGTTACAATTCCAAGCATTCCAATTAAAGTTATACTTCTCAAGCATTCTAATTCCAAATCCTTTAAAGTTACAAACCAAATGCAAAATGCAAAGCAAAATGAATTAAAGTTACAACCAAAAAGAAAAATACAATTCAAAGTTAATTAAAGTTACAATATAAAAAGAAAATGCAATGCATTACACACTAAAGTTACAAACTCAAGTGTTGGTGGTGAGTGGATTTGAAGAACCCCGTTGTGTTGTTTGAGCACCAATGCTATCTACAAATAAAACAACATAGTTTAGTACATTTTATTATAAGAATAAGCATAAATAACATTAGCATAAATAAACTAATTACTTACAAGTTGTTATATGTTCCATTTCCTTGTAGAATTCAACCTCATCATCCGTTGGTTCCTTGTAAAAGGAAAATTCGTCTGCTCTAAGCCAATCACTAGTACACACTAATGCCTCTATCATTTTATGATGCAAAGAGCTTCTAAAAAGATCCACAATCCTCTTGCCTAGGCTAAAAGCATTTTCACTGGCAACCGTAGAATTTGGAATTGCAAAGATATCCTTGGCAACTTGCGAAAGAATATGATATCTTTTTTGGTTCCCTTTCCACCAATTCAAGAGATTGAATTGTTTGCTCAAGGGGCTCTCAAAAGGATCCATCAAGTACTTATCCACTTCATTGGATATCTCAACGGATTGCTCATCCTTCCTCTTTTGCACAAGTTGTTGCATTAGTTGAAATGTGACATCAACATCATCACCAATTTGTGCAACCTCATCATCAATCTCATCCTCATCAATTTGGCTCACACCCCCTCCAACCTCTTTATACTCATTATACAATTCATTCAAACACTTTACAACCTCCTTCACAATCTCATCTTGCTTTCTAGCATCTACCCCAAGATTCCCAAAGCTTATTTGGAGCATTTGAAGCTTCATCCTTAGGTCTAGCACATTGCCCAAAAATATAAGCTTATTCACAACATCAAAGCTCCCCCAATATTTGTCAAATTTCAACTTCATTAAAGATGCTACCCGTTGCATAGTAGGATTTCTAGGATCCTTCATTTTAGCTTCTATTTGAACTTGTAAAGCAACCAATTCTAGGAAAATTATTGTGGATGTACAAGTTTTGGTTGCACTAAGTTTCAATGTAGCATCATAAATTTTTTTGAGAAAATGCACAAAAGCTAATGCCTTCTCCCAATCATCATCTTTTGGAGGTCCCACTCTCTTAACCATCACTTTCTTAACTTTTTCTTCCTCTAGAAAATAAGCTTGAAACACCTCACAAGAATATGCCATCTTCTCAAAAACTTGCCTATATTTGAATGCACCTTCAAGCATTTTATAGGTTGCATTCCACCTTGTAGGCACATCCATTGGCACATTTGCCATCTTGTCCATCCTACATGCAATGGCAAACTCTCTAAACTTATCCAACCTTGCCGGAGAAGAGTGAATAAACTTCACACAATTTCTTATACCCTCAATTGAGGCACTAAGCTCCTTCAACCCATCCTTAACAATTAAATTAAGAATGTGACAAGCACACCTCAAGTGCAAGTACTTCCCATCCAACATTAAGGTGTTCATTGCCTTTAGGCTTTGTGCCATGTACTCAACCGCCCCATCATTGGCGGAAGCATTATCAACGGTAATTGTGAACACTTTATGTATGCCCCAATCCGTCAAACATGCATCTAGGGTTTTTCCTATGTCAATGCCCTTATGACTAGTGATCTTTGTGAAACTAATTATTCTTTTGTGTAAGTTCCAATCACTATCCATGAAGTGGATCGTCACAACCATGTAATTTATGTTTTGGATCGATGTCCAAGTATCGGTTGTGATACTAACTCTTTGCTCACCAATCACACTCATTATCTTTACCTTTTCAACCATGAATAACTCCCACACCCCCTCGGAAACCTTCTTCCTACTTGGTACCTTAAAACGAGGTTGCACCTCGTTCATCATTTCCTTAAAACCCGAGCCCTCAACGACTCTAAAAGGATGCTCATCCTTAATGATGAACTTCACAACCTTTAACTCACATTTTTTTTGATTGAATGTGTGAGGAACCAATCCACTACCCATTGTATACGTTGTCAAAGAAGGTTGATTTGCATCACCTTGTTGTTGATAGAGAGGAGAGAGCTTGCATCTCATTTCTATGTGATTTTTTAAACCCGTTGTCCCATTTTTTCTAGGGTCCGCCGGCATCTCCAATTTGCAATAATTGCAAACCCCTATAACCTTCTCTACCCCATTATCATCATTCTTTATTTGTTTTGTGCAATGTAACCACACAATCGACTTTGGTGCTTTCCTCCTATCTCCCACCATAAACCCCTCACTTGTGGGATTTTGTGTTTGAGTTGGAGATTGTGTTTCGGGTGTATCGGTTTGTGTTTAGGGATTAGAGGCATTAGGTGTGTTAGAGTGGCTAGACTCCATCTATAACACAACACAACACAAAAGCAACAACATAAAATAATATTAATAACATTAACAGATTCAAAACATATTCACATATTCAAAACAGATTCACAGATTCAAAACAGATTCAAAACAGATTCAAAACAACATTAACAGATTCACAACAGATTCACAGATTCAAAACAGATTCACAGATTCAGAACAGATTCACAGATTCAAAACAACATTAACATATTCAAAACAGATTCACAGATTCAAAACAACATTAACAGATTCAAAACAGATTCACTGATTCAGAACAGATTCACAGATTCAAAACAACATTAACATATCCCAGAATTAACATTAACAGATTCCAGAATTAAGATAACAGATTCAAAACCAAGCTGAAACCAAATACAAAAATACAGAACTTACCTCTGCAAAACCAAATGCTCCAAGCTTAAAACAGAAATCTCCAAACAGTTTCACTTCAGCAACAATCCCTGCAAAAATCAATAACCGGTTTGTCTTAATGGAAACTATTTAACCAGTAAGATAAACAATAAACCATTTCAGAGCATCAGACAAACATTAATAAAAAGGTATCCTTTTGAAATGGATTTCAGGGCAGGAAAGAACATTATAATTCAATCAGTACACAAAAGAATAATGCCTCATATACATCCTCATATATATAAGCAGAAAATGAGAACGAGTCGGATCCAAAGACTACTTATTTTTCCATTAGTGAGATAGGTTCTGTCTGTAGGTATAAAAATAAAATGATGAATGTCTAAACTCTATAGCCACTAAAATCCCATCAACAAACTCAGTTCAAGGGTTTTGATTTCGATTGCGATTATAGGTTTGGTTTCTTTGACCTAAAAATCCCATCAAATTTAACATTACAAATTCCCAATTAAAACCTAAAACCCTATCTTTGAAACAATTAATTTCAGAAATTGGAACACCATAATTTACCTCCAAAATTGGTTATAGTGGTGGCCGACGGGTTTGAGAGTGGCTGTTGATAGTGGTGGGTGACGGGTTTCGGCCTAGGAAAACCTTATCGGCTGAGAGCGGCTGTTGAGCTTGAGACAGAGAGAGAGACAGAGAGAGAGCTTGAGTTGAGTGAGCGTGCTGGAGGTTCAGTTGAGAGAGAAGAGAGAATTGAGATTGAGAGAAAGAAAGAGAGGAGATGGGTTTGATTCGGGTTTGTGAGAGAGAAGCGTATTTTCAAAGTTGAGAGAGAGAGAGAGAGAGTCGAATGAGAATCAGTGAGAGTGAGATCGCAATTGCATCTAACGGCTAGAGATAAGGCTACAGACAATTAAATGGAAATAAGGCTGTAGAGTATAGCCATGCGGCTATACTTTGAGGTTTGCGGTAACCGCAGTATTTGAATATCCAAGGATTAAAATATCGGCCGTGCAGATAATATTGGGCCTCCAATTTACGGATATTTCGAGGGATATATCGTTATCGTTTTGGGTATCGGGAAAAAATCAACAAAAATGACAGATATAAGCATTGAAACACATAATTTTGGTGTAAAACTTTCATAGATGTTATGTACATTGTCAATGAATGTATTGAACAAATAAAACTCAAAATTTATTAATAATAAGATATATATATATATATATATATGATGAAATATAAGTGGTATGTAATACGCGTAATAATAAAAAGTTGATTAGAATTGAATAAACCATGCATAAATCCATAGTTTATTTGAACATTGGATTACAATTTAGATGAGTGTCCAACTACATAAATGAAGAGCTCCTATGAGGTTCAAACAATGTGGAACAACCATCTAGATTCATACAATAATCATACCAAGTCATGTAACCCGAGTAGTTTGTAAGCCATGTTTGAACATGGTGCACATATGACTCTCTTGAGCTCCCTACTGTCCTCCCATATATGGGATAGTTAGGATTAACTCAACTAGTAGGTCCATAATCTGTTTCATCATCTTGAGCTCCATATCTAGTTCCACTATAATCAGACATGACATAACCATAGCCATCATAAGATTCATTTGAGTTAGTACTAGGTCTAGATTCTTTTGATGCATACTCTAAAACATGCATACTCCAAAACATCTTTTGAATTGAATATTGCCAAAAGCCTTCACACATATATCTAATCACTGCACATATACCTCCAAAAAATCTTTTCAATTTCAATTTGCTTCAAAACTTTTGAATTTTTTTGGGTTTTGTTATGGGTATCGGGAAATATCGGAAATATCGGCAAAATATCGGGGATATCGCACTTTTCGGGGATATATCGTCGATATCGGGGAAGATATGGCCTTACCCCCCAATATCGGTGTCGACAGTTCAAAATATCGATATATCGGCCGATATATCGATGTATCGGCCGATATTTCAATCCTTGTGAATATCAAATACCGCAACCGCAAATACGGTTCGGTTTTTAATACCGCAAATGCGGTTCGGTTTACCGCGATTGCGGTTTTATTTCGGTAAATTGTCGGTTGGTTTTTGCGGTTTTTTCGGTTCAAAATGCCACCCCTAGTGAGGTTAGGGGAAAGGGAGCGAACGAAAGTGATGAAGAAGAAGAGATTTTTTTAAAAAATTTTAATTTAAAAAAATATTAATTTTTCTATTTATATATATATATATATATATTTAATTATACAAATAATTACATGATTTAATTATATTATTTTAATTTTTATTCCACTTAAGGAAAAAAAGTGGGTGCTGTATATGACACATCATCATTTGTTATAAAAAGACGGAAATAGCCTTGTCACGTCATCAAAATTGACGGAGTTATAGCACTTCCACCCATTTGCTACGGCAAAATGCAAAGGGAGGCAAAGGCAGTTACTGTTCATGTGAATAGTGACTGCCTTAGTAATTTGTTTGATGCATTCTCACCTATTGCCATGGCAACCCAAGGGACACTACTATTCACATGAGATATGAGGAGAGAAATTTGTATGAAATTTTGGTGTAGGAAGTGAAGAAGATGGCTAGGTATTTATAGAAAACAATTTCTGAAATTTTTGGTTTTTGATTTTTTTTGTATTTAAATTGGTTGATGATGTCACAATGACGTTAGCGTGACATCAGCTTGCCCAGATTGGTGGAGCCTAGCGCTTGCCCTGGCAAGCCTTGGCGACTAGAAACGGGATTGGGGGCCTCTTGCTTGGGTTAGCCCCTCCGCTAGAAGTGCTCTTATAAATAGAGATAATCACAGTGGGCAAAGTGAAACACAAAATCATGATCAAGGGGGTGAAGTTGACCACTTTAACTTTTCAGAGGGTAAAGTGAGATTTGACCAAAATTTTAGGGAGCATTACATTATATTTTTTTTTTTTTTTTTTTTTTTTTTTCTCTTCTTCTTTTTTTTTACATTGATTCTTTATTTCAACCTACATGTTTGTGGGACAGACTTAAATATGAAAGGTATATCGGTCATTCCGTGGATAGCAAATGTCAAATTGTTGTGGAGTTTAAAGTGAGGAGGCTATTTGAAGAAGCCAATCCCACCATCAAAACATTTAAAATGTTTAAGTCCCACGATTTCTTTACATTTGTTGATGATGAGATTGGCCTCCACACATTAAACTCCTCATTGTAGCATCTCCCGAATATGTTGATTGAACCTACATGGCCGTCAAAGAGTATAGCCCATACGCAATTATGGAATTTACCTTCGTCTCTTTTAGCAATAATTATATATCAAATTAATGAGTGTCACCTTTCCACTGAAAGTTGCAAAAAAATTAGTGTAGTTCCCAGTATATTAGGTTTAAAACTGACAAGAAATCCAACAATGCAACACACAGATCATAGGCCCGCCCCACAACAAATTAAAGCCCAAATCCAAGCATAAAGTTTAGTCCACACCTAAAGTAGGAGATTTTTCAGTACCTAGCCTAAGCACACCAAAGCTGCCGCCGGCGTTGTGAGGACAGGGACCATCGCCACCGTGGCCAATATTGAGAGGTCATAGCGCCACCATGGCCAATATTAAGACCCACATATCTACCACCATAACCAAACTCTTACATGGAAAAGTTAAAACCCTACACCTAATTATGAAGGGTACTAGGATAATGACTGTTCCACGGATAGCACATGTCAAACATGAGAGTATGACGGTCAAGCCTACATGGGCCAGTGGGGCTTATACTCATACACATTAAAAGCAATTAGCAGCATCTCTTTTTCCAACAATTATATCAAAATATTTAAATTGGTCCGACCAACTAAAGCTGCAATAAAATCGTGTAGTTCCCCAGATAATAGGAACAAATCCGAAGAAAAATGTTTGATGGGTGTGGACAACTTGGAGACCAAGATCATCGTCTCTGGATTTACAATGAAGAGACTACGATGTCATTTGTGATGGTAACATTTTGTTCACCTGTTTTGATCTAATCATGTAATGATAGGGTAAAGTTTCTCATTGACTTGAAAATCATTGGTGGTCAACAAATTAACTTTCTTTGGTGTGTGAACGTGCCACTGTTAGCAATTAAAAACTCTAATTAACTTATGAAACAAAGATAACTTGCGCTCCAAGTTACTGACTTTAACAAGTAACTGTAAATTTGGGTGAGGAATATATCTCAAGTGAGTTCTTTTCTTGCCTTAGACTGGTGAGGACTTCATAATTTATCACAGTAAACTAGTAGTTTTGGCCAAAATGAATATTGAAAATAAATCAAACTGTTTAAAAAAAAAAAGAAACTGCCTGTTAGACCATCTCCAACCATGTTGGGGTTAAACTCAAATTTTCACCCTCCAAAATACAACTATTCATGTATTTTCAGGACTCAAAATTTTTTTTCCTCCAACCTTGCAGACTCATAATTTGAGTCCGCAACTTTACTAAATTGTTTAAGAATGATTAACCCCTAAATTTTGTTTCTTGTTAATTTTTCTTGACATTATTTTTGTTTCAACACTTGTGATTTAATTTTCTAAACATTTTAACCTAAAAAAATTAAAATTCCAAAACATAATTGAATTTCACTTAAAAAATAAAAATAAGTACAATACCATACGTATGCCGGGAATAATTCGAACTCTTCATTGAATTATGTAAGTGTGTTTAAATTATCTAAACATTTTTAAATAAATGACAATCATTAAATTTTGCCGTTGAGATTGCTTAAAATTAATCATGATTATTGATTACAAATATAGTTGTTGGAATATTTAAAATTTAAAAAAAAAAACAAACCAGCAACATCAGATTTTTTGCACAAAGTTGTTGCCCAAAAAGAATAACCAAAACTGGGCCCAGCAAACATTGTGCAGCACGTGGGCTTCAGTCAGGAAAAAATAATTAAAAAAACAGATTTTGGGCCCACAAAATTATCAGTCCAGGCAAAAATGGGACTGGAATTCCACCCAAGATTTGAGATTTCTCAAATTTTCACCCTCCAAAATACATGGGTTGGAGATGGTTTTTAGAGGCTAAACTCAAAATTTGAGTTTCCACCCAAAGGGTTGGAGATGGTCTTATAGAACTCTTAGGACAAAAGGGAACTGCCATGTCTGCAAGGAGAATAGAACATTGGGCTTCGATTTCTGCCTGGATTGTTGCCTATGACTCAGGCTGGATTGGGTGTAACTATGCTGAATTCAAACGTCAGCACCTTCAACTGATCAAGTTTAGCTGGAAATTGATACCAATGTCGGGATTGGCAGAGCTCTTAATCTATTCTAGCCACGGGGAGGCTTGCAAGATGGACGTAATTGAGATTTCTTCAGTCTGGATGGGGCTGTGAGTGACTAGATTGATTATTATTGACCTGGAGCTGCACTACAACACTTGTTCTGCTTGATATGAATAATCCAAGAGCTATTCTAGCGATTTTGAGAGCTCAAGGTGTCTCTGTAAATTTGTTGAGGTTTTCATGTTATGAAAAACTCGAATTCTGCTTGATTTGGCTTGTGCTGAACCAAATTTGTAATATTCGCACTAAATCTGAATAGATAAGAGTTTAGGCTAACTTACAAGTATTCTGGTGGTTGAGGACCGAAGTGACCTTCTTCCATGATGTCTGAAGGTCCGAGCGGAGGCTGAATCCAACTTTAGGAGGGGATACCGGTGTGGTACCTGCCGAAGGTACTCCGATGCCAAAGTCAGGGACTAAGAGCGATTTTATTGACAGTGGAAGCACTAATCAAGTCAGAAAGTCTTACCACTTGGCTGGGCTAAGGGGCTCTATTTATAGAGAGCATTTGTGATGCTCTTAGCACTTAGTTTCGATGTGGGACTTGTGAAAGTGTCTTCGGAGGTCGACACGTGATTCTGACAGGCTCTGGCAAGAATTCTGAGGCAGTCTGTCAGAATCGGATTGATGTGATGGTTGGTCGATCGGTAGACAATATCGAAGGTTGGCGTAGGTAGTGATGCTGCGTTACCGACCAACTGAATTGGTACCGAGTGCCGAGAAAACATTCGGTATGGCCCCGGTTGAGCTGGTCTCTTGCTTTGAGGACGTTCCACGTGTCGCGATGTGAGTGGGTGGTCAGATATGGTACAAACATGTAATGAGAGAAATTTCGTTTTCTTTGTAAATTATTTTTCTGAATTGAACTGAAACCATAAACTTGAGTTCTGATTGATCTGTCTTTTGTGAATCAAAGGGGTTTGATTGCTTTGGAGTATGAAGACTTTTTGAGATCAACTGATCTTGTTTTGAATTTGTCAGTGTGACTTTGAGAGTTTTTGTTATGATTGAATTTTTGGCTGTCCTTCACCCTGTTAAATTCCTCTCATATTTATAGAGAATATGAATGAGTCTTTATTCTTTAATATCTAGGGGCAGATCTTTTTGAAAAAGATTTCCCTTTCTAATGCAAAGAAAGGGGAAGTTATTAACCTGGCAAAAAAGAACCATCAACAGCAAGTTTCTGTGATGATCTATTTGCTTTTTTTTTCTTCTGAAAAAACCAATTCTCTTGTTCTTTGTTTGTTTCTTGCAAAGCATACCCTGTCATGATGGTCCGTTTGCTTTTTCTGGCAAACAACTTTCCTGCTCACCTGTTTATCTCTTGAAAACGTAACTTGCTATGATGCAGAGCCTTTTTGCATATAGAAAGGGAACCTTGTTTTTTTTAAATGGAGAGTCTTCTTCTCATAACATCCCTTCGTTCTAGCTTCCAAAATTATTTTGTTTCAAAGGACATATGGCTTGTATCCATGGCCATGGTTTCCCGATCCTTCTTATCAATGTTTTCTTTGTGCAAATACTCCCTTTCTTTTGCATATTCTACTTGAATTGCCCTATTGTCCGCTTGGGTTTTCATGTCTATTTCAATTCTCATGGCGCTGTGCCTTGCAATTTTCTCCAAATATTTTGATGTATTATTGCTAGAATTACTCCATCTTTTTGCCTTCATAGCCTTTCGGCCAATAGGCCTTGACTCCTTTTCGATGGGTGAGTCTTGACTCATTCGGGAATCCAAAGGCGAATCTGATGTTGGTGAATCATGGAGTGACATCTTGTTTAACACAACGGGCGGACCCGTGGGAATAATTCTAAAACGTTTGCAATTTTTCACCACCTCCCAACATTCTTGATGGTTAAAATATTTTTTGCCTTGCCCAATTGCACCAAACCACATTTGTGCTTGCATAATCTATTAACAAAAAAATAATGGAAATGCAAGATACATTAATAAAATATTGAAAATACAAAAAAATATTTAAAATATATTGGAAATGCAAGTAACATAAAATAAAAAAAATGGAAATGCAAGAAACATAAAAAAAGAATAATGGAAATGCAATTAACATTACAAAAATATTGGAAATGCAAGACACATTAATAAAATATTGAAAATGCAAGAAATTATTTAAAATATATTGGAAATGCAAGTAACATTACAAAAATATTGGAAATGCAAGAAACATAAAAAAAAAATGGAAATGCAAGAAAATTAAAAAATTAAAAAATTTAGGACATTACATTTAATAAAATGGAAATTACAAATAATTTACCTCATTGCTAAGATTTTCACCGCTTCGAACATTGTCCATCGCTTTGCTAATGCATCTCTCCATTTCCCCAACTCTTTATTCAATATTTCCACCTACTACTTAATGCCATTTTTGTACGACTAGAACTCGATCTTTCACAAAATTTGGCATGGATTTTTCTCCACATGTGAGAGAATTTCATCTCATTGCCCGTGACCGGACAATGACTAACATAGACCCAACTCTCACTCAAGAGAACATCTTCCATAGTTGCCCACGTGCCCCCAGCTTCGATGGAAGATGCCATGAGATGGTGAATAAAAATGAAAATTGGAAGTGATGAAAATTTTGTGTCGAAAGTGAAAAACAATAAAATTTATGAAATTGTATGAGGATTTTGGTGTTCAATGTGAAGAAGAATGGTAGGTATTTGTAGGAAAAAAGTTCATTTTTTTTTTTTTTTTTTTTTTTTTTTTATTTTTTTCACATTTTTTTTTTTTTTTTGTCCAAAAAAGCCCAGCTATTGGATTGGAAAAAGAAAAAGCATCGGCGCAACTAGAACGCAACACGTGGCAAGATACCGTTGGTCTAGTCAACGCACGGTAATTCAAATTTTTTACTCACTAATAGTTAAAAAAATTTGAATTACCGTGACTGACGCCAACCTGACGTCACCTCATCTCGGGCTGGCCCAGTCACGTGGGACCCGCGCCTTGCCCCGGCTGTCTTGGCCCGCTGGAACGTGATGCCTGGGCTCAGGCCCTGTCCTGCCCAGGCTCGGGTTTGTTGCTGGAGTTGCTCTTATGCATATTACATTTTGTTGTCCAATGTTGGAGCCGAGCCGAGCCAATGAAACATAATGGCTGGCGTGTTGCAGGCACTAACTAAGTCAAGTCTCCGGCTCGTCCCGCACGCGTCGTCGTACGCTCGCATTTTGTCCAATTTGAAACTCACCGTTTCTCTCTCTCACTCTCACTCCCAAACTCAGCCAAAAACTCCAAAACTCAGCCAAAAACCCCAAAACACACAGACGCACACGCATGCACCTCTTCCCAGCCGGCACACAACCGTCGCATTTCAAAACCGACCGCCACACGCACACCGCAGCCAATCAACACCCGCCATCTCACCTCTCATGGACTTCGTCGCCGGCTCTCCTTCACCGGTGACGGCACCCCGGCCCCCCTTCAAAACGGCGTCGGTTCCGGTCCGCGAGGACTGCTGGAGCGAGGACGCGACCTTCACGCTCATAGAGGCCTGGGGCGAGCGCCACCTCAGCCTCAACCGCGGCAACCTCCGTCAAAAGCACTGGGAAGAAGTCGCCGACGCCGTCAACGCCTCCCACGTCACTGCCGACAACCCCAGGTCCCGCCGTACAGACGTCCAGTGTAAGAACCGCGTCGACACCCTCAAGAAGAAGTACAAGATCGAGAAGGCTAGGGTTTCCGACTCCAATGGCGACTACACCAGCCCCTGGCCCTTCTTCTCTCTCCTCGACTCCCTCATCGGCTCAAAATTCCCCAAGCCCTCGCCGCCGCTCCCTCGCCGGTGCCCTCCGTCGCCGCCGCTCCCTCGCCGGAGCCCTCCGTCGCCGCCGCTCCCTCGCCGGAGCCCTCCGTCGCCGCCGCTGCAGTGGACTTTTCCAGTAGCTCGGAGATCGGCAACAGTCAAACGGCCGGCGCCGGCCTTTTTTCCGGCACCTGGAGACGAACCGGTGTTGAGTCAAAAATTGGATTTCTCGGCGTTTGCGGCGGTAGCTGCGGCAGCTGCGGCGGAGAGCGAAGAGTCCGAGGGGTCGCCGTCGAGGTCGAGCGTGGGAGGGAGTAGGATGAGGGACCGTGATAGGGAGGTTGGTTGTGTGGAATTGGCTATGGCCATAGAGAGGTTTGCGGAGATATACGAGAGAGTAGAGCAGAGGAAACAGAGGCAGATGGTGGAGTTGGAGAAGCAGAGGATGCAATTTGCTAAGGACTTGGAGTACCATAGAATGCAGCTTTTCATGGAAACAACGAAGCATCAGCTTCGAAAGATAAAGCGCGCCAAGCGGTCATCTTCATCCCCTGGTCGGTGAGCCTCTTCCTCTGAAATTTCTGCTCCATCTTTACCATTTTTCACTTTCGCACGATTAACTTGTTTGCCTCTTTATTACAATTTTACAAATAGTTGCACATGGCATTTTATGGTACTGTCTACTTGACTGATGAATGAGATTCGATTGTTCAATTTTACAAATACTTTTTTATTGTGAGGAAATTTTTACAAATGGTTGCATATGGCATACGGCAAATTCTTTTTTTGTAAAGCTGACTTGACCTTCGATTTTTTGCAGAACCACAGATTTGAACTTTCATATGATTTTGTATAGAATCCATGAAATTTATAGGTTTTGTCTCTTTCTTATTGTTTATTAAAAACAGGCTGTGATTTATTGATCAGTAGATCATTCTATTGTTTTTATATTGCCTTCTTTGGCTTCCCTCTTGATTTTGGTGTTGAACCATACTACAGGTAATAATGGCATCAAGGGGAAAAGGCTTTGTTTTACTTTTATGGTGGAGAAGTTTAACAAAGAGAACACTGAAAACTTTAGGGTAATTTCCTTAGAAAAAAGAAGAGGGAGAACTCTTACATTAATAAATTAACCATTCACAATTGTCATATTCCTTGTCAAGTCCTATTTTTGTAACATTAAAACTCTTATTCTTAAAAGGAAATTCAAATTGATATAGCAGGACAGAGGCATGATTTAAGGTTTGGAATGAAATGCATTCCTGTCCAACCATACCCAGTGTACGTTTTGAGAATAATTTCCTAGACCTACAAGATGAGAAAATGGGGGAAATGAGTCATCAGTCGAGAAAGTCATTTAACATCTTGTGCTCGTTTCCAACTTTGTGAACAAAAGGTCAATTATTCTGGTAGTTAGGTTTACTGAGCCAATATGAAACTTTGCATGTATAGATAGCTTGGATAAAAATTGTCAAAGAAATGGAAGTATGAGGTAGAACGAGCTACATATTCCAGAGGTAATGAAACTGTCAGCGAAAATGGTGAAACGAAACAAAGAAAACTTATTAGTATCCCCAGAAGTTGAGTCCGTAGTAGTTTGCTATAGGTTTGGCCTTCCTATAGTAATAACGTCCATAATGGTTTGCTATAGGGAAGTGATTGCAATTTCAATAAGGGTCAGGTAAAATCCTCTCTTTGGGAACTTTAAGATGGCCCACCTTATTTATTTATTTATTTCATTTAATGAAGAGTATCTCCAATGACAAGGAGATGGAGTGTTGCTTGACTTGGTTGAAGGACGAGCAGAACCCACTCTTATATAGTTGATAATGTCATGCGGACAAATCTATTTCGACTGAAATGATTGTCAAAGTAGTCATTGTCTTATCAAATACATGCATGGGTATTAACCTAAAAACTTAAATATTTAATGTCTAGAACAGAACCCTCATATTATCAATAAGATGCTTTAATTAGTGTCACTGTCGTAGTAAGAAGGGATAGTGTGCTTGTAAGTTTGATCTATTTGGGTATTATAAATTGCTTCTTTTATCTTAGTTAAATGTTTAGTGTTCTCGATGTTTTCTTTTCTGTTTTTCCTATAAAATGTTCTTGGTGACAAACTGACAATGGCCAGAAAAGTTTTGGAATTTGATTAAAAGAAGTCAATTTTTATGCAGCATTGATGTAGGGGCTGAATTACGAAAAAATATGCCTGCAGGTTTCATGTCCCAAATATTGATGTTTCATTCAGTGAGCGGCGATACAAGAATTGATCAATTAGTCTTGAGTACATTGGTGGGAGGAGGGTAGAGGTAACATTCATTTGGGATAGGATCATTGATGGTGAAAACTGGTCTTACGTTTTGTAACTCAAGTAAATAGTAAAGGCATGCACCCCATAAGGAGCAATATGGTTTAATTAGAATGTGTTAGGCCTGGGGAAGGAAAAAGTAGTTTTGGTTGAAACAGCAAAAATGTAGCCACACTTACTAAGAAATGAATCTTGTGGGTGACATGAAATAAAATTAGTTTTGGATGAACATGTTAGTGCATCACTAATCTCTGTTAGGAATCTTTGTTTCCTGACTGTTAACCAGATGAGCACCAGTCACCCAAAATGTTAAAAACCTAGGAGAACATATATCTAGCAGTCAATTTGATCCATTTTCTCGCAATGCACTTTTTACTGGTAGTGTCTTTGTTACTCGTGTTCTGAATTTTGAAGCAGTTCTTATAATTGCACAAAATTGTAAGGAATATGAGATCCTAACAGTCTTACATTTTTGTTTTTCATGTAACAGACAATTACTTATAGGCGACGAGGTTTGATAGTCACCGGCTAGTGTGATTTGCCTCTTTTTGAAAGGTATAGATCGATTCTAACTTATGGAAGGAAATGCATACGGTTTTACCTTATTCTGGGTACGAGGATTTACTAGAAGTTACTTGGACAGAGAGAATTAGAAGGAAATGCATATGGTTTTACCTTATTTTGGGTACAAGGATTTACTAGAAGTTACTTGGTAGTGATGAGACAATTGTTGCTTGTAATACCCCCTTCTTGTGAAGTAAATTAGTTGCCTTCTCACTTTTGGGAACCCTGGAAAAGTATATACGTGATAGAGCTAAGTACATAATCTCTCTGTCTCTGTCTCTGTCTCTGTCTCTCTGTCTCCCTCTCTCTCTCTCTCCCATCATGTATTCTTAATCCAGATAGTCATGAAAAGTATTTATACATAACCAGTGTCATTTTTTTCTTTTTGGTCAAACAGTGTCATTTTTCTTTGTCAATGGAAGTCAGCAGTGGAGTTTGAAAAGGTGGGTTTGTCACATCATATTGCACCAACAGTTACTTTCTTACGAATCCCACATCATATATTTTTAATTCTACATGCCTTTCTGATCGAAAATCATTTTTTCCTGCTTTGGAATTCTTAACAACCGTTTTCGGCACAATAAAATTTGTACATTTTTGTATTGTCCCTGAAGAAATTTAAGGATAAGATATGTTCTATTTTTACTATTTCATTCTGGTCCCACCTTTATGCTACCTCTCATCTCGATCCATTCAAAGGGTCCCTTCCTGGCTTAAGTGAGATCTTGGTGCTCTCAACCTCAGACAGCTGGCTGCTGTACAAATGAAAAATTGACTTGGAGGCTAATTTGGTTAAATCGCAGCTGATCTACCTCTGCACTCGAGGTCATAGGTTCGATTACCCTCAACCACAATATCGCGCGTATAAAAAATAAAAATCATAGCCAATCTACACTTTATGTTTCTCTCTAGAATGACCCCCAAAAAAAGAAAAAAAAAGAAGAAAAAAGAAGAAGAAGAGAGTTTAGCTCTAGTATTAAGCTCAGCATTATTGATTCTTCTTTGGGGCCGTACAACATTTCTTGCCATGACATAACATATTCATGTCCTTCAATTAGTAGACTCTATAAAATAGGGTATCGAATGCAAACTACTTGTATTATCTACTTATTTCTCTTGCCAGTGTCGAAATAGTGTCGAAAAATGTTCAAAGTCAGACTCTCCCCTTGATGAAAGAAAGTACAAACCATTTATGTAATTTTATATGCATGGAATATTCATTGAGACTATTATTTCGAGGTCCATTTGACAATGCGATCCATAAACCATTTTTTAAATTTAAAAAAAAAAACCTTTTAAAAGAAAAGGATTACGCTTGCATAAATATCAGCCGCAATTGTGATAAAAAGGACAGTTGAATACAAATATTGGATATTTCGTAAAAAAAAACACAAATATTGGATAAAACATTAAAATTATCATGAGCATAATTAAATGAAGAAACTTTTTCATATCTTCTACTTCTATGATGATTCTTGAAGGAATAGTTAATTCACTTCTTGTAGTTGAGGTGAGTAGGGGTTGAATTGGTTCGATAACCGAATCGATGGGCCACTACTGATGACTGACTGAGGGTAGTTGGTTACCCAAAATTGAAACCACTGTTGACCAATTTGCTGTCGGTTCTCCGACTATTGATAATAGAGTGCTTCTATAGTGAGTGGAAAGTTATAAGGGGTTTTTTTGAGGGGTATGTAAGAGCCGTTGGATTTCATCCAACGGTGAGTTTTTAAAAGAGGGTGCATGTAGAACCGGGTTGAAATCTGACCCGTTTGGAAACCCAACTTCAGCTGAAGAGTTTTCCCTCTCTGTGAAAAACTCAAGAACACAATCCTCTCTTTTTTAATGTAATGCAAATCCACAATTAGAAAGATCCAAAGCTCCCAAACTCTATAATCGCTCCATTGTCATCAGCTCCTTGGGAGGCCTGCGATCTATGGTATCCTCGGTATGACGATTAATGGCTTTTACCTAGCTATTGCCCTGTTTTGATTCTATGATTGAAGTGAAAACCCCTTCTCTTTTTCGTTCAGCAGAAGAGATTCCAGATGAAAGCAAAGTAGCATATCTCTTTTTCGTGCTGCTGCAGTTGTTCCTCGATTTTGGTAGAGATGGAGTCTCCACTACGAAAGAATCCTCTCTAATGTCCACCACATTCTTTGAAGCTGACTGACTTCGGAGCTCCCGATTGACTTTGAGAGGTAAGTTCACTCTTGCTGGATTGATTTTGTTGGGTTTGATTTGTTTTTTGTGAGGGTGAGAAATTTGTCATTTGTGGCATCAATAATGCGTCATTTGCTCTGCTATCAATAATGCGTCATTTGCTCTGCTATCAATAATGCGTCATTTCCTTATGAATATTCAATATACTTAGTTGATTATTTTTTTTGGAGGGGGGTTGGAAAATTATGAAATGTAGGTAAAAGATCCTAAACTTAGGCTTAATGGCATTAGGAGTAAGCATTTGGAGAGGATATTGGGTGAAGTTCTGTAATTGCTGGTTTGAATTACATTTGAGTTCTTAGTTGAACATGTTGGTTCTAATGTTATTTTTTCCAGATTATTTCACAAGAGATGACGTAACTATTATTAAATTTTGCTTGTGTTTTGTGTAATCAGAATCCAACAAGCTAGGCTATGCGTGTATTGTGTCAATTTGGGCAATGTTTTGTGTAAGTGGAATGCATTGATAAGTTGTGATGCAGTAATGATTGATTAATGAATTAACATTTGCTATGCAGTAATATAGAAGTAGATCAATAATATACGTGGATAAAATGTCTGGGGGCTCAGAGAGTGATGACTCTGTAACAGCTAATGGGAGGGTTTACATTCCTGAAGTAAGAAATGAGGAAACACCAGCAGTTGGGATGAAGTTCGACTCGCTTGACCTCGTTTATAATTTCTATAATAGATATGCATTCTTGGCTGGCTTTGGTATTCGACTTCATTCCAGCTTTTGGGGGAAAAATAAGAAAGAGATTCTGAGAAAAGAATTTGTATGTTGCAAACAAGGTGCATACCGGAAGGATGAAACTCGGGAGAGAAAAAGACAGCGGGGAATAAGTAGATGCAATTGCAAAGCTAAGATTGTGGTTGTGAAGACACATGGGAGCAAGAAGTATACCATCTCTCTTTTTGCAGAGGGACACAATCATAAGATGACACCCTCAGGAAGAATGCATTTACTGAGATCACACCGTCGTATTTCAGATTCTACAAAAGTACTCACAAAACAGTTGGGTTCGGTTAATATTCCCATTAATCAGAAGGTAAGTATTTTCGAGGTGCAATCCGGAGGAATGGATAAAATCGGTTTTATCAAAAAGGATATCTACAATCTTGAATGTAGTGTGAATGGGAAGCTGAGGAACCACGATGTTGAACTAGTGACCGAGTATTTTATGGCTGAACAGAAAAAAAATGAGGCTTTTTATTTCAAGATTGAGGGAGATGGCGATAACAGGTTTAGTCGATGTTTTTGGGCAGATGCAACTTCTAGACGGGCGTACGGGTTTTATGGAGATGTTGTTGTATTCGATACCACATTCAACACGAATAGATACGACTTGACATTTGCACCAATGTTGGGAGTTAATAACCATGGTCAAACAATTGTCCTAGCATGCGCATTTTTGAGCAAGGAAACGACTGAGTCGTTTATTTGGATGTTTGAGGAGTTTAAGAAAGCCATGCCAGGTGGCGAACCTAAAACGATCATCACAGATCAAGATGCGGCAATGAGCAGAGCGATTTCAATAGCCTTCCCGACTACATTTCATCGACTTTGCATATGGCACATCACATCAAAGTTCTCTGTTAAGTTACCACATTCTGCTTATAAGGAGTATTGGGGTGAATTCCAGAAAGCCATATGGGATACTGACAATAAGGATGAGTTTGATGCAAAATGGAATATTGTGGTTACAAAGGCTGGTTTGACTGACCATCCATGGGCTAAGTTCAATGTTTGATTTAAGGGAATCTTGGGTTCCAGCCTACGCACGACACTTTTTTGCCGCTGGAATGTCAAGCAGCCAAAGAGCGGAATGTTCTCATGGTTTCTTCAAGCAATACATATCAAGGAGAAATTCGTTGATGGATTTCATAATAAGATTTGAGAGGGCACTTTCTCATCAACGTCAAAAAGAGTTAGTTGCTGATCACGTAGATGCATTTGAAGTGGCTCAATGTATTCTACCGATGCCAATGAACAAACAAATGGCTACCTTGTACACAAGGACAATGTTTCAAAAGTTTGAGCAAGAACTAATACAAAGTACAGCATGTTTCCTAGAGCTGAAAACAGAGGATGCTTCTAAAGTTGTCTTTAATGTGAGCGAAAGGAAAAATTGGGAAACAAGAGTGGCAGAAGTCGTATATGTCAAAGATTCTGACCACGCATCGTGTAGCTGCAAAAGATTTGAATTTGTTGGAATTATTTGCAAGCACATCCTAGCATTGTTCAGAAGGGACCAGATTGAATATATGCCCGATAAATACATTTTGAAGAGGTGGAAGAAAACTGCGAAATTTGGATTGGTGTCAGATGCAAATGGCAACGAAATTAAAGACTCTGCAGATCCTGGTCTTTTAATAAAGCGGAGTACAATGTCCCGACTTGCTTCAGATGTGGTTGAGGATGCATTAATGTGTGAAGAAGGATGTGAGCTACTGTCAGAGACTCTAAAAAGTTTGCAGGGTGAAGTTGAAGTTGTTGAAGGATGGACCAAGTAATAACGAAGTTGGAGGGTCCAGCTCTCAAACACAATATATGAAAGACCCTAAGAGAGTAAGGTGCAATGGAGGGTCGAAACGAGTAACGGGAGCAAAGGAAAAGGCAATGAAGCGAGGGATTAGACACTGTCGGGAGTGTGGACACATTGGTCATGATAGAAGACAATGCCCAAGAAATTTGAACACACCGTAAGATGTTAACACTATTTATAATAAGACCTAAAATTTGAATAGGTAAAGTTCTTATGTGCTTCTGTTTGATGTTTATGCAGGACATCACCGTCGAACAATGACGAATCAACTCCAATAGATCTTAGTGACCCATTATTTGACGAATTTTACAGGATGCACGGACCAACTCAATGATTTAGGTTTCTATTATACGAAGCCCGGTTATTATGAAGACTAATGATCAGGTGAAGTTTTCTAGATGCAGTTTTATTATTATTATTTTTTTGTTCATGTCCACCGATGAGCTCTGACTATGTCCATTGATAATTGAAATGAAAATTTGCTTGGTTTCATTCTTGCATGAAATTTGGACACATGTTAATTTTACGTCTTCTCCCTATTTAGAAATTTTCATAGACATTAGATAAAGCATCAAATTTTGATTTATGTGAAGAAGCAATGACTTTTACCTTGTAAAATGGGTAGTTTATGGTGAATTATGTTTGAATAGAGATTTATTGATTATATGACAGGCTAATGCAGCATTTCCAGCAGCCAGCTATTGTTTCCATTACCAGTAATGATTTCCAGCAGCACGCATCATTTGTAGCAGCACCCACTTTTTGCGAATGTTATGTTCTAGTGTTTTACTGGTGATTAAGATCTGAGCTGGACTGGTTATTAGGTGCACGATTTTGCAAACATTCGTAGCTGAAGGATACTTGAAGCACTTTGTTGGAACAGAAAGATTAGAAAGCAACGTGTAAAAAAGTACATTGCAGCTAATCACATTTCGAATGGTTGGGTAATATTAAAGGGTACACTAACATTTGAACTACTCATAATTCCACACACAAAAGAAAATTTGATTGCAAAGCATTTTATGTGCTCCCTCTTAGCAATACCACGATCTCCCCAATAAACTGAACAACGGTAGCCACAATCACTAGGTCGTATTGGTCAGCTTCTTCTTAGCAGGTCTCACGTGCTTATGGTCACTCATGTCCCCAGTGATTTAGACAAAATAAATATTCAGCAATATTTGGAATTTTATTATATATACATAAACCATAAACCATTCACTACACAATGTATAGCACATGGCATTTTACTTATGACTCACGTGTCATGATAATGGGGCTTTACTGATTCCCAACGTGCTGTGATATTGACTGCTTATTGAATAATATTTCCATAGTTGCAAAATATAATGTTAGACAGAAGGAACACATGATGACTTGCAAGACATAGTCCCAATAATTATATATGAAGCAAATGAAACTGATATTTGTATTATTTTATATTAGATAATGACATTAAGGGAATATAGTTCTAATTTGTGCAATACCACGATCACCCCCAACCAACAGAACAGCTGTAGCCGCAATCACTTAGTCGTATCGGTCGGCTTCTTCCGAGCAGCTTTGACGTGCTTATGCTCATTCATGTCACCACCATCGTCTAGTATCTCTCTCACAGCATCAGGGGACACATAGTCCCAATTATAACTTGTATGAGTAGTTGCCGCGAATGCTCGGAATTTTTCGAATCCTTCGTTGAATGCCAACTCCAGTTCACTGTGGTGCTCTTCGCATCGCATATGGTTCATCAAACAACCTTTAATTTCATCATTCATTACTGCATCCAACTCCTCAGCTTTCAGCTTCCTTTTATGACTCAGCTTCAAGTACTTGTTCTTTTGGGAGAACGCTTTGTTCACTCTAATGTTAAGATCAGCCAAAATGGCCTCGTCTTCAACACATTTCTCGTGCCATGAATTGATCAGTCTGGAATTATAATCCCGCTTGTACTTACGTCACTACTGCATCTTTGCCTCTAAAAGTGGAATTCATCGGAGTCCCCCCCTCACACTGACTCCCGTGATAGTCTTTATTCTTGTCCCAAAATTCTTTTTTGAAAAAATGGCAGGGTCGGCGAGTACACAAACGTGGAAACGTAACCTCTCTGCGAGACTTGTCTTTAACTCTCTCCTTCCACTTTTTGTTCACAAATCTTCGAATTGTGTTGTGTGGTGCCCTCTGAACGAGGTGGACATACTTATACTGAAATAATCCTATTTGGTATTTATTTTTTGTTATAGAGGATGAGTGGGGGGATGAGGTTTGGGGGGGATTTGCCAAAATAATAATGCTTTTTCTTTTTTAGAAATGACCATGCTTTATATTAGAAACCAACATACAAATCGCTCTTGCGTGTAGGAGTCAAAAAAAACTACATACTTTATTCTAATCTACTATTGTATACTACTTTATTTCAATTAAATAAAAAAAAAAAAAGGGGGTTCCAGGGTTTTGCTTTTCAAGCTGTCACCTCACACTCGCCGACAACAAAAACAACAAAAAACAACCAAAAACACGCACTGTGGGGGAAACCACTGTTGTGTTGAAAGAAATCAATGGAATGCCAACATCTTTTAGTGAACGCCAACCCAAACTATAAAACAAACTAGTTAGGATTAAACTTAGAATTTTATGAGACCTTTTTTTTTTTTCCCTTTCCCTTCTACATTGTCAACCAAATGTTTTTTTTTTGGCTGGAACCCTGTTTTTAATTGTATTAAAAACCCTGTAGACTTACCAAATAATTTTACCCCCAACTTAAACCACCCTAAACCCCTCTTCATAAAATTCTAAAGCCTCTCCTCCAGCAAAAAACTCACTACTCACTCCTTCACCCATCCTCCCTCACTCCGATCCTACACATTCACTCCTCCACCGAATCTGTCTCCATCTACTGAAACTCTCCTCCTCACAAGAAACTCTCTCCCCCCGCATTGTATTTACTAACCAAGTTTGATGTGAGCATAATAAACACCCCCTCCAAACAAAGACTGCATTCGAAACGCAAGTGAGTCACCAGACAAACAATGTCACATTCCTAGATAGAATGACCATTTTGTTGGAAATTTTGAGTCTGAAAGAGTTCTTGCTTTCTAGAAGGAGAGGCATCTTCAACTGGTGATTGAAATCCAAAGGGCAAGGGCACGTTTGGAATTTGTTGAAGGCCAAATTGAAGATGACAAAAGGCAGGCCAATCTGGATAAGGGCGAAGTTTTTTTTTTTTTTTTTTTTTTTTTTTTTTTTTTTTTTTTTTTTTTTTTTTTTTTTTTTTTTTTTTTTTTTTTTTTTTTTTTTTTTTTTTTTTTTTTTTTTTTTTTTTTTTTTTTTTTTTTTTTTTTTTTTTTTTTTTTTTTTTTTTTTTTTTTTTTTTTTTTTTTTTTTTTTTTTTTTTTTTTTTTTTTTTTTTTTTTTTTTTTTTTTTTTTTTTTTTTTTTTTTTTTTTTTTTTTTTTTTTTTTTTTTTTTTTTTTTTTTTTTTTTTTTTTTTTTTTTTTTTTTTTTTTTTTTTTTTTTTTTTTTTTTTTTTTTTTTTTTTTTTTTTTTTTTTTTTTTTTTTTTTTTTTTTTTTTTTTTTTTTTTTTTTTTTTTTTTTTTTTTTTTTGGAGAGGGGTGCCCAGGCGGGGAAAGAGTCAAACTCTGCTTGTTTTGGCTTTTTTGTTGAACCAAATTTGATAACGAGAGAAATCTCTCTTGAATGATTGGCTTTCTAAACTGGATTCTGGGCATTCTGGATCTGAGCTGGGTTTTCACTTGAAATTCAAAGTGGGCTTTTTATTTGATGGTTTTCCTATTTAGGATCTCTTTGTTTTTTTGAGTTGATGAAATTTTTGTTGTAAGATTTGATTGTCCTTTGCCCTGTTCACTCCTTCTTGTTTTATAAGAAATGTCTTCTGGAGTAGGTTACTCTTTTATAATGGGCGGCAAAATCCCTTTCAAAAAAGATCTTTCTTTTAAAATGAAAAGAAAAGAAAGACAAAAGTTTCCTCATTTTTTGGTAGATAGGCTCTCAACAGATAGGCACTCACTTCCCTGATTTTCTGAAGAAAAGGAACCTAATCTCTTTTCCCAATTCAACTGCCCCTTGTGATGTTTTGCCGGGGATGTTTAGTTTGACTCCTTTTTCTGGACAGCTTCTACTTTTCTGTTACCCTCCCTGAGATTTGTAACTTGCTTTTTTTATCTCTTTGGGAGAATTACCTTCTCTGAAAAGACAGAAAAATCTCTAATATATATATATCATAATGTGTAAGAGGGATTTGATCTTTTTTTCCAGAATCAATCTTGATATTATGAAACCCTTCAATTACTTCTCCTTGACATTTTCCATTGCTGCTGACTTTTCTTTTTTCAGAGAGGTCACGTGGGATTTTCCTACTTCTGGGCTTTCTTTCTTCTTTCTTTTATATTGGCCTGTGAGACCCAGATGCCTTGTTTTACTTTGATGAGTTTTGGGCTGTTCTCCCTTGGCTTTTTGGGCTTCCATCTCTCTTTGATTTTTTTGCAGCTTCATTCTGTGCCTAAATTTTGCTGGGCTTGGTAGCCATTTGTTTGCCCAAACAATTTTAGAGAATCTGAATGAGGGTTTATTCCTTAATTGCTGGATGACAGATTTTGTTGAAAGGTCCCTTGTTTTCGCGCCAAAAACGGGTATGGTTAGTCGACAAAAAAAAGCCCCATCAAACGTCGTTTTTAAGATGATCCGTTTGGATCTTCTGTCAACCCAAAAGTCGTATCTCTTGTCTATCTCTCATAAACCCCAGTTGATGCAAAGCCGCTGAGCAATGGAAGGAACTTGGCTCTCTGTTCTGGCAGTAAATGGGTAGGCGTGGTTTACGGATTAAACTGCTACCAACTCACACAAACACCCTTCCCATGTTGAAATGGACTTTAGAGTCGCCTGTTGAGCTTGGTAGACAGAGAGAGGATCTACGGAATCTGCTGACGATTATAGAGAATGGCCTGGGGTTATTCCTTAATTCTGAAGACAGAGCGTTAAACGGATGCCTTATCACACAAAAGAAAACCCCCCCCATTAAAAGTCGTGTTTAAGATGATCGGTTTGATCTTTCTGTCAACAACTACTCTATATCTTTGTCTTCTATCTCATAAACCCCCCACTTGATGCAAAGCCCTCATGAGCATAGGAAAGAAACTGGCCTCTTTTCGGGACATGAAATGGGTCTCTTGTGTTTTTTTTTTTTTTTTTGTATGTATGGGGGAGTGGTTTTCCTATAACTTTACAACTCCCCTATCACGCCCTTGCCCTATGAAAGCTGACCTGAGAGTCACAGTGAGCTTTTGTAGAGAGAGAGATCTTCCTAGCATTCTGATGACAGATCTGAAAAATGGTGGATCAAAAGGTGAGATAAAGTTTTGAGCATTGAGAGATTAAAAGTTGGGCTTAGTTTAAACCATGTAGAAAATGATTTATCCCGATAAATCCCATAAATGGAATATCTTAATCTGTAAATTTATTCCTGCAAATGGTTCACACAAGGTCTGGCCTCTAAACCAATTGGGTTGACTTCTGACTTTAACAAAATACAAGCACAAACTACGAGTTTTGACATTAGGCCAAAAATCAATGGGCTGACGCGGAAATTTAACCCAAAAACACATACAAACTTTTACTGTTCAAACGGTGATATTGTAGTTGTCATCATAAGGACAATCAAGGTAGACCCCCCCCAAAAAAAAAAAGTGCCACAGAATGGAATTGAAGCCGATACACTACGGGGAAGCATCACTGATGTCTGTGGGTGCAAGTGGTGTATCTATAGAGAGATTCCTGCAGGTGAGATACCATGCAAACAAATTTATGCAGAGAACCCTCGCATTACCATTCAACATCACTCTTCTTCGCAAATTTCCAAGATCGCAACACACCTTGTGGCCCAAGGCCTAGAATAGCCCCCGTCTTCTCTAGCGTGATTTGGTTGAAACATGGACAATAAACTCCTACAAACACTTAAGAAAAACTAAGGGCAGAAGTGCAACTAATTTAAGCGCAGGGGATTTGAGAAATTAAACAAAAAACAACAACAAAAAAGGGAAGAAAGTTAAGGATACACTGATTAGTAGGCATTCTACTTCTGATATCAACATGTGCCACATGTGAAATAATCATCAAAAACACACAAAAAATCTCTATACTGTTCAATTGTGATGACAGGGAAAAGTTAGGAGTTCTTACTTCCAGGCAGGAGGGCAAGCATTTCCAAAAGTCCATAGTGATGGCATTTCAAGTTATGAGCCAAAGTATTGCTCGTTTTCAATCCTTCCTCTATATTCCCCCGCTACTGCAGCATGTTCTTTTTATTTCTTAAACTTGGCTTCATTGATTTCTGATCCAAAAATTAAAGTAACTACTTCGGATGAAGAAAGGTCTCCTTATGAAAGCGTACATTGGAATGTAATTTGATTTACAAACGGATAAAAGGGTGAATTCGTTGGTTTGGGTGATTTGTGGTGTGCCAACAAAAACAGATATTAGTTTTGCAGTCATAGTCGTGTCAGAGCAGACATGAAGTTAAATCTTTCACTCGCCAAATTAACCAAAGCAATGATGATAAGTAAAGCCTGTAATTAGCAATGTACTTCCACAAACATGACAAGTAGTTAACCTCTAATCCAAAACGATTTAAAGTAACATCACAAACACTTCCCGGCCTCTTAAGTTAGAAGCGCATTAAGGTAACGAAAGGGTCTTTTAGCTCCGTCTTAGGCTGCAATCCCATCCAGGGGTGCTTTGTTTCCGTTTCTCAACTGTCAGCGGTATCGCACCCGGCATTTTCTTCACCAGAGAGAGGCTTCGGTCTCGCCGGGCGCTCCAGCCCTGCACACCTGCCATCAACAACACAGTTGGTCGACATTAACACCACATATCTATCTAGCAAGTGAAACAAAACCAACTTAGAAAAAAATTCAACTGCTGTTGTTCCTCTACTCAAAGATAACAAGTCAACCATGTACAATCAAAGACTGAATCAAAACATAGACGACAGTTCAAATATCTTACCTTGATTTATATTCAGTATTTCTACATCCTTCCCACCGAGATCCTTGAGCGAAATAAAGCTCGGAACATGACGAATTGCCTCAGAAGATGATACTTCTTCATCCCTCGAAGCTTAAGAGAAATGAATGACTGTGGTTTCCTGGGTGATAGTAAAGAAGGCATGGAGACGAGAAGTAAACATCAACAGACCATCATTCCTCAAGTATTTCATGGGTATGTATACGCCATCTGGCCACTTCGACGAAACCATACGAATCGATATATTCTTCATCCAAAGTTTTTGTGGACCAGAATCATTCATTACCCACACATTGATTTCAAAACTCTCAGTTTACACAGACAAAGGCTACCTCCCAAATCTCCCATGCTCACATCACGACCGCCCTCCCGAAAAGGCAGTGATGGAACCGATTGGAACTCTTCAGTATCCAAGTCAAATGAAATCACACTACAACCTGTCCACTCATCGCAAAACCATAAAGCATTCCTTTCACACAAGTGGGGAATGATAGCTGAGAGTCTGAGCAGGGAGCAGTGCCAACACATTTCCATGAACCTGTTCCCAGGGTGTGTATCTCAGCCACCTTATTGGGATCAGGTGTCCGTTCCTTAAGAATTCTCACCACCTTATATTCGTTAGTCCTCGGACCGAAACCTAATCCACTACCGATTAAAGTCATTGCCTTCTCATGTTTAGGACCATGGGGAAGGTTTATAAATTCGCCGGTTATTGGATTGCACACAGCAGCAGGGTAATTCACGAAAAAATCAGACAGGCAAAGCAAACCGTTACAAGAATTTACCAAGTTGTAGTTGTGTGTGATCATATTGCATCATGAAAGCGATACCTTCACCCCAATCCACCTCGTTGTTGTTGTCATCAATTTTCGTTATCTTCATGTGAACCTCTCTTTCAGTTTCATGACTAGGCATCACATTGCCATTCCTATGGTGATTGAGTAACTCCTCAGCATGACACAATGGGAATTTATATTTGGAAAGATTCATGTGGACACGGGACCGGTTACAATCATGGTCCTTCAAATCAAAACCAGAGCTATCTTCAGGCTCAACCAAGTAAAGGTTTCTTGACACACTTGTTCGATCCACGGGCCGGACCATAGGATAGGCCTCTGCTTGTGCGAAATGCAGCCTAGCAAATGCAGGGTCCGAAATTAGAGAACACCAAGTCTTGCAGACGCTTTTGCACATGATAATGCTCTTTGTTGGCAGCTTTATTATAACATCTTGAAGGACAGACTTTGGAACATCTGTTATAAAAGGACCCATTGGGTGGCTGAAGCTGTGGATTTTGATGTAGGATAGGGTTTAGGTAGTTCAGTGGTATAGATGGGTAAAGATGCAATGGCTTCACACCAAGAATTCTCCAATCTCTGCAAAAATAAACTTTACTCAATAACTCAAATCTCCAATCTCTATTACATAGGAGGAGGGGGAGGGGGGGGTGTATTTATAAACAATCTAACCCTAGAGTGAAGAGAAAATTAAACTTACTCTAGGAAAGAAATAAGGTAATCAAATAAGAAATCCAGAAAGTAAAGAAAATTTAGGAAACAAGTTAGAAACGCAGTAATCATCTACTGCTCCAAATTTGCAGAATTGAAAGAAGGAATTAAGTAATTTCCTCTTCCATCTCTCTAATGGGTTTGACAAAGATTTCCTCATCGGATTTTCTTTTCCTCTTCGTGAATAGAAATCAAAATAAAATAAATAGAGGGTTAGAATCCAAAATCACTACATTGGCACAGAACCCAGAACTGACCGGCTAATTAAAAACTGATTGAAGTGGAAAAAAGAACCCTTTACTAACAAGTTTCAGAGTAAATCAGTGATATAATATAGGAGTGAAGGAAAAAGAGGGCTCTGCGACATGGTAGAGAGAGAGAGAGAGAGAGAGAGAGAGAGAGAGAGAGAGATCAACTCTGGCACCGAGGGAAAATATATTTTTTGGTTTCCTATCAACACTAGACATAATAAAGATGGATTGATTCTGTTATCGCCCTCTTCATTAGGAAAGGTACTAAAAAAAGTGTTGATGGGAAAAAAGGAAACAAAACTTTCCCATTGTGCCAAGGAATTGAGTTTCCCATTGTGCCAAGGAATGACTTTAAATTTCTATAGTTGACAATTCCCTTAACAAACAGGTCTCTATGTATTTATATATATAGGAGGACCAAAACCTTACAACATACAAAATACAACAAATTGACAAAGATAATGAGAGAAGCAATGCCTAGGATGATGATGCTTTCACTTGTTCTTCTCCTAGTTTTTCATGTTTCTGCTTCATGGGCAGCCTCAGCTTCTGTCTATGACAACTTTCTTCAATGCCTAAACACCAACACAAACCCATCATCAACCCAATTGTCCAACATAATCTATGCCGAAAACAACCCTTCATACTCATCTGTTCTAAGAGCCTACATCAGAAACTCAAGGTTCAACACCACTTCAACCCCAAAACCAGTCCTCATCGTCACACCCTCAGCTTCATCTCATGTTCAAGCTTTGGTTGTCTGTGCCAAACAGCTTGCCATACAGCTGAGAATCCGAAGTGGCGGGCACGATTATGAGGGCCTTTCTTACTGGTCTGATCAGACCTTTATTGTCCTTGATATGTTCAACCTCAGGACTGTGACTGTAGACATTGAGGACAGCTCGGTTTGGGTTCAGGCTGGAGCCACTCTTGGAGAATTGTACTATAGGATTTCAGAGAAGAGCAAAGTTCATGGCTTTCCTGCTGGTGTTTGTCCCACAGTTGGTATTGGTGGGCACATAAGTGGTGGTGGCTATGGAAACATGTTGAGGAAGTTTGGCCTTGCTGTTGACAATGTCCTTGATGCTCAGATTGTTGATGCTAAGGGGAGACTTCTTGATAGACAAGCCATGGGAGAAGACCTGTTTTGGGCCATTAAAGGAGGGGGGGGAGGAAGCTTTGGTGTCATTGTTGCATACAAATTGAAGCTGGTTTCTGTCCCAGAAACTGTCACAGTTTTCCAGGCTGCGAGAACATTGGAAGAGAATGCAACCGACGTTGTTTCGAGGTGGCAAGAGGTGGCGCCAACCACAGATGATGGTCTGTTTATGAGGCTGCTGTTGCAGCCAGGGAGCGATACTGTTAAGGCCACAATTATGGCTGAGTTTCTAGGCAATGCTGACCAACTTGTGTCATTGTTAGGGAAGCAGTTTCCTGAGTTAGGTTTGAAGAAGGATGACTGTAAGGAGATGAGCTGGATTGAGTCTGTGCTTTGGTGGGCTAACTATGATAATGGGACTTCCCCTGATGTGTTGCTTGATAGAAATCCTGATCACGCAAATTTTCTGAAAAGAAAGTCTGATTATGTTCAAACCCCAATTTCCAAAAACAGGTTGGAGTTAGTGTGGAAGAAGATGATTGAAATAGGCAAAATAGGTTTGGTTTTCAATCCATATGGTGGGATGATGAGTCGGATTCCGGCCTCTGCCACCCCTTTTCCACACCGTGCTGGGAACTTGTTCAAAGTTCAGTACTCAGTGAGCTGGGGGGAAGCAGGGGCTGAAGCAGAGAAGAATTATACCAGAGACACCAGGAGACTTTTCAGGTTCATGACCCCATTTGTGTCCAAGAACCCAAGGAGTGCTTTCTTGAATTACAGGGACCTTGACATCGGGTGTCAATAAATTTGGTAATAGAAGCTATGAACAGGGGAAGGTGTATGGCTTGAAGTACTTCAATGACAATTTTGAAAGGTTGGTGAAGGTGAAGACTGCTGTTGATCCAGCAAATTTCTTCAGGAACGAGCAGAGTATCCCCCCTCTTCCAACTCTCAACTCAGACCCTCCTCATCCGATCTTGCACTTAGATGCCAAAGATGGCTCGAGTTCCAAGCTATCAATGGGGAAGGTGAAGGTAGTACTGGCTCTGCTGGTGTACTTGTTTATTTCTTTTTAATTCTGTATGTAGGTGTTTTTTTTTTTTTTTTTTTTTTTTTTTTTTTTTTGTTCGAGACATTAGTTAGTTCTTAGCAGATTTGCAACCCCTCAATTTTGTACTGTGGTAATTGGTAGAAAGAATTTTTACATGCATCTTCATCTTACTTCTCCAAGATACAAATCAAAAGATACTTGAGAAACAAGAGAGTGAATATCTGTAACGGTCCCCTAGAGAAGATAATAGAGTATAATTCACAGGGAAAGTTTCAACGTCTAACAACAAAGCTCACTTTGCCTCCGACAAAGACTTCTTCACCTTGAACGGTCAGCACCAATACGATGACAATCCGTATTACAAAAATGACTTGTGAACAAACAAGCATGGGGCATAGCTTAACCTTCAGTGACTCCACCCCACTCTCTTACAAAGTATTGTCCCACATAATTGAGACTCATCTGGAGGAACCACAGATTAAAGGAAAAAGTAATGAATGTGTCAATTGTAGTAAAGAGGTTTAATTCTTACGTATTTCAGCCAGCACCTTCCAAGTCTATGCCCATAAATATCTGGAGAATGGCAACCGCCTTCAAACAGGCAGTATACCCATATATTACATTTCTTTTTCATTAGGCTTGGCACGTTTAGCTTGATCCAAGCAAACCCTAACCGGTGAAAAGCTAAAGCTAAGGCTTGTATCTTAATTTAGAGATTCATCATAATCTGTATGAACTTCCGCATGGCATTCAGGTGGAGGCGGCCCGCCAGGCAAAATTTGATCTTCTAGAGAGAAAAAAGGAATATATACATCAACATATGGAATAAGTCTCTAACAGAACAATAATAATAATAATAATAAAAAATCTCTCGACACTAGCAGACAAGTATCATGACATTTGGAGTTTTGTAAAGGAAAATAGAATGTGAATTTGGGGGGCTACTGCATCATGGACAAATAAGATTATTTTGACCAAAAAGAAACATACACAGTTCACAAATAATGACCACACCTGCTTCCTCATGACGAACTGTGGAATTTGACACCTCTGTCTCAAGAGCCAACTGCTTAGCTTCTTTTAGTTTTTCCTTGCACCATCTTTCAACAAATTAATGGGAACAGCAGTTTAGAAGGAGAATATGGGTGGGTTTACATGCATAAGTTCCAGAATGAGTAGAGTAAAGCTTTAGCAGCATTTCATTGTTAAGCAGAATATGTTGTAAACTTGAAAGGTACAAGTGAAAGAAGCACTGAATATTAGAACAAAGTGCCAATCTTGCTGAAAACGAAAATTAAAGGATGTAGAAGGAAATTTCAGTTGACTATATATAATGAAAAGAGGAGGAAGAAGTGGCATCAATTATGCTCAGTATTGACCCCACTAAAGCCGCATGATACAATATTTCCTAAGCTATCAGAGTTTGTCATCAATGTCGAGAAATTTAGTTTCAGATATCATACGCTAAAACTCAATAGAGAAGAAAACATAAATTCATAATCTTATCAATTTCAAGGAGAGATTTGTCAGTCACTGTAAGATGCTCTGTGGTTTAAACGGGGTAGGCACAATTGCATGACAATTAACTATTCTAGTGCAAAACAAAAATTGCATTGAAATACAGAAAACAAAAGACGATAAGGTAAAGAAATCAAATTGAGGCGCACTGACCTCTCTGCTCAGTAACATTTGCTTTGGGCCTCAAGGTTTTCAACCTCTCAACTATTTCATTGGTTATCTTCAGTTTCAAAGGCTGTGGCAATTCAACCACTACCTCTCTGCAAAGCTCCTTCTTTAGTGCCTTTACCTTTTGAGCATAAGAAAGAGTCCTCCATTAAATTAAAAAAGTTACAACAAATCACTCTACCACTTCAATCCAACACATGTACCACCAAAACACTCAAAATGCATCTTACCAATCTAATGAGCTCAACCGGTTCAGCTGCTTTTCGAATCCAAACTGATTCCTCCATTTTCCCAATCTGATTAGGAGTGTACTCAAGTGCTGAACCAATATATTAACAGAACATTTCCTTAATTAACCAAGCATTCAACATTGAGAAACGTCATCATTTGCAACTGGGCTATCAGAAAAACACCTCAAAAAGCTAGTGGGCCATTCAAAGCAACAAGATTTGAACAAAGCTTATAAAATCACAAGCTAGAGAGAGAGAGAGAGAGAGAGAGAGATATATATATATATATATATATAAAGAAAGAAAGAGACGTACTGGGACGTGAATCTCTATCGCAGTAGATGTACAGAGAAGCGTATTGAGAACGAAGAACATATAGAGCAACAACAATGTTAATGGAGGAAACAATGAGAGTGGTCATTGTATGAACAGGCCCCATTTCACTCTTCATTTAAATCCCCATTCTCCTACCATGAAGAGCAATTCCTTCGTCTCTTCTCCTTCATCCCACCATATCCATCTTCCTCTTCACAGATCGATCATCACCAGAGACAAATCAAAACCCAAAAGCCCAAAGATGCTTTTGGGTGAACTGCATACAGAAAATTCCTTTAAGCTCCCAAGTGCTGCATTTCACAGGTCAAAGCTAAATGGCAGCGGCTGCCACTGGGGGCTGTAAAAATCAATGCGGATGGGGTTGGTCACGCTGCATCACGTCTTGGTGGGATTGGGTTTATGGCTCCAAACCATGCAGGCTCTTTTCTTGCTTGCAAGTTGATAGTGCTCAATGGTGTCTCAAATTCCATGCATGCCAAGTTACTGGCGGTAAGAGAAGGCTTATTCTTTGCTGCCAAATGGCCCAGCTGATTTGTCCCACCTAGGATGCTTAATTGAAGACTGTAAAACACCATTGGTTACGGCATGGGGGAGGGATGCTAATGGGCACCTTGTTAAGGCATCTGGATTTCCTTCAGGATGTTCTGCTAGTTGATACTTTGTAATTTGTTTTTGGATTTGTACTCCTTTGGCATGTATGGTACTCTTTCCTATCCCAGGGTTTTTCCCATGTGTTTTTCTCCGACAAGAGTTTAACGAGGCCACACAAAACACGCCCCTTGTTTCCGCTTTCTATTGGAATGAAATCTAACTTATTCTCAAAATAAATAAATAAATCTAGCTGCAATAGGAAAATCTTAATTGAAAAAGAAAATGTATACCACCTACCTGACTAAAATCAGGAATTATCCTAAATAATTTGAACCACCAAAATATAAGTCCAAATCAAATAACAGCCATAAACTTTTTCCAAAGCTGTAGTTATAACATTTTCAATGCAAAGAATAACCCTGACTAATTGAAGTAACTAATGAGTTGTAATATAACATTCCTACAAAGAGAATATCAACTTGCGGTGACAGTCAGTCATTTCTTTGTTTCCACAAAGGACTGAAGATAAGAAGCATTATGAAAATATCAAGAAATACTGATCAAATCTAGTGTGAATACCAATTTAGCAGCTCAACTCAAAGTAAATATTTTTGGATGTGCCAACTTTGTAAGATTTGTTAACCCAGAAAACCCATCAAGGGGCAAACTGGGGGACCAAGACAGCAAGAGAAAATTCACTATCAATATGAAGTAAGTTAAGACTTGGAACATCGTTTTCAAGCAGATATTTGTGATTAAAATTTGTTAACATTTGTACATTAAAAATTCTCTTTTAAAGTTGGCCAAGGTGTCACTCAATTTACAAACTTGAATAATGACATAACAAAACCGGCCTTGTACTGGTTCTCTCTCTTCTCCTCTACTTCTCGTCAAGTCCTTTCCACTGCTTCACTAACTTAACTGGTAATTTCTCACTCCCATCCAAACCCAGGCCTCTCATCATCCTCCATAAATGCACCCAGCTGCAGACAAATAAGATTTTTGCAATAGGGATCGCCAAATAATACTTGCCCATGCTATCCTCACTATTCTATTATCAATGGAAGATACTCTCTCCTAAAATTCTGCATCCTTCCCTCTATCAGTTCTACACATTGCCGCTATCGCTTCCATAAAAGAAATACAGATGGCTTCTCGGTTCCATTTAAAAATTACCCCAATCTTTATTTTTTCCCCAAGGGCTAAACTCATACCACTACACCAAGTACCATATCATACTTGTACCAGAACGTCAGATTTTACACCAATATAATCTGAGGATCTGGATAATAAGGGTCAAAGCTCCAAGAGACCTGCCCTCGGTTGCCTTTGATGAGGAGAGAATGCCATCAAGACAAATGCAACCATCTCTAAGTTTCTCTATGTCAATGTTTATAACTTGTAGAAGATTATATCTAGACGAAGACTATACAAGAAACATCCAGTTAGCTCCTCTAATTGAGTTTGACTAATTATTAGTGGGGAAGTGTATTTCAATTACGAATACAGGCAAAGCTATAATTTGAATATCTCCTGCCTGTTTACCTTTTATTAGTCTCTTCTTTGCATAAATGGAAAAGGAGGTATTGTTTGCTTAAAATTATTAAATAAACAAACAAACATACCAGAGTCAATAACACCTAATTTGATCCCTAAAATAGAAAGAAATAGGATCCCATGTTTATGTTTTGGGTACTTGTCTCATTGTTTTTATATCCAACCTATTTCGTGCTTTTAAGAGTTAAACATTCTGAGTTTAGGGTTTAGTATTTACAGTTTATGCTGGGAAAATAATTAAATACAAGTCTATCGGGACATAACTTTAGATACCCAAAACACGAGGCATAGCAATAAGGAAACAGAATCTTCCAGCAATTACTGTAATGAATATTGTGTCTGCCTGGAGTAATTTATTTCTGTTTGAGGGATAAATGGCCTAGATAATTAATCTCTTTAAATTTCAAAATCAACGAAGCTATAGATGATAAGAACACCTAATAAGCCAAGTCTTATTTTGTGTCCTTCCATAGACATGACCACTAATATTCTGATCCAAAACTATTATAGAAAATAAAAATACATCAAAAATAAAAAAGTAACTTACAACAATAATGCATTAGCTGGTAACTTTAGGTTAGAAGGGAAGCAAAGTTCAGGGTATTTGACTCAAACTCAAAAACTCAAACCCTCCAGATGTAGGTTGAAAGTTGCCACTCCATGAGAAGTTATTTAGCCCACTGTAAGGCTGCATTATTGCCACCGGTAGAATCCCTGTTTCATTCTAAATTCCTTGAAAGAACGATCATCTGATGCCACGTCTGCATCCAAATTCACCAAATCAAGACCTCTAGTCTCGCCGGGAAGCTTGCACTCTGCACACCTGCATCAACATTTGTGACATTTAAGGTACAATACTCAAATTTTAAAGGCCATTCAGGGAAAAACAAAACGGAAAGAAGCTATGGTTGCTATCATTATTCTCTTTTCAAGTTTATTGCTGTATAAACACCAGTATGTGCAATGTTGGCATTTTGTCATTGCAGCAACTCCTGTACAGAACTTTTCTTATATGGGAAAAATGCAAACAGAGTGGTAAGATGATATTGTCTCTTAATGGCTTAACTATGAAAAATTTGTGCAACATCTTGCCCTGCTTCTACAGCAACAAGGAGACATGTGAAAGCAATCTCAACACCATATATATGAATACAACACAGTGAACCCTACTTCCTCAAATGTCTGTTTCATGCATATATGGACCAACGTTTTTAAAATGAAAAATGCACTATTATGACCAACATTTTAAATAAAAGATTTACGGTAAACTGTGTCAGTAATTAAGAGACACAGAGAGAGAGAGAGAGAGAGAGAGAAAGAGAGATGAAGTAATGAATTCCAACCAAACAGAAAAAAATAGGACCAACGCTTGAAAAATTCGCGTGCATGTGCATGTGTGCAATTTACATGTGCCAATAAAGTAGAAACACTTGGCCATTCTCTAACCAACAAAGAATAAAATTCAATTCATGTACGATTGAAGACTGAATCCACACATTGACGACATAGTTCAAACAGCTCCGGAAACAAATCACAAATATGCTGAAATACTTATGAATCTTTGGATCATAACAGCAAACAAACTCATCCACATATAAATTCTTCTGATGTTAAGCAATATTTAAGATACAACTCTTCATAAGAGGTAACTAGGGCATGCTGAACCAAAAAAGGAAAAGGAAAAACCAACTACCACAAATCCAGCAAATCTACATTAAGTTAACCATTCAAAGGTAAAAATATATTGAAAACCATAACAACCATACCTTGAATTTATATTCAGTACTTCTACATCATTGCCCATCAAAATGTCCTTGAGAGAAATGAAGCTTGGAACATGACTAATTGCTTCAAAATATGGACTAAACCCACGAAGCTTAAGATAAATTAACGATCTGTAGTTTCCTGGGTGATAGTAAATCAAAGTGACAGTAGAATGGTTAAACATCAACAAACCCCCATTCTTTAAGTATCTCATTGGTTCATATAAACCTTTTGGCCACCACACACCATCATCAGTCTTAATAGAAAATCTATTGGTCCAAGATTTTTGTGTACTGTAATCTTCCATTACCCACACATTGATACAATTCTCATGAGCATAGCATACACAAAGAGAACCTCCCAAAAGTCCCAAGCTCACATGCTGACATTCCTCCAGTTCAAAAGGAGGTGTTGGAACTGAGTGAAATTGCTCATTGTCAAAGTCAAAAGACGCTATCTCATATGAACTCTCATAGTAAAACCAATAAAGCTCTCCATTCAGATAGGTAGGCAATGTCAATAGCATATATGCTGCTGACGTGGGAGCAGTACCAAGAGATTTCCATGAACTCTGCCCAAGTGTGTACAACTCAACCATCCGAACTAGATTGGGTGTTCCTTGACTAAAGACTCTCAACACCTTATATTGGTTAGTCTTCGGACTGTAACCTAATGCACAGCGTATAGATAATCTCTCTCGACTCTCATCCTTGGAAGCTTCAGGAAGTTGTATAAATTCACCCGTTATTGGATTGCACACAACAAGAGGGTCGTTGTAGAATGTTTCAGCCAAGAAAAGCAAGCCATTACACGAATTCACATACATGTATTTGTGATCCAATGGCTCCAACTTAATGCAAGGTTTCCTTTTAGTTCTACCTTTCCTATTACGCATAGCATGGATGGCTTGATCAGCATTCCGCAAAGGGATCTTGAATTTTGCAAAATTCATTCGGAGGTGAAAGTGGATACACTCCGATGTGCCAGCATCACCGACATAGTCCTTCAAGTCAAAATCAGACTTCTCTTCGAGCTCAAGCAAGTAAACGGTCCTTGACACGCGTGTTGGGGCAGAGGGTCGGACCAAAGGACAGGCCTCAGCTTGTGCAAGGTGCAGCTTAGCAAATCATGGTCTGAAATCAGAGAATACCAAGCCTTGCAGACACGTTTGCACATGATAATGCTCCTTATCGGCAGCTTTATTAGAACATCTTGAAGGACAGACTTTGGAAGATCTGATATAAAAGGACCCATTTCTTGAATTTGTTGAATTTGTTTTCCTTTGTTTCCTATTTCGATGGCCTTAGCTGTTGATTTTCTTTTCCTTGTCATGGCTAATATATGAATCTATGGCAGAAATGCACAACCAAACAAAAACAACATTGTTTCAGAAGCCATAATTAACCCACTTTGATTTGAATCCAATCGAAGAACGACATGATTAAATAATTTTTTTTAAAACACAAAGTAGAACAAAATATTAAGAAGGTAAATACAGAAACAAAGGTTTAAAAGGATTTGGAATGAGAGTATTTGTCACCTTGAAGATTGAAACCCTAGTTGCAGATGCAGAGAGAGAGATGAAAGCCCTAACCTCTAATTGGAGAGAGAAAGCCAATTACTTTCTACTACTTTGAGGCTTCTGCTTGGGTGAAGACTGGAGAAGATCGCTACCTCAAAAACGGGTGAAGAAGAAGATCACTACAAGATTTCATTTCCATGAACAGAGCGTTGAGTTTGAATTGACACAAGGAAGGAGAAAGGAGAAGGGTTTCTCGCAGGAACTCAGAGCATCGGTTACAAGCTATGAGTTGAGTGAGTGCCTGATATCACAACCTGGCACAAGGCACGCCTGGCTCCTCTTCAAGTTTACAAGTGTCTTCTCTTTAAATATTTAAAAATCTTTTTTTGTTTTTGTTTTTGTATATCTGATATATAAAAACCAAACTAAATTTTTTTTTTCTTTTTTTTTTTTTTAAAATAAATTTTTTTTTTTTTTTTTTTTTTTTTTTTTTTTTTTTTTTTCGCTTTTTCGCTTCGATTTTTTGTTTGTTTTATCCTGAAAAATAAAATCAGGCCCAAACATTTTGAAGCAGACATAAATAACTATTCCAATTTTGTTCTTTGTTTAAAAATTACTACGTTCTTGATGTCCACGGCCCTTTTTTTATGTTTTATTTTTATTTTCTAACTTAATCCAATGACAACTTTTGTGGTAAAGTTAGCCTAGTTTTAGAATGTTTGGAAGAAGAAGAGGAAAACCTTATCGTTTTAGAAGAAAATGAAAAAGATTAATAAAAGCTTCATGGGCTTCTAATGAATCATATCAACCAAAATATGAATCTTCAAAGTGATGCTAGAGTCTTTCTAAGTTCCCCTCACATGATTGTAATAGAAGAATCATGATTCTTTTACGGGGTACTATAATGAGGATGACAAGAAAAACAAAAGTACATAGTGAAATGCGACAGACATGGAAGAACAACAACTGCAACGACCATGAAAGAGAATGTCATCATGAGAGAGAGAGAGAGAGAGAGAGAGAGAGAGAGAGCTTACTTACTACGAAACCCTAGGTTAGAGATACTTGAGGTTTGAATGGATTTGGAAAATTCATGTGTATTCAATTAGGATTCTAGAGAGTTTAAAAAGATTTTAAAAATTTAGGTGTCTTTAATTTGGATTTATACGAGCTTTAAAAGAGTTTCTACAAGTTTGGGTGTATTCAATTCGGACTTGTATTAACTTTTAAAAAGTCCATATAAATATGGGTGTATTCAATCTAGATTATAAAAAGTTCAATAAAATCTAGATGTATTCAAAAATTCATATATTTGGAATGATTTCATTTAGTGATAAATTTTGGTAGGTTTTAAAGTGAGAGCTATAAATAACAAAGACCATAATAAATTCAACCTCCCCCCAAAAGATTTTATGAGACGCTAGTTTTTCTCTCTGCATATGCCCTAGCTTTTCTCTCTGCAGAAGACGAACAGTTTCCTCTATCTGTGAAGGTCCGCTTCCTATCTGATTTTCATATTATTCTATTGACTATATTTAATTCATCAGTGTTATGTAATTGCCTTGAATGAAAACTGAACACAGCAATCTAATATTTTATATTATCCAAACAAGTTTACACAGCAGCTGCATATTTCATATTATCCAAACAACTTTACACAGCCCATGCTTGATATCGATATGATCCAAAAATCTTTACACAGCAGATGCATGTTTTGTACAATCATTTTTGTACACACTTGGCCAATATGTACATATATTTGGCCACTAATACTTATATTCAAAGGGTTGTTCTAACTCCCCATCATGAAGCACATCCCCTGTCTGTTATAATAAGGTGCCAAACTTCTAACGGTAGATTTCCCACATTTTCCCTCATTGCTAACACACAAAGCATGCACAGTTTAGAGAAGAAAAAGTATTCCAACCTCCAGTTAGATTTCCAGGTGAGGCAAAGCATTAACAGATCCATTTACATTACCCACGTATCTCCATGACCATGACCACAGTAACTTGCACCTTTTCAGTGAAAGATGCATCTAGTTCAGCTTTGTGACGTGCTAAACTTGCTTCATGTTCCTCCCTGAGTTTTACTCGTTCCTCACCAAGCCTTTGCATTGCCATTTTAGATTGCTCATTTGCCTTCCTCTACATTGCCATTTCAGATTGCTTATTTGGGTCAAATTTCTGCGCACCGGGCCATCTGACTATTGGGCTATATCGAAGACATAGGCTTGGGCTATATTCTACCAAAATTGGAAGTCAGCCCAGGTCATTTCTGAAGAAGGAAAATGAAATGAAACCAATTACATAAATAAATATTCACAAGATAAAGGTTAATTACCATCAAATGGTGATTTAATCTAAAAAATACCAGTTTTAATTGGTTTAATTCCTACCCAGTTTCCAGATTATATTTCCAAGGGCTCAAGGTTTGATCATCACCGTTGATTACCAATTCAAAGCCAGATCAGCTGTTCTAAGAGCTAAAGAGAAGGAGTCTCTCTCTGCAATACCCACATGATTCCAATGACAAGACGTCAACAGGAAAAAGACAGAGGACATTCAGGGGAGTTGGTAGAAAGGTAAAATCAAAAACCACTCCCTATAACCATTAAATGCTAGAAAAGCATGCTGAGTTTCCTTCCATACTCATGAGGATCTCGTCAGTACAATTTCATTTTACAAGGGACAAACAAGAAGTAGGAGAGTTAGTTGTCAGAAACTCAAAACTGATCATCATAAACTGACCCTTGATGTGGGTTTTTCTTGTAATAATAACTACTACTCCTTTTTTTGCTGCAAAAACATCTCAGCAAACATCCTCCAGATATTAAGGAATCATCACTCATGCAGATTTCCTATAAATATAGGAGGATGTGAATTGGATCAAGGACAGCAAAAAATTCAATCAAGACAAAAACTCTCAGTCATACTAACAAAAACCAAACAAGATCAGACAATCTCAAAAGTCTTCAAACTCAGAAGCAATCAAGTTGTTTGGTTTGCAAAAGCCACCCAGCTTCCAACGAAATAGGCAAAACTCATATTTCTGACTTCAATTCGGTTCAAAAAGCACTTCACAAAGAAAGCGAGATTTCTCTCATTATAAATTTGGTTTAGAATAGATGAATCAAGTGGAGTTCAAGTTTTTCATAATATGAAAACCTCAACAAATTTCCAGAGACATCTTGATGTCCCAGAATCACCAAAATAGCTCTAAGATGATCCCCAACCAAGCAGAATATGTACTGAAGTGAGATTCCAGGTCAGCAATTGCTAATCCGGCCACTTCCAATCCAGTCCAGACCTGAGAGATCCTAGTTCTGCCCATTTGACAAGCTACACCATGGCTCAATTTAATTATAGCTATGCCAATCTCAATATTGGTATCGATTTCCAGTTGATCCCCATTAGTTAAAGGTGCTAACATGCAATTCCAGTATAAATACATTCAGTCCAGCCTGAATCACAGACAACAATCAAAGCAGAAGTCAAACCCCAATGTTCTGATGACCTTCTGGACATGGCAGTCTCTTTTGTTTGATTGTGTAATAAACAGTTCTATTTGAACTAATTTGTTTATTTTCAAACACTTATTTTGGTTAGACTTATTAGTTTTACTGTTAGACTTACTAGTTTCACAATCACTTTATCAAAAGTCAATAGATTGGGGTGCAAGTTATTACATTTCATAGTCTATTAGGGTTTTTAACTATTAATAGTGGCACTGTAACACCCCGAGCCAACAAATTATTTTTATTTAATTATTTAATTGTGTAATTATATTTTTACCCTTGGGAGTAGAGGTACTTTAGTCACTTTTTGTTTGGAAAGGAATTTGGGGAATTGAGTAGCACTGTTGCGTATAGCTCATGAATACGAGTTCGTAGACATGGGTTGGCTCAATTTGGAGTCAAAACGAAGAAATTATGATCTACGGAAGTACAATGGCACAACCGTAAATATCGCAAAGTTCCAATTTAAGTAACAGATCATATTCTTCTTTCTTTCTTTTTTGGAATCTCTCTCTCTCTCACTCTCTCTCTCTCTCTCTCTCTCGGCACGACTTTATCTCTGTACGTGGGCGGTAGCAAATTTCAAACAGCGATTTCATCTCCGTCTGATGTCCGATTCGAGCGAAATTAATTGCAAAAGTTTCATATTGATGCCCTTTATCTAATCCACCCATTTTCCCCAGCTCGAAAACCCAAGGAAATTAAACTGGAATGACTAGAAGTTTGGGTAATTTTTGAAGTTTCCAACGCCGTTTCTGGCGATTCCGGCGATTGTTTTCGTCGATCTAGGTACCCATGCGCAATGTGATATGTGATTTCCTAGGAATATTATTTTATTATTATTATTATTATTAAAGTATTTGAATTTGGGTTTCGGACTATGGTGATGTTGGATTTGGGATTTTGGTTTTTATGAAATTGGATATATTTTGGGATATGAGATTTATGTGGTTACACACCATTTGTTATACTTTCCCCGGGTTCATTATGGAAAGGATGATGAAATTATGGAAAAGAATTAAAGTTGGTCTTTGGGACCTATCGGGGCACACATATACTTTTTGGGAGGTGTGTCAAGATGTTAGTCTACGCGTATGACTGGATTCGGCCGCACGTGCCATGCAGGTCTCGACGTGCATGTTAAGGAGCAATAGTCCCCTTGTTGGACTGCTTATCCCTAGCCACATGTAAGATGCAGGATCCCAACATGTGGTTGAGAACAAACAGTCCCTGAGTTGGATTGTTTCCCCTGGTACATATCTTGTTGTGGTATACAGGTATATGTGGATTTATTTCTAGGTTGAGGTTTTTTGGGAATGTGCATTGAGAGTACTCTGCACATGTGTGAACATTTGAAATGAATTTTGGAATTGAGATGAGATATTTGGAAATTACTTGGCTTATTGTATTTTTACAAGGGCATGGTTGCGGGAAAAAGGATTTTGGGTTTTGATGATTATATTTCATATTAATGGGTTTACTTTGGTAGTGTTGAATTTACGGTTTTACAAAAAGGATTAAATTAATAAGTTTATATTATTTTCTAAAACGGAGGGGTTATTTATGTTGAATATAATGGTGTTTAACACTTGTTTTCATCCACTCACATTTTCTATTTTGTGCCCCCTAGGTTCTAGATAACTGAGGTCGAGACCATCACATCGAGGCATCATTGATATCCGCTACGTAGGAGTGTGCTATTATCACTCTGTACATTTTATTTTTCTCTGGGTTGTAAACTTAATCTTTAGTTGCTTTGTTTGAGTTTGGGTAGAGGGCACAAAGCCCATTTGAATAGTCTTAACTGGTGTGTGTGCCTTTACTTTGTGCATGCTGGAAGTTGGGTTTATTCTGGCACTTGTTTGCAGGTATTGTAAATTGGGAAATATTCCAGTTATATGGGAGATTCTGCCGAAATTCCAATAGAAGTCGAATAGTCTATCAGTTTAAGTTGGGGCTAGGGGTCCGACATCTGCCGGATGCCGGACGGGAAGCAAGGTTCGCCACGAATTCCGAGGGGGAATCCATGCATGGTCCTATCAGGCACGCTCGCACATAAAAGAAAGTTGATTTGTTGACCATCAATGGTTTTTGCCTTATTGGGAAACTTTACCCTACCACCACATGAGCTACATCAAAACGGGTAAACAATTATGTCTTCAATTCGTTTATTGTACTCTACCTGCAAACAAATTGGAAAATTGCTTTTCTCAATATCATAGGTTGTTTTCCAAATTTAGAACAACATTAGTTGCATGTCACTTACAATTGTCAACCGTGAGGCCTCGTCAACTGATATTTCATTCTCTCCATGAGTGTGGGTTAGTTTGAAGAATGTGAACCTGTCTGGTTCCTTCCCATGCTTCTTCCTTTGTCACAAAATGAAGAAAGACTGAATACATATTATAGGCAGTATTTTACTCTGCACCATCATGTTATAAACTCCTCCCCTCACAAAAGATCCCTCATAAGTTTTCAATAAAACCTATATAAGCTATAATATAAAACTTATTCCATTCAACTACTCCATTGGGATCATTACCATCCAACTTCCGTATCCAACTACCATATAAATTTAGGTCAACCCTATATGAGATGCTTATAAAACATGACAACATTTATTATAATAGTTGCCATTATTTTGGTTCTTGTAAGGCCATTAACATAAATCCTAAAATCATGCATATGCTATATATATGAAATAATAATCCATAACCAATGCTTCTGATCCACACAAGCATAGTGATACTGGGCAAATGTTCGTGTCCCTGTTGTATGGCTCATCTTCAGTTTCCTCCTAGCTCTATTCGTTGCTGACCGTTTCTAAGCATCCCATCATGTTTTACATAAATAAACATTAGTTTGCAATATTAGTAAACTCTTACAGAATATAAATCATGATTGAACTTCTTACTTGACCTTGAGTCCCATCCCAATAGACCACCAACGCATTCCAATGATCCTTGTGGACATGGTCATCACCACAAACAAACCGTCATTAAGTCCCAACATAGGGTGCATACCAATCCCTCCGTAAGGTGGCCTTAAAGTCCTTTGAACAATCATAAAGCTTTCTTTCAACAGTAAATTTAATCTTGTTCTCTAGTGCTTAAGTTTGGGGATCAGACCAATCAAGCGTTGCCTGAGACAGTGTTGGGTTCAATTTATTAATTTCAATTAACTAGAAAACTAGAAAACTTGCAAATACATCAACCTCGAGAAGGCACAAACTAAAAAACTGAAAAAATGCATATATACATAATACGTAACCTGACTTTGAATTTTCTATTGTAATTATAAACATATAGAATACCTTCGCATGTTTGAGCATAAAGAAAAAGTGAATACCTTTACATGCTCCCAATCATCTGTTATTGCAGATTCGTTTCGAAAGTATGTTGAAATTTGTGACATTAACTGGAAATCTTGATTTCTCTTTCGCAACCATCCCGATAAACCTAGAAAATCTTGCACATGTCCTCCTTGGTGCTTCAACCTGTCCTTTTGAGTTGAATTGTACCTTCTCAAGGTTATTTACAACCCAATTGTGTTTGTTTTGTCCCCTTTCTTTCCTTGGCTACCGTTAAGACTGGGCACGGTATGGTTTGACCCAATTTTGAGCCCAAACTGGAACTGGAACCCGTACTGTGCATATAGTCCGGTCCAGTCCCATTTTTATACAAAAGTGATAGTAGAACTGAACCAAACCAGATTAGTTATAATCCAGTTCGGTTCCCGGTTCTCAACGGTTTGGGCCTACTGGAAGCCCCATTTGAGTTTTTTTGGGGTTTTAAGCTTTAAAACAACCTGAATTTTTAAATTGTTGGGCTTACATCACAATTAGCCCAATTTTTACATCACAATTGGCCCAAATACAGAAACTTTTAACAAAACAAAGACATAAAATAACAAAGTTCAGCAGTTATCAAGTCACCAAATTAAATTACAACAAAGTTTAGCAGCAAATTAAATTACACAAAACAAATATACAATTAGCTCCATTATGTCATCCATTAGAGCATGTCCACCCCAAAAGACTAAGGCTAAGGCAAAGGCAAGGCAAGGGCTACCACTATTCACGTGAATAGTGGCAGCCTTGCCTTTTTTGGTTCCACCCCAAAAGGTTAGGGCAAGGGCAAATACTATTCACATGAGATATGAGGAAATGAATTTGTATAGAGTTTTTGGTGTGGGAAGTAAAGAATATGGGTAGGTATTTATAAATAAATAAAATATGGAATTTTTTGTATTTTTTTTCAATTTTTTTCCCTTTTTTTTAGTTGCTGATGTCATTATGATGTCAACATTACATCATTCTGCCCAGGCAGTAGCTTGGGCTGCCTTTTGCCCAGGCTAGGCCTAAGCGCTAGACATGCTCTTATCAAGTTGCCAAAAATCTGAGCAGCTTATCTCATATCACAAGGTTTACCAAGCTTTGCTCTAATTGGATGAACTGCATTCATTCAAACAAAACCTTAAATTAACACAATTATTTTTTTGTTTTATAATACCATGGACAGATAAAAAACATACCTTAAGACAGAAACCACACTCAAACAACCATGTAGTCTCATTGGAAAGTTGCATGAGCTTAATTGGTTGGTGTGCATGGCCTCTTAAGATCTAGAAAATATAAACATAAAACATAAATCATATATCCACCATTAAATCACAAAATAAAAAAGTATATATATATCATTAAATCACAAAAAAGAAAAAGAAAAACAATACCTGTCTCGATCAATTCATAAAACTTCATCTCTTAAATTCTTGGCTCATACTCTAAAGAAGAGATGTTATCGGACTTTAACCAATTTTGGACACAAATTAAGGCCTCAATAATGGTAGGAGTCAATGAAGCATGAAAGGAATTAACTACTCGACTACTCGTGCTAAAGCATGATTCCGAAGCTATGGTTGATACCGGGATGGCAAGCACGTCTTTTACAATAAGTGTCAAACCCAGATATTTAACCACATTCAATTTCCACCACCTCAAAATATTAAAGTCAGGAACCACATTTTTAATAGGATCGGTTATGTACCTAACAATCTCATGTGACAATACCACAGTATCACTTGTTTTAGATTCTTTTATCCAATTTTCCACTAATTTCCTTCTTTTCCTTCCCCCTTGGTGCATGCTAGTGGTACTAGTATTACTAGTTCATGAGTTTCACTAGTGACACTAGAATCACAACTTTGATTGGGTGGTGGTGGTATAACATACTCTTCATAGAGTTTCATTAGAAGCTCTTTCACCTCATTCTTCTTCTTAGTAGCATCTTCGGGATTTTCATACAGACTCTTTAAGACAAACTCCAAGTTGCCCAACTTGTATCTAGGATCAAGTACAAGTGCTACCAACAAAAGTTGGTTCACTTTATCAATGTTACCCCAACTTTTTCATGCTTTGTTCCATCTCATTCAATACCAAGGAAGTATGGGTTTCAATTAAAATCATATCATTTCCTATAAACAAACCATTAATTTCACATTCTATTGCAATCAAGTCATAAAAGGTGGTGTAGGAAGCCGGATGTAAGGAAAGACTCATCTTCAAAGTAGCCTCATAAAAGACCTTTAGAAAGTTGACAAAGATAAGAGCATTGCTCCAATCTCTAACCTTTGTGGCCCTACCCTCTTTTTAGGCTTATGAGAAGGAATCACCTCCCTGTCTTCCACCAACAGTTCTTTTTCACCAAATCATGACATATATGGGACATCATCATCTTCACCCATTCTCTCAAAAAGACTTTTTGAAACCTCAAAGCTGAATCCAACATCATAAATATATAGAATTCCATCTAGTTGGCACATCCAACACCACAAGCTCTTTGCAATTAATTTGCTCCTTCTTGACATAAGTCTTGAATTCCTCTAACCTTTGTAGAGAGGATCTTACATACTTAACTGCATTCCTAATATGCAATATGCTTTTGTCTAATCTTTTCAAGTCATCTATCACAATTAAGTTCATTATATGAGCACAACACCTAACATGCAAATACTTTCCCCTCAACACAACCTTACCATTTCTCCAATGAATCATCTTCGACTTCAAGTACTCTAAGGCCTTTGTATTTGAAGAAGCATTATCGGCTGTGATTGTTAGTATCCTTTTCAAACCAATCAAATAAACAAGTCTCAAGAAGCTTACCAATTGAGTTCCATTTGTGATTAGAAATCACGCAAAAGTTCAAACTCTCTTGTGCAAGTTCCACTCACTATCTATAAAATGTGCCGTAATCACCATATAGTTTATGTTTTGAACACTTGTTCAAGTGTCCATTGTGAGACATACCCTATGTGGTGCTAAATCGTCTTTCAATTTTTCTTTCATGGCATCATACATGGTCATAAAATGTCTCACAAGTGTCCTACGAGATGGCACTTGGAAATAAGGGTTCAAGGAATCACAAAATTTCCTAAACCCCTTACCTTCAACCATGCTAAAAAGTAACTTATCTATGACTACCCATTTCACACAACTTCTTAATCAATCCTCTTTAGTATGACCCGTTGATATAAGACCACCAAGTGCTGGGTCAAAAGACAACGTCTTTTGCCTTTTATCCTTACTAACCATCTAGGGGTATTTCTTAGGGTTTAGGGTTTAGGTGAGTAGAACCCCTTTACAAATTTCTAGATTTCGATTATAATTGGGTTATAAGGTGAGTAGAACCCCTTTACTCTACTTTTCTCACTTTGTTTGCAAATGGCTGGTTTATCTAGATTTTATAAAACAAAGAACCGGCACACATCACAACCTAAGTTAGAGACCAAAACTCAAAATAGAAATTGAAAAACTTAGAGTCTAAATAATAAGAAATGCAATGAAGAGTTGACTTTGAGGAGGAAATAGCAATTGGAGCAAAGATAGTTTAGGTAGGAGGACCTTATACAACCTAAGAATGAGGAAGATTTTCAATGATGTCTTTGTGAAAGTAAATGAAACAACAATAGAAACGTTGTTGAGGGTGTAGCCGTATGTTACCTATGGGTAAGGGGTTGAACATCCTTCTAGTTTGGTTCGTTTGTCCAGTTCTTCGGTCCATATGCCAACCTCTAGCTGGCGTCCCCTCGAACTGATGCTTGCCTCATTTATCATACCTTCGACGTTGTTGTTGAGGTCACCATTGAAGACTGACTTGTTCCACAAATTTTCTAGATTATCTTGTTGTAATGTTGTCTCTTGTTGAGGCGGTTGTGTCTCTCCATCTCTTTCCAGGTCTGCCGTGTTGAAATTGTCAGTAAGCTCCCTCAAGAAGTCACTCATATAAATGCCAGATTTGCTATGTTAGGGTTTGAGGGTAAGTTTGGTTGGAAGTGATTTGGTTCATGTATGTTCATATGAATGCCAGACTGAGCAAAAACTTGTATTCATTTTTAAAGTATGGTGATGTAAGTAATTATGTTTATGGTTGGGTTTGATCTGGGAGGGCTTGAGCAAGTATGCCCCATATGTTAGCATGAATAAAGTTAGTAGAGTATGTATAAAGCCTAGCAAACACAAGAACCAAGAGCATGCACAAGTTAAATATTTGATATTACAATCCTAGGAGGATAAAACATATATTTTACCATTGAAGAAGACATAGTTAGCATGCACGTATGCATGAAGTCTTATATAGGGACTATTACACATAGTATGCAAATTAGCGAGTACTACCATAGACCTAGAAGTATCCACAAAAGGCCAAGTGGGCACACCAAAATACAACATGATTACAATAAAGGTCATCAAAAAAACATTTTAGTTGACATTGTCTTGTTGTTCAGTTGTTGATGGGGCATTTATGTCTTATCCATTTTTCCCATAGTTTCCATTTCAGATGTAGCTTCTTCCAAGGAATCATGAACTTTAGCAGCTCACAAGGACTCGGACAATTTAGCTGCATCATCCCTTTCAACAACAATTTTGCTCATGTCGCCATTTAGCCAATTGCAGAAATGTTGACCACCAACGTATGTGCATGCTGCACAATTGCTTCCTCACCGATACTTTTGAGTACTGTTAAGCTTCCTTCTAGTACTTCTTCTTCCCAAGCCACAACATTGCACATCTCAATGAAACCATATCGATATGAATAACTGGGAGGGTAATCAGAGATGATTTTCGGGGACTTGGGGCTACGGATTGGAGTTTTATAACCTTCATAGTTTCCGTCAACAAGCCCATGCTTGTTTGATGATGAGGGAAGTATGTTAGGACCTATAGGTGGAAGGTATGGAGATCCAACTCTTTACATTTGTTATCAAACATAGGACAATATATGTTGATAAGGGGGTTTGGTGATGGAGTGAGATATTTAGGAATGTTAGAACCCTTAGAATATGTTTGGGATATTGGGGCAATATGGCTACAAACATAACATTCACCTAGAGTATTGTAATACTCCTCAAACTGTTGCTCAATACATTGTTCAAATTTCAGCTTCTTCTCATCATTATGCATGTTGAAATCATGGTCAAAATAAGAATCAACAGAATTTATGACATAAACATCAGGGCGAAGCAAACTACTAACAAAATGATTATTCACCTCAACTTCCTCATCAACATTGGATTATTGAATAACTAGAGGAGAAAATGGTAAGTTGAAAGGACCAACTTGGGGAGCAACCATATCAGTTTTCATCGCATCTCCCATGTCATCCTTGAAAAGTTGCTTTCTTATGAGGTTTGATCATAGACGGGCCATGGTAGTGGTAGTTTCTTGGTGTATGTTGGCTTCTAATATACAAAAACATTGTGAAGAAAGAATGACTATTTGTAGAATTCAATACTGTTAATAATGGGTTAGTAGTTAACAAAACTATGATTGGATGATCTATCTAAGCTTCATTATGATTTTATATTGAGTTGTGTGTCTTTATTAGTTTTATATCTATCATCTAGAAAAGGATTTTAATGTTATTGTTGTGTGGTTGAAATTAGTAATGTTATTGTTGCGTGGTTGAAATTAGTTTGTTATACAATGATGAGATGTGAACAAAAATGATTATAGTGGGCGTTGTTCATACTAGCAATAGCCCTCTTTCTTTCTATTTCTTGGTTGACTATGGGTATACCACACCAATAATAGCCCAACGACTATCAACCCTCAATTAAAAAACAAATTGAAAATTTACTCTAACTACTAGTTGTACAAGTAGATACTAATCATCAATGAATGCCAACATTAATATTACTTTTGCTACTATTTTGCAGATGTCATTTAAACCATTCAATATTGAATTAAATGAAAGAGACTAGCATTCACAATCAGTATCCAATTTAAGGCCAAATGTCAAAACTTAGTGAAGGGGAGCCAAGCTAGTTTGTAGAGGGAGCCAGCCAAGCTTGTTTGTGTTATTTGTGAGTGGAGTCAAATGGGCTGCAGCTTCATTTGACAAGTTGTGACTGATAATGACAAGTTGGGACTGATAAAAAGGCCCAAATATTAAAGGAATTAGTCTATCCCAAATACTTTTAATATGCATGATTTTGGAATTAGTTTCCCAAAAAAAAAAATCACAAGACACTTTTATGAAATTGTATCTAGATAATCAATGGGTAGTAGCCATATTTTTAGTAGTGTATATACAACTTTATAAGAATGGTTCGCTGAATCACTGGACAAGAAACTGAAATATAGTAATTGACAGCCTTTTTATAATTAAACAAGGGAAGTTATGTTAAAATGTGACATTCATGTTCATAAGTTGTCCATGCAACTTCTGAATTTGTTTGTGAACGTATGCAGTCAAATGCTATTGGTGATATTCATGTGTGTATTCAATTGTGTGGGAGAAAAACTGAGACAAATATAAAGGTATCCGATAATGAATAGTTAAAGGGTACTTAGCAAAAACTTTGCAGTGGAATACTATTGGGATCTATGGTTGCTGATGTACATTTTTTAGGTACATTAGTTGTAGATTTTACTTTCCCTTCAACTAATTAATGTATCCGATAGTGAATAGTTAACGGGTAAAACGTTAATTGAACAAATATAATTATCTTTCCAAAACTGAAAGCAAACTTTTTTCTTTGGGTAAGAAAAGGAAACTTGGCATTGTTTTGATAATTATCTTTCAACATCTATAGTGTTTTATGGGTTTCGTATATTTTTTATGCTTTACTTGTGATTAATATGATAAAATTCATAGTTGCACCAATTAAATGGAGTCTGAAAATGCACAACAAGTAAATGGAAAAAGGAAGAGTAATCAAGATTATAACGCTTGGAGTGCGGAAGAAAGTAGAATGTTGTTGCAACTCATGGTTGATGTTGCATCGTGTGGATGGCGTGATGCTAATGGCATGCTAAGCCAGGCAACTGTAGAAACCAAAATACTCCCCAAGATTAATGAAAAACTTAGGTGTCACAAAACCTATTCTCAATACCAGAGTCGGTTGAAACACTTTAAAAGAGAATACCAAAAATATTCACAGCTTATCCATCACAGCTCTGGGTTTGGGTGGGATCCAACCACAAAGAAATTCACTACTCCTGAAGAAGTTTGGAAAGGCTACTTTAAAGTTAGGTTATTAAATTGTCTTTAAATAACTCTGTTTGGTAACTTGAATACATAAAAATGTTAAATAATAATTATTTTATTGTTTTTGTTATAGTCCCATCCAAAAGACACAAGTATTCAAACAAAAACTTATGATGACTATGAGGATCTGCAAATTGTAATTGGGAATGCAACTGCTATTAGAAGAAACTCATTAGGATTGGGTGATGATACTTATGCAAGAACTTTTAGGGTGGAAGATAGACATGTTGAAATAGAGGACTTTGTTTTTTATGATGAAAGTTAGGCCTTTATACCAAATCATAATGAACCACCACACCAAGATCCACCACTCGAACATTTTTCTTCATCCTTACCTTTTCATGCCACTAATTGGGAAGGTCCCTCAGAAGGCTCAAGTCAGAGGAAACGAACTATAACAGATTTGGAAGGGAATGCTATCTCAAATAAGACCACCCAACAAGCTATGGGAAGAATTAGCCTTAGCATTAATTCAATTGCCACTGACTTCCAGGGAGTCCATAACCTATTGGCAAAAAGAAAAAAATAGAGACAGCAGTAGAGTTATATGTGGGATGCCATTAAGGAGATCCCAAATTTGGATGAACGTGCTCGTTATAAAGCGCTTTATTTGTTGAATACTAATACAAAAAAGAATGCATTTTTGAAAATGTCCCCTGAGGAGCGCTCAAATTGGATATCCCTACAATTTGGAATGTGTGTGTGTGTGTGTGTGTGTTTTTTTTTTTGGTTGAGAGTTTTTGGGAATGACTAGTTTGTTTGGAATGATTGGTTTTTGGGATTGTTTTTTGTTTCGATATCATCTCCAAGAGTTTGGTGGTCAAGGCCGTGAACCTGCAAATGAAGTTGAGTTGTTCAATTTTCGTCATGCATCCGTAAGGAATGTCATTGAGAAGATATTTGGTATAGTTAAATCACGATTCACAATTTTCAAATGCGAACCTCCATTCCAATAAACGACACAAACAGAGCTAGTGTTAGCTTGTGTAGGACTACCCAACTTTCTTTGAAGAAAGTATAGATCTAACGAATTTCCTGTTGAATTGGAGAACGAATGTTCTTCATCTTCATCGTTACCGGTTAATGAAGGGGATCCTGAACTAGGTTTCCCAACACAAGAACAATGACAAAATGCTAATGAATAGAGAGTTGGTATAGCTTCGAATATGTGGAGAGATGTTGGGCACAATAACAACAATGAGAATCAAGGATAATAAATGAATGTTGAATATTTTCCTTAAACTTTGCTTTCAAATTTGTTATACATTTGTCACTATATTTCTTGTGAATTTCTTATGAATTTTTCTTTTTGTTAAAAATAATTTTTTTTATTTATGAATTTTGCTTTTTGTTAAAAGAATATCATTCATCATTACCAAGGATTGAAATATCGGCCGATACACCAATATATCGGCCGATATATCGATATTTTGAACTGTCGACACCGATATTGGGGGGTAAGGTCATATCTTCCCCGATATCAACGATATATCCCCGATAAGTGCGATATCCTCGATATTTTGCCGATATTCTCGATATTTCCCGATACCCATAACAAAACCCAAAAAAATTCAAAAGTTTTGAAGCAAATTGAAATTGAAAAGATTTTTTGGAGGTATATGTGCAATGATTAGATATATGTGTGAAGGCTTTTGGCAATATTCAATTCAAAAGATGTTTTGGAGTATGCATGTTTTAGAGTATGCATCAAAAGAATCTAGACCTAGTACTAACTCAAATGAATCTTATGATGGCTATGGTTATGTCATGTCTGATTATAGTGGAACTAGATATGGAGCTCAAGATGATGAAACAGATTATGGACCTACTAGTTGGGTTAATCCTAACTATCCCATATATGGGAGGACAGTAGGGAGCTCAAGAGAGACATATGTGCACCATGTTCAAACATGGCTTACAAACTACTCGGGTTACATGACTTGGTATGATTATTGTATGAATCTAGATGGTTATTCCACATTGTTTGAACCTCATAGGAGCTATTCATTTATGTAGTTGGACACTCATCTAAATTGTAATCCAATGTTCAAATAAACTATGGATTTATGCATGGTTTATTCATTCTAATCAACTTTTTATTTTCAAACTTTTCATTAATGCGTATTACATACCACTTATATTTCATCATATATATATACATATATCTTATTATTAGTAAATTTTGAGTTTTATTTATTCAATACATTCATTGACAATGTACATAACATCTATGAAAGTTTTACACCAAAATTATGTGTTTCAATGCCTATATCTGTCATTTTTGTTGATTTTTTTCCCGATACCCAAAACGATAATGATATATCCCTCGAAATATCCGTAAATTGGAGGCCCGATATTATCTGCACGACCGATATTTTAATCCTTGATCATTACTATGTTTGACCTAACTATTTGGTTAGAAATCACTAGGGAAGAGAGTTTATGTATTTGAAGTATTCAGTAACCACAAGAAGAAGAAAAAAACATAAGAAGAAAGATCTGAAGTTTCTTTCGAAATCATATAACTATTGCACCATACTTTTTATACAAAGTGCTAAATGAGAGAGCAATAAAAAACAAATGTCCTAAAGAAACAGAGCATCACTTACTGACCCACAGAAAGCAAACATCTCTTCTTCGCTTTTTGATTGTCTGGGTAAGGATGCCAAAGTTAGCATTCGTCTAAAGAAATATGTTAAAGAAATTACGAAAGTCCGAAATAAAAGCCATATAAATCTTAAAATAAAATTATATAGAACTCTTCTCAAGTCTATGCGAAATCTAAAACTTCCGTAAACTTCCATGAAATGGGCACTTAAAAAAATTATTTTAAAATGTTCTAGAATCCTAATTGAATACACCCCTCTTATTTTATATGAATTTTAAATTATCAAATTTTAACTCGTTAAATTCTAGATGGATTTAGCCCAAATAAAAATCCACTTACTTAAAATGGACCCAAACAACATGATTTACATTTGGGCTATTCAAATTCAAATTCACACCCTTGTCTCGTTCATCAATCTCTGATGTGGGATTTGTAGCTATTGAAATAGGTGCGAGTGTTGATGATCTTGCAATTGTAGGAGAAGAATGGAAGTTTGGAAACTTCTCCAATGAGGGGGCTATGGTGAGGAAGTATGTTGTGGGATTCAATATGGTCGTCCAATAATAGCTCTTGAATTAGCCATTAGAGATGACAAGGAAGACAAAATTACGGAGTGAAATGCTATAGACATGGAAGAAGAACAACTGTTGCAACCACCATGGAAGAGGGTGTCATCATGAGAGAGAGAGAGAGAGAGAGAGAGAGCTTACTTACTATGAAACCCTAGGTTAGAGATACGGGAGGCTTGAATGGATTTGGAAAATTCTTATTTAATATGGATTTCAAATTCTCAAATTTTAACTCGTCACATTCTAGATGGATTTAGCCCAAATAAAAATCCACTTACTTAAAATGGACCCAAGCAACATGATTTCGTTTTGGGCTATTCAAGTTCAAATTCACCCATTCGTCTCGTTCATCAATCTCCGATATGAGATTTGTAGCTGTTGAAATAGGCGCGAGCATCGATGATCTTGCGATTGTAGGAGAGGAATGGAAGTCTGGAAGCTTCTCAAACAAGGAGGCTATGGTGAGGAAGTGTGTTGAAAGATTTGATCTAGTCATCTAATAATAACTCTTCAATTGATCTGATGGCTATAAAGGAACCCCACGTATAATAACCTCTCGTTACAGTCTTATCTGCTGAAATCCATAGATCCAAACGGGCCCGTGAATTTATAGCTGGATTAAGCTAATCGATCCGTTGACCTGTTTGCTTGGAAGTGGGTCATGTGGGAAGAAAGATGTGCCTGTGCATTTTTTAAAGAATTTGGGCCGAAGATGATAGAACACAGAATGTTCAGCCCATTCAACTGCAAGGATGCATTCGGAACGACATCGTTTGGTGGCTGTCATCTCCTTTCCTTCAATTCCCGAATCCAAGCGCGATTGATTTTGTTGGTTTAGGTTTCCGAAAGAGAAAACGAAGAAGCATTTCCAGAAATGGCAGGGAGATTGAGCAGTGTGGCTTCCAAGATCATGGGCGGAAACGGCGTCGTCTCCCGTTCCGTCGCTTCCTCTCTTCGTCTCCGCGCCGGCATGGGCCTTCCCGTCGGCAAACACATCGTCCCCAACAGTCCCCTTCACGTAAACGACGAGCTCGTCTGGGACAACGGCACGCCGTTTCCCGAACCCTGTATTGATCGCATCGCCGACACCGTTGGTAAGTACGAAGCTTTGGCTTGGCTCTGTGGGGGTTTGAGCTTCTTTGCTTCTTTGGGTTTGTTGGCCGTGTGGAACGACAAGGCGTCTAAGATCCCATTTGCTCCAAAAGTGTACCCATACGACAATCTTCGAGTGGAGCTCGGTGGAGAACCGTAGGTACATCCAGCGGTTTCTGATTGTAATTGTGTGTTTCAGATGTGTTTTGTTGATTTCTGTGTTTGATATGCTGGTTCTAAATAATGCCTGTAACTGAAACTGAGATATTTGGCCTGTTTCATGATCTTCAAAACAAATTTCAAGTCTTGGTTCATTTATATGAACTTCTTTTGATTTTCATTTGAGATGCAATTTTTCATGTTTTGTTCAGTTGGGTTTCTATTTCATATGTGATATGTACCAATTGTGGGTCATGATCATTTGTGAACCTTTTTTTGTTTTTTTGGGTTGTAGAGCTCAAATTAAGGGGATAAAGGTAGTATAACACTCTGAGTAACACCGAACAAGGTGAGCTGAGAAATGCAATTGGCCTGTTTGAAAGTTTGTTTGATCTGGCATAGTATGTTTCTGAGAGTAGGGAATTCGGTCAAACCGATGACATCTTAAATTCAGATTTTCACATGGTTTGTGTGGTAAAGAGAAGCACAGTTTATGATTTGATTGTGAGGTTGCCTTTCAAGGGTCATCCTGTATCTTTGCTTGCGTTTCTGAGGATGTAACAGTGGAATTGATGGCTGCTTCCTGTCATGTTCAATTTTGAACGAAACAGTTGTCATTTTCTAAAATGGGGACTGTAATCTTGAATACTTTGTGGACACCCCGCGCCCCCTAACCTGAATGTAATGCAAATATGTAATTTGCAGAGAAAATTTTAATTGGCCCTGGACATTGAGTTAATTGGTGTAGAACTAGTTTTTTGTCCTTTCACTTAGCTGTTTGAACTGATGTGAAAGAAGAGTCACTTCCAACATTTTAACTGTTTGAAGTTTTCTGTTATTGCTTAAGTGGCTGTTATAAGACTATATAACTTTGAGTTTATTTCAATTGTTGTGATGGAAATTCCTGTAATGTGTTTTAAATTGTACTTATGGAGAAATGCCAGAACTATGCAACATTTTTCCTCAAATTGCCTGCTCTTAACAATTAAGTTGTACTTCTGTCCTTATTAGAACGGAAGTTTTAATTTCATTCAAGGACAGGGCAAGGTTACATTGATGTGCAGTCCAAACATTAGATCAAACCAGGAATGGAGAGAAAGTAATTCACCGCTTCAAACTTCCTTAATAAGGAGATTATGTCATGTGATTCATACTATTGGTTATTACTGATGTTTTTAAAGTTCATACGAAGTTGATGTGTTCTTTGGAAGGTTTTATACATGACATCACCTACAATTTAGGCGCATCCCCTTGATTAGGTAGCAAATGGAACTGCTGCAACCACATCATTTTGAACATTTTTGTGCTATGTTTTTGGTACAAGTGGTTTGTAAGCATACTTTATTGTTCCATGATCTGTTTCTTATTTGGATACTAGTTATTTTATCATAGAGTCACTGCTACAGGTGAGTAACTCTAGGCCATTGGCGAAAAGGGTGTTGAGATAATGAGAAAATTGAGAAAGAGTGAATTGGCTGAATGGTAATGAGATTGGTCGTCTGCATAATTTGTTTGCACTGTTATCAGTCAGATTCAGGAATCTCTCTATTAGACACACACTTGCACACAGACGTAAGTTGATGTTTCTGATAGTGTATTAGGCTTCATATTCATTAGTTTATGACGAGGAACCAGAATCGGTGTAATTACTCTCTCTCTTTTCCTAATCCAGTAGGTCATTCCATGTAATTAGCTATTACTGTCTCTCTTTTCCTGTAAATTGAGCGTGCAAGCATATGATTTTGAACATTTACTTGTTACTGATGTTCTTTTTTTCTTTTTCTTATATGTAAGTAGTTCCCATGTATAATTTATTGTTCTGAGATCAATTTTTATTTGTGCACTGGTTCTCCATCTTCTTAAATGGATTAAGATCAATTTACTTGTTTAGTGCTTCCAGGGCATTGGTCAAAGTGAGTAGAGATTGATGAGAAAAATTGAGATATAGTTGAGTGAACGGTTACTTGAATAGGAATGTGAATTGTCCTCTGCAGAATTGTTTGCTTTGTTATGAGTATGATGCAGGAGAATCATAATCCATTAGAAGAAGACACTTGCTCACAACTTTACACCAGTGCACGATCTCAACTATTTTCAACATCATTTTCAAACATTGGAATTCGAAATAATTCAATTTCACTCCCTTGATTAATTGATTTTTATTTTCCCTGAATAAGAATGGACATGAAAAATTCCAGACAAATCCCTTTCGCGAACGAAATGCAAGATTAGCCGTGGAAGGTTAGAAATTTGTTATGATATAGGGGTGATTTTGGCACTCCAAAACCACCCTTAAATTCCCTCATGCACTCATTTATTTAAATTGTGCATTTTAATCGTTTCTTTGTTTCCATCAGGGTTTCTCTTAGATTCTGAAACCTAAAACAGAACAGGGAAAAAGCCATCGCAATTGTCATGGCAGGCCATGGTCAATTCCAGTCTCATGAAGGGGATAGCTTTCTTCATTCAAATGGTTTTGGATGAGAAATCGATGAAGCCCAAGTCAAATTGAAAAGACCGTTATTACCATGCAATATAGTTAAAAATTCAGGATAATAAATTGAAATTAACTCTATTTATTTATTTATTTACGGGTTAGAAAGTAAAGCTGGATTAACAATTTTAGATAAAATGGATAAAGATAAGGTTTTAAGTTAATAAAGATGGTCAATGTCACTGATTTTCAGTCCATTAGGCAAAGCTGAAAAAGAGAAAAAAAGACTTAAAGGGAGTAGGAGCCCCAAGCAAACCAAAAAAAAAAAAAAAAAAAAAAAAAAAAAAAAAAAAAAAATTTCTAAAAAAATACAAATTAAAATAGAAAGAAAAATGTATTGTATTGGTGCTATAATTACAGCCTGTAATACTTACTGATCAGAGTAGCTTCAGATTTACGAAGCTATTTCAAATTTGGGCATCCCTAAACCCTAAATCCTAAATGGTCAATAGGACTTGGCGCATCCATGCACTAGGTTTACTGCAGAATTTTCATAAATTTTGACGGGTTGAGAATTTTCTTTAAACCTGTTGAATAGGTTTTAAGATTATCAATTCAATGGTGTAGATTTACCCATTAAATTTTAGCTAAATCTAACGACCAATAAAACCTGGCGAATCCATGCACCAAGTCCACCGTAGAATTTTTGGTGGAGGTGAATCTATCATTTTCAGTCTTGTATTTTTCTTTTTTCAAAAGAGGGTACAATTATAAGCCCGCCACAATTGTTCTATACCACATCAGTTTTCAGTTCAACGGGAAATTATTATCTGCAAATCAAATATAATATATGGTGCCTGTCCTCATGCCCATCAGTTATTACTGTCATGTCATAGAAATGGGAAAGCTAAGAAAAATTTGAGTGGATGAAGAATCGAACAGCTTGGCTACCTTCCATGTGTCTCATTTTTAATGGACCAGTGCTTAATCAAATATCGTACGACGTGTCGTCTTCATTTGGCGGGTTCATGGTTCAGGGTTGTGTGAGTTGAAAATGGTTCAAACTGGAAATTGGTTTTGACTTTTCACCAGTGCTTGCAAAGCCTCAAGCTTTCTAGTTCGACAATGGTGTGGGTCTCATTTGAACAGACCAAATGCATTAAGAATAAGGTGGAAATCCTCAAGCTTTCTTGTTCGAGAATGGTGTGGGTCTTATTTATTAGATTTGGCATTTTCGGATATCTTATATATCGGAGTCGGATTTTTTTTGGAAATATTCGGACCGAAATCGGTTGAAATTGGATTTTCCAATCTGACTTACACTTCTAATTCTAGGATTATATATATATATATATAAAGAGCAAAAGGTAGAGAATGATGAAACATGCAAAATACTATAAAATACCATTGGTTAATTAAAACATTAAGAATTGAAATTATTACTTAAATGAGGATAATATGGTTAATTCATAATTTTTTTTCATATTAAATCAAAATTAGATAATAGGTCATATTTTTATGGAACACAACTACCCTTTTTTTAAAAAAAAAATTCTAAAAAAAATTTTAATTTTTTTTTTATAGAAAAAGGCTCTAGCAGGCGCGGAAGCGAATGCGGAGAGGTTAGTATATATATTAAATCGGATTTTCCAATCTGACTTACACTCCAAATTCTAGGGTTTAATATATATCTATTTATATAAAGCAAAAGGCAGAGAATGGTGAAATATTCAAAATACCAGAAAATGTCTTTGGTTAATGTAAACATTAAGAATTGAAATTATGAATTAAATGAGGATAATATGGTAAATTCATAATTTTTCATATTAAAAAAAAATTAAAATTAAAACAAAAATCAAATAATGGATCATATTTTTATAGAACACAACCCATTATCTTTTTTAATTCTAAAATAAATTTTAATTTAAAAAAAAAACTCTCGAAAGTGCAGAAGCGTATATAGAGAGGTTAGTTAGGAATAAAAGAGAGTTTCCTAATAGTACAAGTGGTACATGTGCAAAATTCTTTGATAATTATTACATGACTGAATTTTTAATTTTTTTAAGGTGTGGGAAATTACCAACATGTAACGACCCGTCGCAAATTTTTGTATTTAATTATTTAATTTTAAATACGTGATGATCATTTTGCCTTTGGGGTTAGAATCTTTCAATTTTAGTAGGCCCTTTTCTTAGAGTATAGTGGTGGAGTTTATAAACGTATGAAAAGACCTGTACTACCATGCCATTTAGTGAAAATTAAAAAGAGGAAATAAATAAAAATAAAATTTACATGACAATATTTATTAATTGACATGGCATGACCACATTAGCTGCCACATAAGGTGGTCAACAAATGTGGTCAATTTTGTGTGTCTAAATAGCATTACTCCTTCTTTTTAACGAATTAGAAACAATTTTTAGATAAAATGGATAATGTTTAGGTTTTAAGTTCATAAATACAACAGCGACAAAATGTAAAAAGATTTAAATTACAAATAAGTTCACAGCTGTAATACTGATGAGAGTAGCTTCAGATTTACCAATCTATTTCAAATTTGACTTCAAAAAAGAGAAAAATAATATATTTTATTGGATTATTAATTAGACCGCAATAAATGGCCTCGGCGAAAAGAAAAAAATGACCGTTGAAAAGTTATATATACCCAATTTCCCAACGCAACTAGGAAAGGGAAACTTGGATTTCGAAAAACCCCAATATCGTCAAGTATACGCAGATCTTTCGTAAAGCCTGAAGGGTTTCTTTCAATTCCAACTCTCTTCTTCATATCATCATCATCATCATCATCGACTTGTTCGTTCATCAATCGATCTGCGATCTGCTTCCCCTGCTTCTTCTACAACCCACAAGTTCTGCTCTTGTTCTACGTCGTCTCTTTTGTTTTTGTTAGCCCACAAGTTCTGCTCTTCTTCTACAACCCAGAATCTTTGTATCTTCGGAAAAAGCTTTGTTCTTCACTTTTGAACAAAGTGTACAAAAGCAATGGCGGGTCTCAAGAGAAAAAGAGCAACCCATGATGAGATAATAGTTGTAGACGATTCTTCAGATGATGCAGATCATTACTTGACAGTTTCACTAAGTGGCTGCGAGTGGGTTCGAGGGCCGATGCTCGGCCAAGGCGGATTCGCGTCGGTTTATTTGGGTTTCGTGAAAAAACCCAGGTTGTGTTTGAAGGGTGTGCCGAGGATTGTGGCCGTGAAATCGACATTGGCCTCTCAGGCGCATGATCTGATGGGGGAAGATATTCTTCTTTACATTTTTCGTCACTGCCCTTTTGTTATTAACTGCTATGGAGAGGATGAGACGATTGGCGCTGATGGCAGTCATTTATTCAATGTGTTCTTGGAGTACGCGGATGGAGGAACAATGGCGGATTTGATTGAGAAATCAAGGGGTTTTGGGTTGCGTGAATTCCAAGTCAGAAAGTATACAGAGTCGATTTTGAAAGGGATTAAGTACATCCACGAAAGGGGTTTTGTGCATTGTGATCTCAAGCCTGAGAATATTCTGCTTGTGTCTGATGCCGCTGGTTCCTCTGGTGGTGCTCGTTTTGTGCCGAAAATCGGAGACTTGGGGCTCACAAAGAAGGCAAATCAGAAGTGGGAGAAGCCTTCCTTTGGAGGCACACCAATGTATTTGTCTCCAGAAGCCGTGGTTTATGGAACTCAACAGCAGCCTTCTGATATTTGGGCGTTAGGTTGTGTTGTGCTGCAAATGCTAACTGGGAGGCACCCATGGAATTTCACACCTGGAGCCGTATTTGACGTTCGGGACCTGTTAACTGCCCTGCTTGTTTCAAGAATTCCTGCCATTCCTGGTTGGTTATCAAAAGAGGCTAAAGATTTCTTGCAATGTTGCTTTATGTGGAACACTTCAGAGAGGTTTACTGCTGCTATGCTCTTGAACCACCCATTTATGACTAAACTGGATAATGGGGTTGGAGAGGTTAAACCAATTAAGCAAGTGTCTTCTGCAGTGGCTTCCTCTGTTCCGGATTGTCCTAGCTTCATACCCCTTGGTAGTTGGAAGTCTGAAGATGCAGAGGAGATGGCTCAAGAAAATGATGGTTTTTCTGAGCAGGAGATTCTTCCTCTGAAGCTCATGTCAAGGCATGTGGTTCCAAGCCCAAAACCATCAACTTTTGCTATAATGGGTGCAGCTTAGCTTAGCTTTATTGTTTACATATGAAACTCAATTGTATTTTATGAAAGCCTTTTTCATGAACTGGTGTAAATTGTAATACATTATTCTATTGATTTTTTGAACCTAATATAGAGCAAATAATACAAACATGCCACTTTGATCTCTATTTCCTTTCATGAACTGGCAAGTTTGGTCTCCCTCTCTCTCTCTCTCTCTCTCTCTCTCTCTCTAAAGTAGAGTGACTTCCAGCATTTTAACTGTTTGAAGTTTTCTATTATTGCTTAAGTTGTTGCCATAAGACTAGGGCGTGGCATTCGTCCAAACAATGAGAAAATTGAAACTGGAAACAAAAAAACATCTCAAAAAATGCGACCACAAACATGTAACTTTTGTTTTGTCAAAACCCCTGCTCTTAACAATTAGGTTGCATTTCTGCTCTTATTAGAATGGAGGTTTTAGTTTCATTCAAGGGCGGCAAAGTGTCGCGTCACATTACCTACAGTTTAGGTTCATCCCCTTGGTTATGGAGCATTTTTGTGTTATGTTTATGTAGAAGTAGTTTGTAGGCATAATTTATTTGTCCGTGATCTGTGTCTTATTTGTAGACTAGTTCTTTTATCCATAGAGTCACTGCTCTTGAGATACTGAGAAAATTGGGAAGGAGTGAATTGGTTGAATGGTAATGCGATTGGTCCTCTGCATAATTTGTTTGGACTGTTATCAGTCAGATGCAGGAATATCTCTATTAGACACACACTTGCACACGGACATAAGTTGATGGCCCTGTTATCCGTTCCAAACCATTCGTCAATGGCCCTGTTTTGTGTTTGATATGGTGGTTCTAAAACTGAGATATTTGGTCTGTTTTATGATTTCTGTGTTAACTTCTTTTGATTTTCATGTTAAGATGCAATTTTGTTCAATTGGGTTTCTATCTCATATGTAACATGCACCCCACCACATACTCCCTTCACTGTTTTCATCCATACAACATTCCTACACTATTTTTTCCCTTCCTTATCTTCTCCACAAATCACTCATCATCAAAGTTAGCTTGTATTTTGGAAAGTAAATAAATAATATTTTTTTTTACCTTTTTCCCATGTATGGTGATTTAGATTGCTTGCCCTAATTTTTAGTCTTTACATATGTCATTGAGGCCCTTCCTCCCATCGCCATCAAGCATCACTTCTTATGAGAAGTCTCAACAAATAAAGAAATTGAGCTCAAGTACTACAAGATAAGAGGAGCAAATCGCAGACATCTTCACTAAGGCACTTCCAAGGCCAAAATACGAACTGCTACAAAGCATGCTCAGAGTAACACAAATGTGCATTAAGGAGGAGTTGACAAGTTATAGTCACTAGAAATTAATACACACTTGTGTCTTGAATAATATAGAATAATCTAGAAAAATTGAGAGAAGTTGACAAGTTAAAGTCACTTGAAACATCCTACTAATTATATATTGTATTTTAACTAGAGAAATCTAGAATTAAAAGACAACTTGTGACTGAAAATGACTTTGAAAAAGTTAGTTACTGTGCAACCGACTTGTCCAAAGCAAAGTTGCCAACTCAGTAGAAGTCAGTAAGTAGTTGATGATAAAGAATGAAAAATGTGGAGAAGTAACCAACCATTGTGGCAAATGTGACAGATACAAAAACAAGAGATGTGTTGTTGCTTACTTGCGCAGAAGTAGAAACCCCTATAACAGTAGAAACCCAAAAGACTCTCAAGCCACTGTGATTACAGCTGGAATAAAGAATTAAATTTAAAAATGGATAAAGCCTTGAAAGAATACTACAGTTTAGTATTAGTAGTTCCAAAGCATCACGCAATCAAATAACAAGATTTGATTTTGTTTCTTGCAACGGTAACAAACCAGGACCTGGGCTTAGTGATACCGTATGGGCCACGTGAAGAAAGCCAACTCAGCATCATTCCCTTCCTATGCTATATATATGCGCATCCCCCTAGTCAAAATTCCACACTTCACTTCGTTTGATCGAGACTTCGCACTTGATTTAGGGTTTTCATCTCAGTAGCCCTAAACTTTTTTTTTCCTCTTTCTCTTCTCTTTGTTTGATTGATACTCCCCTCTTCTCTTTGTTTGATCGAGACTTCGCATCCTCTCTTCTCTTTGTTTGATCGAGACTTCGGACTTGTTCTCATCTCAGTAGACCTAAACTTTTTTTTTCTCTTCTCTTTGTTTGATCAATTAGTTTCTATGGCGCCTAATAATATTCCTATGGGTTTCAAGTTTCATCCAAGTGATGAAGAATTGTTTGGATATTATCTTCTTAACAAGGTTCGTGGCTCATCATTTAAGTATGAAAATGTTATTTCGGAATTTGATCTTTACGGTCAAATAGAGTCGTGGGATATATGGAACCAATTTGGCGGAAACAAATTAGAAGATGGTGAAGACCTTTATTTCTTCACCAAATTGAAGAGCTCGAGTGCCAAGAATACTCACATGGCTCGCACCATAGGATTTGGGTCATGGAAAGCTGAGAACTCAGGAAAAAAGGTCCCTGATCCAAAGGATAAGAAGAACGATTTAGGTATGTGGAAAAGGTTACATTATGAAAACCCTAAATCGGATCAAAACAGTTGATGGATCATGCACGAGGACAGCCTTCGCCCTTCATTGGTGAAGCCCAAACCAAACTCAACTCATCAGTTTGTGGTTTGCCGGATTCGAAAGAACCACATGAGGAAGAAAAAGTTTAAGTCGACAGTTGCAAAAGAAACTCATGGCATTCCATATGTACAATCTCAAAATAAGAAGTAGAGGCAACAAGACTAGCTTTGAAGAATATTTAATTGGAAACTCCACTCCCATGTCTTAGGCTATTGGAGGAGGGCCCACTCAAACTCAATCTTAGCAAGACTGCCCTTTCGCATACCCAATAACCATGGTTGATGATGCCATCCAATTTCATGGTGATGTTTGTTTACACCATAATTAACCAAGCATAGCCAGAATCAAAATGACTGGCACTAAGGTAGACACGTCTTCTCTCTTGCTGAAATACCCCAAAGGGACACACAGACAAATCCCTAAAAAGTGACTGACGTCATCACCTTCTGACATGCCTAAGGAAGACACTATTCTAAAGCGGTAGCCACCTGCTGAAGCTTCCGATTGCCGAACCTAATCTCCAAGGGACACGTGTCACCATCATAGCAACTTTCACAAAGTCCCACATCGAAACTTTGTGCAAGACTCCTATTTTCACCTCTCTATAAATAGGGAACAATGCCCAAGTAAAAAGAGTAACTATTTTCTCACCTTTATTGTTACTCTACTAAAATTACCACATATAGTTAACTTAAGCATCAAAGAGCCTTCGGCAGGCACCACATCGGTGTCTGAAGCTTGATGACTGCTTATTCCTTCTTGTCTTATGCGGGTTCTTCAAACTCCAAAGGTCCTCACCTTCTTCCCTGCTGAAGATCCAACGCTTCTCTACCTAAGTTAACCCTCCCCAAAAAGATCATCAACAGTTTGGTGCCATATGTGAGAATTGACTTCTGAATCCCACTTCCCTTTATTAGTCCCGGTGGCTCCCTCCTCTATCGCCTTGTTGCCTCCTATACTCCCCACACTTTGCTATCCGGCGCGAGGCCAGCCTCGATACCCAGCGCCACACCCTCGTGGGAATTCCTCTCAAAAGAAACCTTCGGTGGAGGGGAATCTCTAAGAGGAGGTGGAGCGCCTCCGCTCCAGTATGGCCAAGATGACGGAGAACTACGAACACCTTTGTACCTAGAATGTCGAGCTAGAGCATGATTGTCGTGCCCTGAAGCGTAACTCGCTAAAGACTCGCCACTAGGGCGCCCAACAAGACCTTACCCAGGATGTTGAACACACCCAGCCGAACCAGCCAGTGATCTCCCATCTTAGCGCCCCAATCCAGTCCAGGCTCGACAAGGGCAAAGGCCACCTTTATCTAGAGACGACCAAATCGCAGCTTCTTCACATTTCCCCACCGAAGGATAAGCCCTATATCCCAACCGAGATCTACAAAGATTGCAGGCACCGTATCTCGGAGCTTCGCCAGAGCCTATCCCTGTTAACCTCGACGACCCACGGTTGGCACACCTAGGCCCCCTACCGAAGCCCACCCACTTATCCACCGGAGAAGGTGTGTACGACTAGGATGATTGGGAACCTTATCGTCCTGAGGACTGGGAGCCATACCATACTGAAGCATTCTAGGATTGGGAAGCTTACCTAACTCCTACCCACCCAAACCACAAGCCTTCAACACTCGGTGTTCTCCCTCATGCCGACCCGGCTATGAGACTCCTCTTTGAAAAGGTCTGGCATCTTGAGAGTGAGCAGCGCCACAGCCATTAGCCCCTCTGGACGAAGCCACGCCCTGGCCCCTTCACTGAACCTATCCTCAACTATCGTCAAGATAAGGACATTTAGTCACTCCACATTGCCTTCTACACGGGCAAGGAGGATCCCCTCACCCATATCCACTCTTTTTAGTCCGCCCTCGGATGCAAGGACCTCAATGACGAAGGTATGTGTCTCCTTTTCCCTTCTACCCTCAGTGGTGCTGCTCTAAACTGGTTTTATCAGTTGAACCCCCGTACTATTAACTATTTCGACAGCTTGAAGCAAACCTTACTCGACCATTTCATGATCCAGATGATAGCTTATACTCCGCAGACGATTTGTATATGCTTCGATAGGGTGAGGACGAACCCCTTCGGGAGTATGCTGCTCGCTTCAACCACGAGTATTTCCGATGCCTAGAGACAGATGATCAGGCTGCTTAGGGAGCTTTCAAAAATGGTCTTCGCAAATCCAACTTCCGCTATCTCATCCATAGCAACCCATGGAACACTTACATTGAACTCATGAATCAGGCAGCAGTCCATGCGAAGGCCGAATACTTTAACTCCAAACGTGGCCCACCAACACGTCACGAAGTACTTTTGGAGATCCCTCATCTGCTCCAGCACCCACCCCAACCAACCCTCCCTACTCAGCTTCAGCTTCTGATAATCAGTGTACCCAGCACCCCAAGAGGAAGGATGACTACCAGCACACTTTCAGCAACGGGAAGCGTGGTTAAAACGGTACCCACCATCAGTCCGGCGATAAGAACCCTTCAAGGACAAATGGTCGTGGCCTATTCCCCTTCGAGCCCAAGCCCAGGTTCGAAGTATTCACCACCCTCAACACCACTTACGAAAACATCATGGTCCATGAGGCACCTATTGTACCCAAACCTTCCCCCGAGAAATCAACCAACAAGCCCATGCCAAACACAAGCGTCTTTTGCCGTTTTCACCAGTTTACTAGCCATGATATAGAATCCTGCATTGTGCTATGCAACATCATTGAGAGCCTCATCCGTGAGGGGAAACTAGACAAGTATGTGCACGACCTCCCGCCTCTCCCGAACCCTCACCAACAGCAGATCAACATGATTTCCACTATCAGTGGTGGTCCTACATTGGTCGGGACCTCCAATAATTCCATCAAGCACTATGTCCCTTATTCTTTCACACACCAAGTCTTCAGTACTGAGCATGGGCGCCTACCGACGACGCCCAAGTTAGGCTGCCTTCAGCGAGGAAGAGCGTGGTGTCATCCTCCCCTATGATGACCCACTAATCATTCGGGCTGACATCTCCAACTTCGACGTCGGGCGCATCCTGGTCGACACCGACAGTTATGTTAGTGTCATGTTCGCCGACACTTCCAACAAAATTCAAGTCCCTACTCACTTGCTCAACGAAGCATTACACCTCTTGTGAGCTTTTCTGGTGATGTCGTTCAGCCCATTGGAAGCATCAACCTCCCCATCTATATCGATTTAGTATCACAGTGAGCAACGGTCACTACTTCCTTTATCATCGTTGATTGTCCCACGGCCTACAATGTCATTCTTGAACGCACTGCCTTGGAACAAATGAGGGTTTCATCTCTACGCACATGTTGTTGCTGAAATTCTCAACCATCCATGGCACGAACATGGTGCGCGACGACCAACTTAGGGCCCGAAGTTGCTATGTTTCGACAGTCAAATCTACCAATTCAAGCCAGCGGCATGAGGCCCTCTCAGTGACTAAAGCCCAACCCCCTCCTCAGGCCGGCGCTGAAAGACATGAGGACTCTAGGGAGGAACCTGTCACCCAACAGGCTAAACCTGTGGAGGACCCTAAACTTGTTTGCCTTTATGACGACCTCCCGAATCGGTATGTCCAGATCGGCACTGCCCTCTGGCCCGACCTTCACTCCGCCTTTATAGACTTCCTTCATTTGAACTCCGTGGTCTTTGCCTGGTCCTACAACAACATGCCTGGCATATCGCCATATATCATTTCCCTGCAATTAAGCATTAACCCTATCGTCTAACCCGTTCGGCAGAAGCGTCATGCCTACGACCCAGAAAGATACGAGACCATGAAAACAGAGGTAGACAAGCTGCGTAGCATTGGTTTCATCAATGAGGTGGACTACCCCACCTGGCTGGCCAATGTGGTGATAGTCCGCAAACCGAAGAAGGGCTGGCGCATGTATGTAGACTACACCGACCTTAATCGGGCTTGTCCGAAAGATGGCTTCCATCTACCTCAAATTGACAAGCTTGTTGATTTGACTGTCGAAGTGTAGCAACTTTAGGCCACAAGTTGGTCGCCGCACACCGTGCCCGTGCATTGGATGGTAGGGAATTTCAGCAACATGTGTATGGAGATGAAAACCCTAATTTGTGCTAAGGCAGGGAGTCCAAGAATGACATTCTAAGCCGTGAGACAATCAACGATGAGGAAGGGAGTAGTGACCGTTGCTCACTAGGGTGCTAAATCGATAGAGATGGGGAGGTCGATGCTTCCAATGGGCTGAACGACATCACCAGAAAAGCTCATAAGAGGTGTGATGCTTCGGTCGAGCAAGTGAGTAGGGACTTGGAGTTCGTTGAAAGCCGATGTAACCAAGATGCGCCCGACGTCGAAGTTAGAGATGTCAGCCCGAATGATCAGTGGGTTGTCATGAGGGAGGATGACACCATGCTCCTTCTCGTTGAAGGTAATCGGGGCCCAGCCTGACTTGGGAGTCTTCAATAGGCGCCCGTGCTCAGTGCTGAAGACCTGGTGTACTTAAGAAGAGCGGACATAATGCTTGATGAAGTTATTGGAGGTCCCGGCCAATGTAGGACCACCACTGATGGTGAAAATCATGTTGATCTGTCGTTGGTGAGGATTCGAAGGAGGCGGGAGGTTGTGCACATACTTGTCTAGTTTCCCCTCACGGATAAGGCCCTCAATGATGTTGCGACGATGCAGGATTTTGTATCATGACTAGTAAACTGGTGAAAATGGCAGAAGACGCATGTGTTCGGCATGGGCTTGTTGGTCGATCTCTTGGGAGGAGGCTTAGGTTTAATAGGTGCCTCATGGACCATGATGTTTTCGTAAATGGTGTTGAGGGTGGTGAATACTTCGAACCTGGGCTTGGGCTCGAAGGGGAGTGGGGCACGACCATTTGTCGTTGAAGGGTTGTTGTCGCCGGACTGATGATGGGTACCGTGTCGACCGCGCTTCCCATTGCTGAAGGTATGCTGGTAGCCATCCTTCCTCTTGGGGTGCTGGGTACTCTGATTATCAGGACCTGAAGTAGAGTGGGCAAGGTTGGCTGGGGTGGGTGTGGGAGCAGATGAGGGATTGCCAAAAGTACTCCATGACGGGTTGGCTAGGCCACGTTTGGGAATAATGGGGCAGTGAGATGTGAACATGTAGATTTAGCAGTTAATTTCCACATTTGTGAGATCAATGTAACTCTATTTTTTGCTACATGGAAATATATATATATATATATTTATACACACCTAATTAGACAGTTAGAAACTTCCTAGCTTTGCACATCCAAAGTCAGATTATTGATAGATGCATACTTATATCCAAATATTGTGTTCACAATTAATAGTGTATCATAATATTAGACTCAGATTCTGCCTGCAGTGATATAAATTGGAATTTCAATTCCCAAGCTCTAGCCTTTTGCCTATCCTTAATTCTTTTTCCTAGGTAGGTACATAGGAAAAATTAAACTTCCATTCAGCAAACAAGTGATAACTTTTAACACTAGAACACTCCTAACATGTTACATACATGCATTCAGTTGATAAAGACAAATTGATGCCGGCCTACAGTTCTCCAAATGCATATGATCATGAACCACATTTACAATAGATCAAACAAACCAGTACATGCATGTAAGTAAATTGTTTACTTGATAAGTTGGTAAACATTCATTGAGCAGTGATACTCAACAAACTACTTTTCAAACATGATGAGAAATAGTAATGCATGTACGAGAATGCAATGTTATAAATGAGGAAGAGTCAAAGAGTGGTACCTTTTTCTGCATGTACTCAATTTCGGCAAACAAGAGATACCTTCCTGGATCTGACTCTGCTGATTCCTTTCTCTAGTTTACTCTCCAGGTTCTTCAGGTCCTTCATATTCATAAAACTCAATGACTCGCCCATCATATGCCTGTCAAAGAAAAGGCTGCCAATTTGAAAATCTAGGATATGGGAAAGCTTTTGGTAACTAGGGTTGAACTTGATCCCTTTAAGATTACCTACTTGAGTTCTGCAAATTCCCTATCTGAGAGCGCAGTTTCGCAGCTTCTTGTTGGTAGTACTGAGATTTACATCCATAAATCAGTGGTTAAAACATTTCATTCAAAATATATTCAAAATCAGTAAACACTGCTTTACTAGTTATGATGCATGCATAAAAAATTCATTCTTAATTAGTGCTTTACCAATTATATATATGTAATATATACAATTAGTATAAATTAGGGCTCCAGATATCTATTCAGAAATTACAAGTTATAAAATGTAAACCTTGACGGAGTTTCAATAAATTAATTTGTTTGCATGAGCTATATATGTCTTTAACCAGCTCCTATATATAAAGCAATTCCATCAACTAATATATTAACTTCTTACCAAGCATGGATATGCATATACACCTAATTAGACATCTAGTCCAACCAATTAATATGCATGAGACTAGTGCTCAAGGAAGAACACCAAGTTAAATATGTACCAAACCCTCTAAGTGGGCTACATCTATAGCATTGCTTAAACATATCAAATACTTAAAAAAATCTCCAGAAATAGTCTGAAAAGTTTTCAGATAATGCATTCAAACTCAAAAGCGAAGTGCATAAGATGAACTTAATAGACAAAGAATTCGTTTTGGAGTGAAAACTTTCTAAAATATGACCTTGTAATTTCTCTGAATCATTATGATAGTTTGAACATAATAAAAAGGCTTACCTAGCAAAGGATTGTTTCTATTTCTGTGGCTTATTTCATCAAACTTTCAACAACAAGGCTTACCTCACTAGTTTCTTCCTAAAGAGAAACTTCCTAGCTTTGCTCATCCAAAGTAATGGATTATGGATAGATGCATGCTTATATCCAAATATTGGGTTTGAAATTAATTGTCGAGGGGGTTTCTAACCGCAGCCAAATTTAATTTTTTCCTATGTTGGGAAAAAGAAGAGACACACAGAGACACAGAGAGAGAGAGAAATATTCATATATAAAATTCTCTCAAAAAAATAAAATCAGAAAATAAAATTTAATATATTATTATGAAAACACAACCTAAGATTTCACTTTATCCTATGCCTCTGATACCTTAAAATCCTCGACCTTGTGATTGGTTGCTTGTGCCACGATGGCGCAGCTCCTCAATATTACAGGCCATAACTCTTGCCACTCATTAGAGCGACTCCAGCGAAGAGCCCAAGCTTCGGGCTGGGGGAGGCAAAAGCAAAAAACCCAATTCCAGCGAAGAAGGCTTGCCCGGGCAGGAGGTGGGGGGCCATGAGCCTGGGAAGGCCCGAGGGGGAGTTTAGCCCGAGCGCGAGCCCGAGTTTTGGGCTGATGTCATTGCTGACGTCAACTCACTCATTTGAATTTTTTTTCTGTTGCCACATGGCGTTGTCTGGGTTTTCCGATCGGATATTTTCCTCCAATCGAACAGCATCCAATTTTTTTTCAATAAAATACTGAAAAAAATTAGGAAATTTTTTAAAAAAATACCCAAAAATTAATGAATTTTTTTCTATAAATACCAGCCAAATTTTTTAAAAATTTATCTGAAATTTGAAATTGAAAATTTTATCCAATTATGAGATATGAATAGTATTGACACGTAGAAACCCGAAAATAATATCCAAATTAATTATTGAGGTAAAAAAAGTTGTGAAAAAAACAAAAAAAATAAATAGTAATTGCCCTTTGCCATGGCAACGGGTGGAAACACACATTGTTTTTTTGCAAAGGTAACCACTATTCACGTGAATAGTGGCGGCGGGGGCCCCCCTGTCATGACAAAGGGCAAATGAGTGGAGTTGCTCTTACACAAGGGACATTGGCCTCAAGTTTACCTTACTACCCACCTCGAGTAATTCACAAACAATTAAAAATTCTAGTTTATTTATACTCTAAACAAGTGAGAGTAAATATATTAATATAAAATTTGGTCTTTTCTGTCTGAAACTCTGAGAACATCAAAAGCCATCTATTTTATTGTTTCTGCTTACTTTTATCTCTCCCACGCTAAAAACGTGCACAAATACATGATATATCTATGCAAGATCTGGAGCAAATGCAAAGCCCATTCTCCAATGCCCAGCAGTGACATATTCATGATGACCCGCTTGAGCTATGATCTCATATATACTCTCTTTCACTTCAAGAGCAATAATTTGGAAAAATAATTCATGAAAGAATTTACCTTTATGATAAAACCCAGGTAGAAAACCGGAAAGGTTAAAATTTAAGGGCTACCCACTGAAAGATTTTGGACAAATTGTTTACCCAATGTAGTTCTTAATGAACCCTAATTTGGTGAATATTCCAGGAAAAGAAAGTGATATTTGGGAAATTTTAGAGGAGTTTGGGGGAAAAACTCTTCTGGGTATGAGTGGTTGTGTCCTGATATGGGTGTACAACGGAGATTGTAAGATATTTCAAGCAAAACACATGTGGGTGTATTGGAACCCTAATATGTGCTTTTTTTCAGAGGAGGTCTTGTCATATATATATTGAACTCTACTTTTGCTTTCCTGATGTCTAATCTATAACTGACGAAGTGTCAAGGAGATTGGAGGTTGGACTAATGGGGGCATGACAGCTTGTGTGTTGTAGGCCCTCTTAACCTCATAGATGACATAGAGTCATGCAGAGAGAGAGAGAGAGAGAGAGAGAGAGAGAGGGGAAGCAGAAAATGAACAACAATGGAGGGAGGTAAGGAGCCGATCTCAGAGGCCGGCATACATTCCAAAAACCACTACTTGTGTCTATTTACATCCATGATATGCTCCTTTTCCTAGCTATTAGACCAAATCTATGTTTGCACCAAACCAAGAGCTAAGAAAATTATCATAAACAGAAAAGAAAAATAAATAAAATACCCATTAAAAGCACATACAAGGGAAAAAAAAAGAAACAAAAGATAAGAAAGAAAGACAAGTGAATCTTATAATTAAGTTAAAGAGATAGAGAGAGAAAGAACTCAATCTCAACTCAACTGAGTACCATTACAATGATTATGTTTTCCTGCTTAAATGCACCCAAAGATCTACTGCAGAAGCAAAAATCTTGAACGCAGAAACACCAACAAATTTTGCAAAGAAAAAAACTTTAAGAGGAACTTTAAGAGGAACTTAAAAGCAATACCTGTTGTTGGCATACTCATAAAGAGAAGACTATGAGAGCAACCTCTGCATCACAGAGTAGAGAGAGTTCATAGGCCTTCTTGAGCAACCCATTGCGCCTTTTACAGAAGGTGACTTGACGGTTTGTGGTGTTTTCGATCCGCTTGACCTCGATCTTTCTCCAACCCAATTTTCTTTGGGGAGAGTCCAGAGACATGGATTTGTTTTCATAGGCCATAGTTGCTAGCATGATCTATGATTGTTAACATGGTCCTACATACTTTCTCATTTCTCATACAGAGTAACAAAGTCCCACACAATTTACAAAACAAAACTTTTGCAAATTTCTGAACTGTAACTTAGATTTGTTCAACTTCGAATTGTATAAAACAAAAGAAACTAACAAAAGGCTATAACTTTCTATGAATTCAACTTTGAATTGTATATAAGACAGAAGGAAAAGCAAACCAACTAAAAAGGGAAAACACTTAAAAATTGATTGCTGTTTGTTTGCAGCGTTAATATCAATGTTAATTAAAGGAAATCAACTCAATACAATAATCAACTAATTAAAACTCAAGTCATCGATGCTACAAGGTACTTGTGATACAGACAAAAAATCGTACTTTAAAAACTCAGGTCAATAAGGCAATAAGGCTGACATACCGTACGCAACAAATTTAAACTGTTTTGCACCTCTTCATCTAAATGCATAAACAGAGACTAAAATATATAACAATTAACACAGATTCTACTGCAGAAGCAAAAATCTTGAACACAGAAACACCAACAAATTTTGCAAAGAAATTTTTTTTAAGAGGAACTTAAAAGCAATACCTGTTGTTGGCATACTCATAAAGAGAAGACTATGAGGGCAACCTCTGCATCACAGAGTAGAGAGAGTTCATAGGCCTTCTTGAGCAACCCATTGCGCCTTTTGCAGAAGGTGACTTGACGGTTTGTTGTGTTTTCGATCCGCTTGACCTCGATCTTTCCCCAACCCAATTTTCTTTGGGGAGAGTCCAGAGACATGGATTTGTTTTCATAGGCCATAGTTGCATGCTGAATCAAGCACAAAGAGATCAATCAAGGAGCTAATTAATTACTTAAAGACCCAGTACTTGAGTTACTCTCTATCTGCTTGATCATGAACAAAAAAGTTGAAGCAAGAAACATATGAAATGAAAATTTGGTGCAATACTACTACTACAACAACAACTAGCTAGCTCTTAGCTCTAGCTAGGTAGCTAGGTAGTTAAGCTCATGGATGATGATAATTAAGGACAGAAACAGAGGTTTCTACCCTTTGGGTTTTCTTAGCTCTTTACAAATCTGGACAAGGAGATATGCAGAAAATGGAAGCGAGGTGAGCTGCGAGGTGGGTATTTATAAGGAGATTCCAAAACAAATGTGTATGCGTTGGAGATGAAGCAAAAGAGATGCTAAATGGGAAATGGGAATCACTCATTTGTTGATTCAGACTCTACCAACCATTCATTTTATTAATTATTTAATTATCAAATGTATTTTCTTACCTGTGAAAGACGAGAGAGAGAGAGAGAGAGAGAGAGAGAGAGAGAGAGAGAGAGTGGTGAATGAGGAAACCTTTTTCCATTTATTTTGTTTTTATTTTTATTTTCTCTGACTTTTTAAGTATTGGTTTTTATTTATTTAATGACATGAAGAATTGTTATTTTTAATGTAAAGCATATAGGTCGAACCTTACTGTTGGCTATAATTTAGTTTCATTTGTTGTTATTTCTAGTAACTTTAGTTATAAACCTTACATTATAGGTCGGGAATTACTACTGTTGACTAGTGATGTAGATAAACAAACTCAATCCAAAAAATACAGCTTGCCATGTTGAATTTAATGTTAACTATTAAATTACTGAATTCTTTGGAATGCAATACAAATTAGGGCACTAATATTTCCATAGTGAGTAAAGGTAGTATGTATATTTGTATAGAGATGAGTCATTGAGATGTAGCAGCTATCAAAAGCATCGCACAACACCCCACAAAATTCTACACTTTCTCTGAATCTTTGCATTTTCACCTTCTAATTTGTCAACCTTCTTGAGCAAATCACGTACCTGTAAGATTTGCATTCTAATACAAACCCTAAAGATGATCTTCTAATCATTTAAGGATAACTAGTCCAATGTCAATTAGGATTATATGGATCGATTTATTTTAAGGCATGATATATATGACTTTTTAGATAAATACAAGTGCTTAAGATTTCCTATATTAAATGGATTGATATACTTAATCCTTTTGGCTAAGGGAGTTTAAGTAATCCATGATGAGGAGGATTCTTAAACTATGCTTATAAAAGGGAGGTCTCTATGCTAACGGCAAATCACTCTCATATTATTCTACCCCATCAAGAAGAGATTCAAGAGCCGGATAGCATAGAGAAAACTACCCTACTGCGATACTGCGAATCTGTCCAAGAACCAGTGAACCAACCAAGAACCTATTGCAGAATTTCAGTTTCTTCCAGAGCAAGAAATCCAGTTCCTTGCTGCAGTAATTATCACCATGTCTGATCAAGGTATGTTATGTGTTTTGAGCATATATAAACCTATTAAGTTTACAGTATCACCATCTTTGAATGCTCACACATTTCACCATCAACCCACTTAAAAAACCCACATCCTCTTTCACCTCTTCCCTGCAAACAAACAAAGAAAGAAAATCTTCAATTCTCATGCCTAACACAATCACCCACAAGGTTGGAGATTACATGCTTACCTTTGCCTTTGAAACTGTTCCAAGACTGTTTGGTTTACTACTTCAAACACACAAAAACAGAGTAGATTTTATCATCGTGGTCAATAGATTTTATCAGTAGATTTTATCCAAAAAGTAAAATGATTTTCGCATGAACAGGAACAAAGATGAGAAATGCTTACGTTTTGCTTGCAATGAAAGTTTTCGCTTGGAGTTGCAAAACAGGAAAAAAAAAAATCAAGGACGAAGACGAAGAGGAGATGAAGTTGATGAGACTCAGACACGGCGCTTTGGGAAGTAAAAATGAGGACAGCGTGAAATTTTTTCTCGGGTTTGGAAACAGTATAAGTGTAGGTTAGGAAAGGCAAAAAGTTTCAAATATTAACGAAACGTTTCATAACACGACGCTATTAATTACAACCGCCCTAGTAAACTCTTTTACACGACATTAGATATATAATATCCGCCTTGGTAAATTATATTACACGACATAGACTTTTCCGACGTGGTTAGTTTACCTTATGCGTTGGTATCGTTACAGATGTCGTCGTAGTATATTTTAAGTAATAAGTCGGTAAGTTAATCATTACCGATGTCTTTACTTTCTACGTCAGTTATTTAATAGATTATGTCGTTGGTTTATCGTTCTGAGATTAAGACGACACATTTTATTTGTTTTGCTTCGTAATTATTTTATACGTCTAAAGGGTTGGTAAGGACCGACGTAGATTTGTTTTTTTAAACGGCGTTAGGTGTAATATAACCGACGTGGATTTGAATTTTTATTATTTTATAAATAGAGTTTTTTTTCACGAGTTTTTTTAGTTTTAGTTTTCAATTAGGGTTCCAACTTCTTCTTTCCCTTGGCTCTGTCTCACCTCTTAGGAGGCAATTGTTTGGATGTTGATGTGTGTGTGCATTTGTGTATAGATACACAAACGCACACACATCATGAACTTCCAAAAAATTGTCTCTCTGAATGCAAATCTGAGGGTTCCGTCGTCAAATTTTAGAGGCAAATTTTTGGATGTTGATGTGTATGTGCCTTTGTGTATCTCAAAGACACAAATACACATACATCATCAACCTCTAAAATATTGTCTTTCTGTGGTCCGATTATGATGAGGAACAGAGTTTCATATGGTAAGATTTCGTAACCCTTGGGATCTCAAAAAAATCTGATTCTGTTGACGGTTTTCTATATAAACCGTCGTGATTATTCTCAATTATTGTCATTAAGTTGATTGCCAACATAGGATAACAAAATCCAAGAAATAAATAGTTAAAAAAATTCCTACTAAGATGACGGTTTAAATATAAGGTAAGACGTATAAAGTAAATAAATATGACGGTAATTTAACTTCACGACGTATCTCTTGGGATCTCATAAAAATATGATTTTGTCGGCGGTTTTCTATATAAACTGTCGTGGTTATTCACAATTCTTGTCATTAAGTTGGTCTACCGTTGTAGGATACCAAAATTCAAGAAATAAATAGTAAAAAATAATATAATTAAGACAACAGTTTAGATATAATGGTAGATGTATAAAGTGAATAAATACAACGGTAAATTTTATTATACGTCGTTAATTGAACAACCCAACGTGGTTAGAGTTAAAGATACCGTCGTAGTACTATACAATAAATAAGTCGATAAATTTATCTTTGCCGTTGTTATACATTTATTTAATACAACAATATTTTGTAATATACCGACGTGGATTTGTTGGAAATTATACGCCACCGTATACGAAAACTTGGTCGTGTTAATTACGGAGTAAAAACGGCGGCTTTTTTTTTACACTGTCGTCTTTACTTTCTATGTCGGTCTATTCATACATTCTGCCATTGTTTTTGAGCTCAAAGTTTACTCTGAGGAAAACCTTTTTCAATAAGACGTCGCTTTTTTAATTAGGTGTGTCGTTTTTTAAAAACAACCATTGGAATCTCCATTTTTTAGGTGTTTAAGTTATTCTTACATGACGGTTGTCGTCTTTTCAAACACAACGACGGTTTTCCCTTAAACTGTCGTTTTTTTTTTCTAGTCGTCTTTTTCACTTTTTGTAGTAGTGATTTATCAGAAATTTGGTGGATATGTATCAAATTAAAAGCATTCTACAACTACAACCCTTGCAAGACTAGAAAACAAAGCATAGAAAGAGGTCGCCTTTTCTCCCACGGCTAATTGTTCCTAAGGTCAATAGTATCACATACATTGAACATCGCTAGCTGCCATATAGCAGGAGAGGGTTCTCACCATCCAAATACACTTGGTATCTAGAGATCCGTTTTTATAACCAATTTTGTAAGCTTTTGAAAGAGTGACTCATTCTATACTAAATGAGTCACTTAAAGTTGTACAAACCAACCGTAATTATGTAGAAATTCATGGGACCAAATAATTTTTGTTTATATTTATAATTTTAATTAGGACTTTCAACTTTAAGATGAGCATATGAATTATAGTTCTCTCTTAGTCTAACTGATAAGCGGTTTTTCATTTATTTATCAAGAACTGGTTAGCGGTTGAACGCTCTTGTAAGTTATATGCATGTATTTCTAGAAGCTTAATTAGAATTAGTAGTAATTAGTTCACAACTAAGAAATCACGAAAGCCAAAAACAAAAGCCTGCAAAGCAATGAATAAAGAAGGTGACTACTGCAATGGACGTTTATTTTATGGTCTTAGGTCTTGCATTGAAGACACGCACCTTCAATGGCACCTCTCAACAAAATGTATTGTTGCTTTTTTGTGGTCCCTTTCCAGAGAATATATATTTCGTGAAACATATAGCTAGTATATAATGAAAAGTAATAAGAATGTGTTTGAGCCGTTAGGAAATTCCTAGTGTCCTATCAAACTAAATTTGGGAATTTAATAACACCAAATTCACTTTTGTTTTCCTTTCTGTTGAAATTTGTTTTCGCAATAGAAGAATATGTTCATATATAAGCTATCTATAGTATTCCTTTTCGTAGGACAATGTCAACAAAGGGATATATATACTAGTATCATTTTTACCAGTCTCTTTGGTTTTGAGAAAGTTCATGCACATGATATCTACAGAGCATTTGGTTGGGGATGATATTGATGTTTCAATAAAGGTTGATGATATATATATGGCATCACCATGCAGTAAAATATGTACAAGAGACAAAAGAAAACATACCAAAAGTTTACCTTATTGATTTTAAAACAAGTATTAACATTACACATAATCTTTTGGCAAATTAGTAACATCACATTAGAATGTCATCACGTCATGTTACGATCACATATAATAATTTCTCAAACATTATCTCGTGCTCTTAGTTTTATATGTGTATTAGTCATTTTCACTTGTATTTTCTATTGGAAAATCTTTGTGTCATTGAATCATCTTCCTCTTCCAATTTGAAAATCAAGTCGTGGTTTTCTACGAAAATATGGTAGAACTTGCCAAAACTTACATCATTCCAACCCTATACGTCTCGATGTATGATCTGTCAAAATGAGGCATATCATTTTACACGGCAAGGTCCCCTTGTAGTGTCGAGAATGATGGCATATATCAAGGTTCAATTTAATAATTTGCTTAACCGCTCTGGAATTACTAATGATTGAATTAATAACCCCAAAACTACAAGAAAACACAAGTACAATCATTCTTAATTTCCCAATTCTTGATTCAAATCAACACAAGTCTCTGGCTTTTCAATGGAATTTGGACTCATGATCTCCTTTGATCCAATCAACGACCAACTCAATCTCATAATGACTTTTAGACTCTATGAGAACAAAAATCCACATGAAGAAATGAGATAAAAGTGTGTATTGGAACGTTTTGATAAAGTTCTATATTAAGCATAGATTAAGCATGCCATATATTAAGCATTTCATATTCAGAAACTAATTAAAATAAGGGAGTTTATTATGCCTAGTATAGGGGCTCAAATTATTAAAAAAACTCTATATGAAATGGACTTTGGAAATACACTAAAAAATCATTTACAACATAACAAAGAGGCTTCGAACATTCTATAAATTACAAAATTGTCATCGATTTCTTAAAAAAAGTCAAACCCCATAATCTCATAAAAAAAAACCCAAAACACTCAACAAGGTATCAAAGTAATTTAATAATCAAAATTAAATTCAACATGACAAGTTGTCTTTTTTGAGTTTGTTTATACAAATTAAATAATGTAGAGTTTATTTATATCACAGAGTTATAACTAAATACCTCTTCAAAGAGTTATTAGAAATAATAACAAATAAAAGATAAAGTTATATCTATTGACAGGGCTTTGAAATTCGTTGGAAGCACTTTGTAGTCAAGGACAAGCTGAACTTCGAGCAGAGATTAATCCCAACCTTCAAATGTGGGGACATCTAGTAGTATTTAACCAAAAAAGAAAGAAAGATAAAGTTATACCCAACAGTAGTGAGAGTCGACCTATATGCTTTACATAAAAAATAACAATTCTTCATGTCATTAAATAAATAAAAACCAATACTTCATAAGTAAAAGTAATATAAAAAGTTAGAGAAAATAAAAATAAAAAACAAAATAAATGGGAAAAAAGTTTCCTCATTCACCACATCTCTCTCTCTCTCGTCTTTCACAGGTAAGAAAATACATTTGATAATTAAATAATTAATAAAATGAATGGTTGATAGAGTCTGAATCAACAAATGAGTGATTCCCATTTCCCATTTAGCATCTCTTTTGCTTCATCTCCACCTCCAATGCATACATATTTTTTTTGGAATCTCCTTATAAATACCCACCTCGCAGGTCACCTTGCTTCCATTTTCTGCATATCTCCTTGTCTAGATTTGTGAGAAAGAAAAAGAGCTAAGAAAAACCAAAGGGTAGAAACCTCTGTTTCTGTCCTTAATTATCATCATCCATGAGCTTAACTACCTAGCTACCTAGCTAGAGCTAAGAGCTAGCTAGTTGTTGTTGTAGTAGTAGTATTGCACCAAATTTTCATTTTATATGTTTCTTGCTTCAACTTTTTTGTTCATGATCAAGCAGATAGAGAGTAACTCAAGTACTGGGTCTTTAAGTAATTAATTAGCTCCTTGATTGATCTCTTTGTGCTTGATTCAGCATGCAACTATGGCCTATGAAAACAAATCCATGTCTCTGGACTCTCCCCAAAGAAAATTGGGTTGGGGAAAGATCGAGGTCAAGCGGATCGAAAACACAACAAACCGTCAAGTCACCTTCTGCAAAAGGCGCAATGGGTTGCTCAAGAAGGCCTATGAACTCTCTCTACTCTGTGATGCAGAGGTTGCCGTCATAGTCTTCTCTTTATGAGTATGCCAACAACAGGTATTGCTTTTAAGTTCCTCCTTAAAAAATTAAAATTTCTTTGCAAAATTTGTTGGTGTTTCTGTGTTCAAGATTTTTGCTTCTGCAGTAGAATCTGTGTTAATTGCAATATATTTTAGTCTCTGTTTATGCATTTAGATGAAGAGGTGCAAAACAGTTTAAATTTGTTGCGTACGGTATGTCAGCCTTATTGCATTATTGAACTGAGTTTTTAAAGTACGATTTTTTGTCTGTATCACAAGTACCTTGCAGCATTGATGACTTGAGTTTTAATTAGTTGATTATTGTATTGAGTTGATTTCCTTTAATTAACATTGATATTAACGCTGCAAACAAACAGCAATCAATTTTTAAGTGTTTTCCCCTTTTTAGTTGGTTTGCTTTTCCTTCTGTCTTATATACAATTCAAAGTTGAATTCATAGAAAGTTATAGCCTTCTGTTAGTTTCTTTTGAGATACCTTTTTGGAAGGGGTATTTCATCATCTATAAATAGAGCAATCCTCTTGCAGTTTTATTCATTCAATCAATTCTCTACATACAGACTTTCATATATAGAGAGCATTAGAGCTTTCATAAAGAGAGGTTCCTGCATAATTTGGTTCAAAGTTCATTGTGAATTGCAGTGCTTCTTTCACAAGGAGGAGAGTCGTTGTATCCTGGGAGGCGAACGCTAGTGAACCATAAGCACCAGTGTGGGGCGTAATTCGTCTTAAGGTCAGAGTGTCCATTACTTGCCTCGACTCAATTAAGGTTCTTCTAATTCAATTCTCATTTTGTAAAAATCTGTTTTATGTGCAGTATTTATTTTGTTTATTTTATAGCAATTTATACCCTATTTTTTCCAACATATCTTTGGGTGGATTTAAACATAATCATTGTAATGGTACTCAGTTGAGTTGAGATTGAGTTCTTTCTCTCTCTATCTCTCTAACTTAATTATAAGATTCACCTGTCTTTCTTTCTTATCTCTTGTGTTTTTTCCTTGTGTGTGCTTTTAATGGGTATTCTTTTTTTTTGTTGCTTTTTTTCTGTTTATGATCATTTTCTTAGCTCTTGGTTTGGTGCAAACATAGATCTGGTCTAATAGATAGGAAAAGAAGCATATCATGGATGTAAAGAGCCATAAGTAGTGGTTTTGGGAATGTATGCAGGCCTCTGAAATCATCTCCTTACCTCCCTCCATAGTTGTTAATTTTCTGTTTCCCCTCTCTCTCTCTCTCTCCTCTTTCTTTCTCTGCATGACTCTATGTCATCTATGAGGCTAAGAAGGCCTACAACACACAAGCTGTCATGCTCTCATTAACCCAACCTCCAATCTCCTTGACACTTCGTCAGTTATAGACATCAGGAAAGTAAAAGTAGAATTCAATATATAAAATAAAAATGACAAGACCACCTCTGAAAAAAGTACATATTAGGGTTCCAATACACCCAGATGGGTTTTGCTTGAAATACCTTACAATCTCCCTTGTACACCCAAATCAGGTCACACCACTCATACCCAGAAGAGTTTTCCCCTAACCCCTCTAAAATTTCCCAAATATCACTTTCTTTTCGTGGAATATTCCACGTAACCAAATTAGGGTTCATTAGGAACTACATTGGGTAATCAATTTGTCCAAAATCTTTTAGCGGGTAACCCTTAAATTTTAACCTTTCTGGTTTCCTACCTGGGTTTTATCACAAAGGTAAATTCTTTTATGAATTATTTTTCCAAATTATTGCTCTTGAAGTGAAAGAGAGTATATATGAGATCATAGCTCAAGCGGTCATCATGAATATGTCACCGCTGAGCATTGGAGAATTGGCTTTGCATTTGCTCAAGATCTTGCATAGATATTTCATACATTTGTGCAAGTTTTTAGTGTGGGAGAGATATAAGTGAGCAGAAACAATAAAATAGACGGCTTTTGATGTTCTCAGTTTCAGACAGAAAAGACCAAATTTTATATTAATATATTTACTCTCACTTGTTTAGAGTATAAATAAACCAGAATTTTTAATTGTTTGTGAATTACTCGAGGTGGGTAATAAGGTAAACTTGAGGCCAATGTCCCTTGGGTAATAAGGTAATAAGGTAAACTTGAGTGGCAAGAGTTATGGCCTGTAATATTGGGGAGCTGCGCCATCGTGGCACAGGCAACCAATCGCAAGGTCCAGGATTTTAAGGTATCAGAGGCATAGGATAAAGTGAAATCTTAGGTTGTGTTTTCAGAATAATATATTCAATTTTATATTCTGATAATATTTTTTTGAGAGAATTTTATATATGAATATTTCTCTCTCTGTGTCTGTCTGTATGTGTCTCTCCTTTTTTCCCAACACAGGAAAAAATTAAATTTATCTGTGTTTGGAAACCCCCTCCACAATTAATTTCAAACCCAATATTTGGATATAAGCATGCATCTATCCATAATCCATTACTTTGGATGAGCAAAGCTAGGAAGTTTCTCTTTAGGAAGAAACTAGTGAGGTAAGCCTTGTTGTTGAAAGTTTGATGAAATAAGCCACAGAAATAGAAACAATCCTTTGCTAGGTAAGCCTTTTTATTATGTTCAAACTATCATTATGATTCAGAGAAATTACAAGGTCATATTTTAGAAAGTTTTCACTCCAAAACGAATTCTTTGTCTATTAAAGTTCATCTTATGCACTTCGCTTTTGAGTTTGAATGCATTATCTGAAAACTTTTCAGACTATTTCTGGAGATTGTTTAAGTATTTGATATGTTTAAGCAATGCTATAGATGTAGCCCACTTAGAGGATTTGGTACATATTTAACTTGGTGTTCTTCCTTGAGCACTAGTCTCATGCATATTAATTGGTTGGACCAAATGTCTAATTAGGTGTATATGTATATATATGTAGCAATAGATGCCATTCTTTTGTGGTAACTAATAGTGTTATATATTATTACTTTCTAGTCTTGGTATATTAATGCTATGTTTGCATACCATACAGTGATAAAGCAACAATTGAGAGGTACAAGAAGGCATGCGCAGAGTCTACAAATACCGGATCTGTTTCCGAAGCTAGTACTCAGGTATTATTTACCCTGATGATAGATACTTGACAGAAAAGTTCATAAGTTTGGAATGATTTTAAAATTGAGATTACTTCTTTCTGGTCTCTAGATTTCATTATCATATACTTTCTCCTCTAAGGGTGTGAATATTGAACTACTTAATAGAAATTCAGTTATGTACGTACATCTTGAACAAAACCAACCCATGACTAAGACAAGTCTTGTTTTCCTTTTATATTTTTGGATCTCTTTAGTCTCATCATAATCATTTCCAATATCAATCCTGGAATTTGGGCGAGCCATATAAATTGAGTTGTTCTGTTCATTCATATTACAACCAAAAATATAAAGGGGGTAAAGCTAGAGCTTCTAGTTGAATGGCTTGGTAAGAAGTTAATGTTTTAGTTGATGGAATTGCTTTATATAGGAGTTGGTTAAAGACATATATAGCTCATGCAAACAAATTAATTTGTTGAAACTCAGTCAAGGTTTACATTTTATAACTGGAGCCCTAATTTATACTAATTGTATATATTACATATATAATTGGTAAAGCACTAATTAAGAATGAATTTTTAATGCATGCATCATAACTAGTAAAGCAGTGTTTACTGATTTTGAATATATTTTTAATGAGATGTTTTAACCATTGATTTATGGGTGTAAATCTCAGTACTACCAACAAGAAGCTGCGAAACTGTGTGCTGAGATAGGGAATTTGCAGAACTCAAGTAGGTAATCTTAAAGGGATATCAAGTTCAACCCTAGTTACCAAAAGCTTTCCCATATCCTAGATTTTCAAATTGGCAGTCTTTTCTTTGACAGGCATATGATGGGCGAGTCATTGAGTTTTATGAATATGAAGGACCTGAAGAACCTGGAGAGTAAACTAGAGAAGGGAATCAGCAGAAACAGATCCAACAAGGTATCTCTTGTATATTTATGATGGATTTTTGAGATCCAAGAAGCTAGCTCTTGTCTGCCGAAATTGAGTACATGCAGAAAAGGGTACCACTCTTGGACTTATAACATTGCATTCTCTTACATGCATTACTATTTCTCATCATATTTGAAAAGTAGTTTGTTTGAGTATCACTGCTCAATGAATGTTTACCAACTTATCAAGTAAACAATTTACTTACATGCATGTACTGGTTTGTTTGATCTATTGTAAATGTGGTTCATGATCATATGCATTTGGAGAACTGTAGGCCGGCATCAATTTGTCTTTATCAACTGAATGCATGTATGTAACATGTTAGGAGTGTTCTAGTGTTAAAAGTTATCACTTGTTTGCTGAATGGAAGTTTAATTTGGTCAAAAGTTGTTATGAAAACTGATTGAAGCTTAAAATTTCTGGTTAGGCTTTCTTAAATTATTCTTTCTATTTTTAACAAAAATCTCTCTTAACCATTTTCTTGTCATTAGGTAATGTTCAATATGACCGTTAATGAAATTTACCTTACAGGAAATTGACTAACAGTGATTTAGGTTCAGTTAACTGAAAGAGTTAGTTTAATTTGACCGTTAGACTTTGCCTAATTTTGAGGTTAATCATAAACTCAACTTAACTCAGTAAGCATTTTTTGCCCTTGATGTATATCAATAGCATATGTACCCACCTGGGAAAAAGAATTAAGGGTAGACAAAAGGCTAGAGCTTGGGAAATGAAATTCTAATTTATATCACTGCAGGAAGAATCTGAGTCAGAATTTCTGCTGTGGATAAAAGACTTGATCCTCCTAAAGAGGATAATAAGCTAATGAAATTAACAAGCATCATGCTTTGTTCAATTTCAAGCATACCTTTTGTGGAAACACTATTAATTGCAAGAAGGTAGCTCCACTATTAATTGCAAACACAATATTTGGATATAAGCATTAGTCTCATGCATTAATTGGTTGGACTAAATGTCTAATTAGGTGTATATATATACATATATAACAATTCATTGTATTTATCAAATCCAATAAACCGTTTATATTCACTAGTATACCCCAACCCTATATTTAAATTTAATTTACTGGCTAAATAAAATTTATCATTCCTGAATGAAACCCTATACTTATTATAAGATATATATGTACATCCATTATAATAAGTATATATACTAAACTCATAGTGGCTTTATTCAGGAATTGAATCAAACAAGCCCTTTTAACTCAGTGGTAGAGTAACGCCATGGTAAGGCGTAAGTCATCGGTTCAAATCCGATAAGGGGCTTTGATTTTTTCATAAATAAAAAAACTCCGGCGGTAGTATTCATATTTGAAGTGCGAATAAATATATTGTTAATATTTGTAATAAAGTAGTATCAAAGTAACAAACCGTATGATTTAATATAATTTTATATATAATAAAATTATAAAATTATAGTATGGTTATAAATTTGTCCATGTAGCAAAAAACAGAGTTACATTGATCTCACAAACATGGAAATTAACTGCTAAATCTACATGTTCACATCTCACTACCCCGTTATTCCCATAACTGATGACTCTGAGGTGAAAGCTTGCACTTCATCATCATCATTATCATGAAACTGGAACAAGTCCACCAGTTGATCAAAAGTAGCAGTGTTCAGGAAATCGAGCATATCTTCATTGTGAACCTGGAACTCTGCCGCATTGACTTGAGCACTTTCAGTACCAACTCTAAGTTGAGCACCAGTATTATTTTCTGATGACATCCCAAATTCAAGTGCAGACTGAGTGGTGAGTGATTGGGAGGATGGATCATATGCAGGCCTCTCTTCATCATTCGGGTGGATGCTTTGTGATCCCGATGGTGTGGCTGTAGTAACATCATCATCACAACCTGGATCAAGTGGTGGAGCCAACCATAATCAATCGAGAAGTCGACATTATCGGGCTGGCTGTTTTCGCTACCAAATTGACAGCCTGTTTCTTCTGTTGCCGCAGCTCCAATATTGTTGTCAGTGAGGCCTTGTTGAGTAGCATGAGTCTCATCAGATTCAATACATTCCGTCCTCTCTTGGTTATATGATCCGAACTCTGCTTGTTCCTTGAATGATTGAGCGCCGTCCACCAAAGGTGAGAAACCTCCCATTAGAACATCACCATGAAATTGGATGGCATCATCAACCATGGTTATTGGGTATGCAAAAGGGCAGTCTTACTGAGATTGAGTTTGAGTGGGCCCTCCTCCAATAGCCAGAGACATGGGAGTGGAGTTTCCAATTAAATATTCGTCAAAGCTAGTGTCTTGTTGCCTTTGCTTCTTATTTTGAGATTGTAGAGATGGAATGCCATGAGTTTCTTTTGCAGCTGTCGACGTAAACTTTCTCTTCCTCATGTGGTTCTTTCGAATCCAGCAGACCACAAACTGATGAGTTGAGTTTGGTTTGGGCTTCACCAATGAAGGGCGAAGGCTGTACTCATGCTTGATCCAACAACCGTTTTGATCCGATTTAGGGTTTTCATAATGTAACCTTTTCCACATACCTAAATCGTTCTTCTTATCCTTTTCCGATTTAGGGTTTGCATTGAAGAGTACCTATGCACTATTTCCGGTTCACTGATAAGGAAGATAGAGTTGGGGTGGGGGTCTACGATGTAATACTCAAGTATGACCCGGGGAGATACATGCTAACTATGGGTAGGAAGCAGGAACCATTATGTAAATAATTTCAGGGAGTTACAGATCTCTCATACTACCATCGATCGACAGAGCGGAATGACTAGAAAAAGAAGTGAAGTTAGAAAGCCGTATGATAGGTGGTAGCCAGGTGACCTTTGTCTCTTTACTTCGTAACCTTTCTTCAACTGATTCTAGGTTCAAGGATAGCTAGAATATCAACTTTATTGTTAATAACCACCTCATTGATAGATTTTGTAAACCCCTTTCTACCAGCCCCTCTGACATTCCAAACCAATATTATTGACATCATCGTTAAACTTTGTAGGTTTAGGAACCAGATGTTATAAACCATTTAAACACAATTGATCACCTCCACACCAGCGGAGGAAGTAACATCTGCATGGCCCAGATCCTATGGTGTGAGCCATGCGGGTATTCTTGGCACTTGAGCTCTTCAATTTGGTGAAGAAATAAAGGTCTTCATCATCTTCTAATTTGTTTCTGCCAAATTGGTTCCATATATCCCACGGCTCTATTTGACCGTAAAGATCAAATTCCGGAATAACATTTTCATACTTATACCTGGCTAATTTCTTTATGTCAATTTCATGATGACTAAAATATGAAATTTGATGCCGTAGAAAAGTTGTGGTATATAGATGTATATATGAACAAGACAGTTTCTGACAATCTTATATTTTCAAATATTAACTAGATGCTGTAAGTTTGCGTAACTTTGTTATAGGTTTAATATAATCTGTTACTTTGATGATCTATGTGACCCCAATGTGTGTGCGTGTGCGTGTGCGTGTGTGTATATTTGTTCTCTAATAAGGTCCTTAAATAAAGATTTTCTTTCCTCTTAGCGGTTACATTGGATATGGATGGCGGAGTGCAAAGGGGGTAATGCGTTCAATTTATCTCAATTATTCATATATGATCGAATGGTTATAAAACAGGTCCTCATTTAAGGATCTTATGAGATAATAGTTATGGACGTGCATACATACACATATATATCCATTTATATGCAACAATCTTGATTTAAACTGACTAAGATGCTTGCTGCAGGTATTAACAGAATTCATTCTTGTCTGAGTAACAAGTGCTGTCACTGTAACAGTAGCAGGTGTTAAGGAGGCTCTCACTATATTGGTATGTTCGGTTCTTTGTGTTTGTCCTTTCTTATAAATATGTGTTTTCCTATTTACTTCTTCAGAGAATTGTTGTAAGTGCCACAATGATAAGTTCTTTTATTGAGATTCGATAGAGTTGAACAAACCAGCAAAGAAACAACAAGTGATGCATGCAATATGCAGAGAGGGGTAGAGAAAAGGAGTTGAGGAAGAGGGGCACATCGATGTTGCTGGGGTGGGAGGAAAGGCCTCAATGACATATGTAAAGACTAAAAACATGGGAAAAGGTAAAACAAATATTATTTATTTACTTTCGAACATACAAGCTAACTTTGATGATGAGTGAGAGTTGGGGAGAAGATACGGAATGATGTTTTAGAGAGGATGAGAAGGGAAAAAAGAGTGTAGGAATGTTGTATGGATGAAACAAGTGAAGGAGTACATATTACATATGAGATAGAAATCCAATTGAACAAAATTGCAGCTTAACATGAAAATCAAAAGAAGTTAACACAGAAATCATAAAACAGACCAAATATCTCAGTTTCAGATGCAGGCATTATTTAGAACCACCAAATCAAACACAGAAATCAACAAAATACATCTGAAAGAAGCATATGATTTTTTTTTATAATTTTTTAAAATACATATTTACTGCTAAAGAAACAATGATATGCCATATTTCTTTGATACGAACAACAGTGCAGAGTAAGTAATGCCTCTCAAAGAATTACCCTTTCCCTAATCACCACTTGAAATGGAAAATATCAACAATGACCATCCAACCTTAACCACAATACCAAAGCACCATCAATTGCTTCACTACTGCATAAATATCATTAACATTCAAAAGCTCACGTATCCTATATAAATTCATATATGTTCTAGACAGCATCCAAGCATATATGATTAACCATATAAAAATTGATGCATATTTATGAAAAAACTCTTCACTAGAGATAATCTTAAAAACTTTAGGAAGGTGTATAAACTCACCGGTTATTGGATTGTGCACAACAACAGGGCCATTGATGAATGGTTTGGAAGAGAGAGGGATGGGTTAGGGTTTCTGAGGAGGTGACAGTTGTCGTCATCATGGGTGGGAGCGAGAGAGAGAAGAAAAGAAAAGATAGGAGATGGAAGATATAACTAAGAGGATATGGAGTTAGGTGAGATTCGTGGAGGTGGATTTTCTATGAGGTTTGAAGAAGAGGAAGAGAAAGAGACTAGGGAGAATAGGAAGAGGAGGAGCAACGATTGAGAAGGAAAAAAAAAGTGACAGATGGGCAATAGACTGTCAATGGGGAGTTTTTATAACGGGTATTTGTGATTAGATTTTGAAATAGGAATATTATTGAATAAATTAGTTGCGCCGGGGGCAAAGCCGCCAATTTCCCAAAATTAACAGGTGGTTAGTGTGCGACCCAGCGCACCATGGGGTCGCACCGGAGCTTCACCACTACTTTTCCCGGCTGCCATAAGGTCGTCTGACCCCATTTGTCCCTCTGTGCGTCCGCCCCTGTCACTCTGAAAGTTGAAGTAGGGCTACAGTTCTGCAGGTAATTCTCTCACTCACTTCCAAGTCCTCTTTTGCTGTTTTATGATGTTAAACTTGATCTCTATATCTATCTTCGCAGTTGTAATTTAGTTCTTGGTTTTGATCATTTGGTACACTGAAATTCTCATTTTTCGTTGGGTCATATATTATATCACTCTGCATATCATTGTTTCTTTAGCAGTAATTATGCTTAAGAAGAAATTAAAGTCATAGGCTTCTGTCAGTCTGATTTAAATAGTAAGTGGGATTCTGAAACAATATGATTTCAGGGTTCTATAAATACCGATGGTTTCCTCTTCATCCATTCTTTTTTTGTCCATTTCTCAGACCCAGAGAATTGCAATGAACAGGAAAGGAAAGCCCGCAGATAATGCGATAGAAATAGGCATCAAAGAGGAACAGATTCAAGTAATGGGTTCTTGTATATTTGATCTTCCAAAGTCTATTCTTTACATTGTTCTACTAAAGCTACCAACTAGGAGCATTCTCATTTGCAAATGTTTATGCAAAACTTGGCAAGATCTAATTTCGGACCATGAATTTGCTAAGCTGCACTTTGCACAAGCAGAGTCCTACCCTTTGGTCTGGCCCTCTAATCCAACTCGTGTGTCAAGAACCCTTTATCTGGTCAGCCTGAAGATAGCTCTGATTTTGATTTCGAGCACAGCAACTGTACGTGTTATTATGCCTCTGACTTTCTTTTTAATGAGTGCAATGGGCATCAGTTCCACATGAATCTTGCCAAATATAAAATCCCATTGCGCAATGCTGAGGAAGTACTCAATACCCACAATGATGCCAATAGGAAATCTGGAACTAAAAAGAAGCTTTGCATCAAGGTATGTCCAGCTGGTCACAAGTATGAGGTGGTGAATTTGTGTAACGGATTGCTTTGCTTGTCTAAACCATTCATCAATGACCCTGTTGTTGTGTGCAACCCAATAACCAGTGAGTTTATACACCTTCCTGAAGTTTTTAAGCTCGAGTATGTAAAGGGATCTATTGATTGTGGATTTGGTTTCAGTCCAAAGACTAACCAGTACAAGGTGATAAGAATCTCTGAGCAAGGAACACTGGATCCCTTTAAGGCAGCTGAGGTATACACACTTGGGACAGGCTCATGGGAATGTTTAGGTTTTGCTCCCTTCTTAAAAAATAAAGTAGAATTCACCACCTATCTGAAAGGAGCGCTTTATTGGTTTTGCCATTGGCTTTCATCGCCCTATATAGATTCTTCTGACTTGGACACTGGGAGTTTTCAGTCAGTGCAGCCACCTCCTTTTGAACTGCAAAGAGAGCATCGGGTTAGTATGGGAGTTTTAGGTGACTGCCTTTGTGTATGTGAAGTGGCTTTTATGTATCCTGTGTATGTGCGGGTAATGAAAGAGTGTGGTGAAGAAAAATCTTGGACGAAAATATTTTCTATTGATCCAGGTTGTCATGAGGAGTGGCCTTATGGCTTATATCAACCGATGAAAAGCTTTGAAAATGGGGGATTTCTAATGTTTCATTCTAGTAGTAATGCCTTCATTTATAGGATACATGTTAATATTTTAGTAGTTTTATTTGCTTTCACTTTCATGTTAATATTTAGATAATTTTTCAACTGCCATCATAAGCCGTCTTGCTTATGTAAAACCTTTCTGTTGGGGAAATTTTATTAAAATCTTTAATATGTAAATGATAATTGAAATATTTTATTTTGATTTTTTATTCAGTTAATGATGTATATTGTATGATACATTCTGAATGAACAGGCACTAACTTGTTAATGCACTAAATAGGACTAAACATGGTTACTATTCAAATAGAAGTTACTTATGTTGCATTAGTGCCTAAAATAAAAAAGAACACTCTTCTTTGAATTCAAATACTAAACCTTTTCTTTTTTTTCATGTTTTGGGTCTGCGTTTGATGTTTCACATTGTCAAATGCTAACAAATTCAATTTAACTGACATGATGAATATGATGATAGAAAATTTCAGAATAATGAAGCTTATTGTTTTGAGACTTTCTGAATAGAAGTTACTGTTTTATTGGTGCCTAAAGTAACAAGAAATACTCTGCTCTGAAATAAAATGTAAACTATTTCTGTTTTTTTGTCTTTTTGGATTTTAGCTCTGAATTCGAAAAAAAATAGGGTGCCATGACAAAAGACTAAACTCTCTTTAGTCTTTTTTTTTTTTTTTTTTTTTTGCATTTGTTGTTTCTGTGACTGTAAGCTCATCATCAGAATTTTTTGTAAAATAATTTAAATTGTGTGGAACAACTGATATATGTTGCCTTTACTTCAAACATCACAATTGTTAATACAGGTGTGCAGAATACAAGCTGCTGGGAGAGACTAGAGCTCTGTCTTTGGAGGAAGAACAAATTCTCAGTTGCTTTCCAAAGGAAGTGAAGAAGGAAATAACCTCAGAGGTGGTGTCGATGTCGTATAGAAGGCAATGTGAACTCGAAGAGGTCTGTAGAGTCAAAAAACCATTTTGTTAATGGCTTGTAAGTACCCTTACCTACTTCCTTCTCCTCTCCAACTGTCACTCATCATCAAATAGCTTGTGAGAAAGTGTTCGGAAGTGAATAAATAACCTTTCTGGAAATTTGTTCTACCATTTCCCATCTATGGTGATTTAGATTGCTTGCCCTTGTTTTTAATCTTTACGTATGTCAATGAGGGCTGTATCGACAATATGATCTTACCACTGTATTTTCAAAAAAAATTCACATGTAAGAGATTAAGTAAGAAACAAAAGAGGAAGTCATATCTAGGAAGGCGATTAAAAGGCCATATCATCTTAACACTCTATTTTCTAGTTAGGCTCCGTATAGAATGTGACACAGTACTTATCATAGAGATAAAGACCACTAAGTGAGATGCTGCAATGACAGAATGTGTTGCACTTTTCTGCCCTGAATTTTATGAAACCATATTGCATGCATCACTGTTTGTTTTTTTGCTGGTTTGTTCGACTCTGTCGAATCTCAGCAAAAGAATTTCTCATTGTGGCGCTTACATCAATTCTCTGAAGAAGTATATGTTGGTAAATAGGAAAACAAAAATTGCAGGGAACGTCTGATTTTTTCATGAATTAGGATTATACTTGAAACGTAGTAACTGCATGAATGTTGATACAGGTGACAAGATTGCAAGCTGCTGGGAGACAGGAGCTCTTTTCTTTTTTGGTGGCAGGAAATAAGGTCTGGTATCAACATCAAATAGGTCCTCAATGCAGTGTCAATTGTCAATCTACAGGTACAGGGATGAGATGTAGGTGATCACTCCCCTTCCCCTAATTAATCGTAATTATGAATTACGCATTAATTAAATGTAAAAGTTAAACCAGTTGCTCCCACAAATTCATGAGAACATGAATATACTCAGTAACTTACTACAATAATAACGAAAACAGAAATGGAAATAATAACATACAAAACCCATGATTAATGATCAATCGATCAGTACTAGATCGTGTTAATTATATTCGTATTCATATTCCAATTGTTCTTGTTGCTAGTTGTGTTGGTTAGTAGAAATTTCTGAGTTTTGGAGGGTAAATAAGCGATGAACAGTAACAAAGGGGAGGGGCTACTGTTCTGGAATTTTGGGGGAGATGAACAGTAACGTTCGTAACGGAACTTCAAAAAAACTGACGGAAATGGTAACGTGAGACGGTTTTTTACACGTTGGGGGGTACTTTGAGACGTTTGCAAACACATGTGGTAATCTGAAATAAGTTGGAAAGCACAGGGGGCATGTACATAATTAAGCCTTGGAGAAATTATAGAATAGTACTGTACTACTACGTCAGCTTATAGTACTTCCATTCAAAATATGCCATGTGTCATTTTTTAAAAACAAATTATAGCTTTTTTTACAGCTGGATTTAAAATTCTTTTTATTTATTTAGAATATGATTTTTATTTATTTAAAAAGTTAAAGAACCCAAAGACGCCGCTGGAAACCACCTCCCACAACCCAATCCCCATCTTTGTACTGCCACCTAACCCAATCACCCCTTCAGGGACTGAACATGTTTCTATAGTATGCAGGTAATTCTTTTTGGGTTTGTTGATCATCATTTGTACAGAAACTACAAAGGGGATCATCAGTTTTCGTGATGATCCAGCAATCGATTTCTTTCCTTCTTCTCTCAGATATGATGATCCCCCAATCGATTTCTTTCCTTCTTCTCTCTGATATCCTCCAATCAATTTCTCGATATCATTGCTCAATCTTTGTATGGGTTTAAGTTTCCAGTGATTTTTTATGTGGGGCATGTGTTATCTGCCTACGTGGCACTCGCATGTGTTTGCCGATGATGTGGACAAAACAATTAGAGGGCCTCTTGTTGGCCCGCCACGACTATTCAACCAAGAGTCATTTTATAGTGAGGGCCTTACATATAGCTCTTAGGTGAGGTCCTATCTCTTAATCGTTGGATCAGGCTAACCAATTTGATCAAACAGTTAAGAGATAGGGTCTCACCTAAGGGTCATATATAAGACCCTCACTATAGAATTCTTGATTTAACCATAATACCTTGTTTACAAATTTGAGAATAGAAATGGATGCACCCATGGAAATAAACGTTTTTTTGATGACATTGTGGACTGAAGATAACTTGGGAGAATTGCATTAGTGTATCAGCCTTTCTGTTTACCAAAGTTTACCTGTAATTTTTTTTTCTTTATTTTAGTTTTCGCCGTGTAGAAAAGACAAGTTTGCACATTCTTTGACTGGTATCATCCAAAGATATATGAACCCTCCAAGAACTTCTGAAAAGATTGAGGTTAGAGCTTCTTCGAAAGGAAAGTGGAGTTCCCGAGCTTGCCTAGTGATTCATTGGATGATTATTATTGTGTTGTTGGGGATGTTGCTGGTGGAAGGAGGGGCAAAGGCTGGATTGAGCAAGAATGTAAAATTAGCACTTGAGTTTTAGGGGTTATGGTGGTGATTTGAGTTATTTTTGTCTCCTATCATTCCAAATTCATTTTATTTATTAGGAAACCCGAATTAAATGTATTAACAAAGTCGTATTCTTGCTGACCTGACACATATCTCATAAACCGGAAACTTTTGAGTCCAAGATCATCATCTAACATCCAAACTATATAACCAAATCCAACAGAAAAAGGAACTTCTTCTATTTTGTTTGTAGAACGCTCTCATCATCAAGAGACAAAAACACATAATCCAATAAGCAAGCATACAGTATTATATCAAGATATAATGAACATGAAAACAAAGCTGCTACATTTTTTGGTTCCTCCTCTTCTTCCTCCTTCATGAAATCTGCATGGATCTGCTTGTCTTATCGAGCAAAACTAAGCTTTCCGTGTAATATACAATACACGAATACCCTGGATCTGTGTGAATTCCAAGAAACTCATTTGTGTTCTTCTTGGGATCATGAGAGACTAACTCTCCAATCTTTCTTCCATGGTCATACCTTTCTAATAGAAACTCATCATTATTCTTCCTACACCCCAAAACCTGCAGTACTCTGAAATTGAGAGTGACATGTACATCAAAAGAGACTTGCTTTTCCCAAGATTCCACGACCCCATACTCTCTCATAACCCACATAGTATGTATATTTTGATCATAGTGCTTTACACAAATGGACTTGCCGGTAGCCGAAATGGCCATGTACTTAGTTGGCAACTCACAAGCTAAGTCTTCTGGCAGCTCAATCTCCTGGAAAGTCTCATTACTCATATCAAAGGACAAAACCACATTGCGAAAACAATTTCCTTTCTTACAAGACGCAACCCAATGGACAGCCCCATTGACAAAAACTTGAGCCCAAAAGTTTTGAGCAATCTGATAACTGGGAGCAGCTGATGTAATGCTTTTCCAAGACCCTGAGTTTAGCGAATAAAGCTCGATTTCCGGGCAAGCTTGGCCTTCATTTTGGCGGAGATACACCAGTCTTACTACCTTGTAATCATTTTTCTTAGAATCAAAGCCAAAGCCATAAACAGAATGATTGGGAGATTTTGGGACATGAGGCTTGGCAAGCGTGATGAACTTTCTAATGGAGGGATTCCATAGAACAAACATGTTGTAATCTGTGAGGTAATCATCCGAGAGGAGAATCAATCCGTTGCACGAACCCACTATTCGGAAACACTCATTGAGGCTCTGAACTGGAAGCTCTGGCTTTGAGTGTTCTTGGAATGAACCATTGTCCAAGTGTAGAGAATAGAGCTCTCTAGTGGGGTCCTTGGGGCAGTGCCTGAGAAGGAGCAAAGGGGAATTGCTTGTTTTTTCTAAATTGAGGTTAAGGTGGTTGTTGATGAATCTAGTGTGTTTAATTAGGGAGTTCCAAGATTTGCAGATGGAGGTGCACTGAAGAAGAGATTTGATGGGTAGCCTAAGAAGAATTTGGGTTATGATTTCTGGAGGAAGGTACTCTGACATCGTTATTCTATCTTTCTGCTTGAGAATCTGAGGTGCATAAAAATCCTAGAGAAGTGGTATTAAACTGTTCAAAGTCAAGCTTGTGAGAGAAATTAATTCATATAATTGTGAAGAGGTAAGAGGATTGGTAGGGCATCATTTTCGTGCCGGCCAAGATTTGTGGACCAAAATGGTAGCCAGTTCAAACTTGGCTTGCTCATGTTCAAAGTCAAGCTTTTGATGATGGACACAAAGACCAAGATTGTTTAATGACCAATTGGTGCGACTTTACGTGAGTGAAAAAGGTTGTCTACTCTGAAGTTGGAAATTTCCTTTGTCCAAACTCATAGCAACTATGATAGAATTAGGGATCTATCGATAGAATTATGGATGGTAACTTGGGATCGAGCCTCAGCATTTAGGGAGTATTTATAAAAAATAGTCAAAATTTAAACACTTGATTAATTAAGTTTTTCTTTTTGACTTGGTCAAAATCTGGTTGCATGAGCATAAGGTGCTTGGTAAGCTAACATGATCCTTGACTTGCAGACAAAAGGTCTCAGGTTCAAATCCTCACAACATCATAGTTTTGTGAGTGTGTGAGAAATCCTCTTATAGTTTAAATTATCACTTGTACCAAAAAAAGGTACCTAGTAAGTGCAAATCCAGTTTTGTTAATAACATAGTCAAATTAGCATGGTGTTCAGACATTGTGCATTGGAGATATTTTTTTCTCTATTTTCTGTACTCACCTTACCCCATACTAATATGATTTCCATGATATTATATGCATTATATGAAATCTTGAGGTAATTATAAGTATATATATATATATATATATATATACACACACACGATGAATACCCATAAACATATTTGTATTTGAGTTGCAGTATTTAGTTTTCTACTATAGATAATTGTTACATTATTAATGGACCATAAATAGTCAGTTCGCTTATTCCGGGGAATATAATGCTCTCATGCAGGTTTATCAAGTATATTATATTGTTTCACATGTGTTCTGAAAATTTGGATATATTTACTATGTTAATTAAAGGAAAACCTTCATGCACTATCATCAATCATACCCTTACCGAAAATGTCCATTTGTGAAAAAATATATCTATATGTGCTAATGTTGTTTCATATTTTTTTAATTTTATTACATGAGCCCTAGAGAGTCTTTTGCTTTTTATGTTTATATGGGTTTTAGTATTGAGGGCATTTGAGTCTATTTAGTATCCATTTTGCATTGCTTATTTGGGGTGATAAGTGATTTTTTAAAAGTTTTAGGAAGCCTAACCTGTTTAGTAACCCATGAGAAAATAACTTATTGTTAAAAATTGCTGTGGGAGAAAGCAATAAAGAGAATCAACTAATGAGCTGCTTTCAATTTCTGATTATACTGTAATCAGATTTGAGGAGGCGTTGAGTTTAATGAAAATTACAAAATTTCAAAAATACGCAAATGTGATTTCACGCTCTCCTCTTGTTGTGCTTCTTCTCCTTCCCACGTCACAGAGCACTCTTCTCCTTCCCATGCCACATAGCACTCTTCTCACTCTTCCATTCTTCATCCATTTTTGTTCTTGTTGGATCAATTGAAGAGCACTCCTAAGAAGCCACAAGACTCAAGTAAGAGACATATTGTGTTTATTTCTTCTCAATTTCGTTCTTCCTTTTTTCTCTTTAATTTTTAGGGTTTTAACTATCAATTGTTGTTGTTGTTGTTGGTTTTCTATAGTATGATAGTTGCGTTCTTAGTGATGTGTACGAAAAAAGAAATATAAGCATATTCAAAAGTCTGCTGGTGAGGTTAGGGATATGGTGGGATAAAGTTCGATTATGGAACATGGGATTCAAATTTTTTTAAGTTTTGGGGTGTGCCATGGTTCTTTATATATGCGAATTGGAAGATATTCTTCCAGAAATATAAGATCTAAAAGAAGTAATATGTCCAAATTTTCAACATTATACCTATGCATAAGACTTCAGAAACTAGGGACGGGATAATGAAGAACGCCCAAATTTTGGACATTATAGCTATGAATATGAGTTTTGAAGCTAGAGACTTTCACTAAATACTATGGTTATAGTTTAGATCCAGACACATTGGTTAGTATGATCTGGACACTGTTAGAATACCCAATATGATCATGGTTTGGCACTGACAGTGAAGTGTTTGGGGCAGCAGAGGTAGGAGTTGGCTCTAGTTGGTTTAGATTCCTAATGAATAAGTTTCTAATTTTCTCTAAATGATGTGACGTTTGTAAAATATTCCCATGTTTTCAGCTCAGAATCCTTACAAATACACCTAATACAGACAACACGAGTAGATGCAGATATCCACAAATGAGAGGCTACTTAGGACCATATAAATGTGAAAGATATCAGCTTCCTAATTTTCGTAGGGGTGTTCAACCGATGGGTCATGAAGAGGTATTCAATCATGCACACTCTTCCTTTAAAAGTGTTATTGAACGCACTTTGGAGTATGGAAAAAGAGATGGAGTATTTTATGAGACATACATAGTTATCCTTTTCCAAAACAAGTAAAAATAGTTATTGCAACCATGACACTTCATAACTATATAAGAAGACATGCCATCAATTTGGGGAAGCAAATATTTCCAGATCTTAGGTCAAACAATGAATCCCATCAATTTGGGGGTTATTTGATTAAATTAGGAAAAAATAATTTCTTTCCTTGTGAGGAATTATTCTTCCGAAACCCTAGCTACCAAGGCTCTTATAAATACATAGCCAAGCACAGGGAATGAGGTACGTTTGAAACCCTACAAAAATTCCATCTCACAACCTTGTTGCCACCTAGTTCTCCCTGTGAGAAAAAGACCTCCTACCTTTCAATTATTTCTGCATTCTTCTAAGAATCATTTAATTAACTTAGGCATCGGAGGACCTTTGACCAACACCTCTCGAGTGTGGTCTTTTTCACTCCGTGTTATTTTGCAAGGAGAAAGAGGAACGAAGAGGACGAAGGGATCACAAGAAGAATATTCTCTAGGGAAGAAAATCACTCCCACAAATTGATGCTTTTATTGAGAGCACAAGTTATACTAAACGCATGCTCACGAATCAAGGAATCCGTTTCCTCTTATTTTTCCAATCAACCAAAGCCTTCCAAACAACCATGGTTGGAAGCAAACGTACAAGGAGCAAGGCCACTGGAATGACGGATCCGTGCCTCCCCCCTCACGACTGCCTAGCTAAGAGCCAAGTGGCTCACACAGCTGCACCTTAACATGGCTTCACGGCTAAAACCTCCTCACAGCCGCCAAAACTTGCGACTGGAACCACACAGTTGCCTACTGCCGTACCGCAACATGGCCCCACGACCTCCACAGCTTTACAGTTGCAAGCGCTAGCTGCTGGAGCAGACTTATTGAGCCATCTCGCCATTGGAACACAGCAGCAGCCACACCAAATGGCTGCTTGAATCAATGCACAGCCCCACGACCCGATGACCTTCACCACTTTGCAGCCACAAGCCCTCGTGGCTTGAGCTACCCTCCACAACAATGCAATAGTGACTGAGGTTGACGTCCACGATGACACCGCCACCCCAGTCTTAGAGCAAGTCCATTCACTCCCTCCTTTTCCTTCACATTTTCCATATGTTCCCGTGTAGACCTCCAATGAAACCCTAGCCCGTGTGCATTTAGGCTTCACATCATTCTCTCCTCTCGATCCACACAGTCAAGTGGACCTTAACCTGCGAGTTGATCAACTCACGCTGAAGGTAGACGACCAATACAATTTGGTTGGTTAGCTTCTCAAGCAGATACACTTGGTTCGAGGCCTTGACCTTGAATTCCAGGACAAAGAGAGAAGGACAGACGAGCATATCGGCGCAAAGATAGAGAGGTTCCAAGCTAGTCGGACAGGGACAAATGGGCCAGGGAGAGAACGAGAACGTGTTGTTGACCTAGACGAAATGCAGACATCTGCAAGCCATACTCGGAGTCGATCAACGATTTGTTCGAGGTTATGCCCAATGACAAATGTGGATGAAAGGTTGGGCCCATAATCTGATGTCCACACTCGCTTGGGCCTACAAAGAAGTATCCACTATAGGCTAGCCCGCAAGGACCTCGAGTTCGTGAATATCTGCGTTACTATAGCAACGATCGACGCTCGCCAATTCTCTCGAGAAAAACCAACTTAGAGCGACAAGTCGCAGAGGGACCCTCACAAGCTTAATCCACCAACTAGCCTCACGAGCAAGATAGCCAAGGAAATCGACCTTTGGGAGTTGAGGAGGAAGTTAACCAGTTGTTCTCGAATCACGGAAGGTGCCGACGCAAGCCATAAGCCCTGCAAGCAGAATATGTCGAGAGGCTTGAGAATGACCAACTTCAGAATCTCCAACTTAAGAGAAGCGCAAAGGAGGCCTTAGGTAGGGAAGTTGATCAAGTGAACTTCTCGCCCTTCACTGATGAGGTGGAGCAGGCCAATCCTCCAACATGGTTAACACTGTCCATCACACTGTTCAAGGGAGACTTTGACCCTGAGCGACATTTGAAGCACTTCAAGAGTGCTATGATCTTGTACAAGGCTGATGACGTCCTGATGTGCAAGGTGTTCTCGATGTCCTTGCACGGAGCAGCCTAGGATTGGTTCCACACTCTGCGGTCCGCATCAATCGACAGCTTCAGGGAGTTTATCCTCATTTTTACAAAAGAGTACACCTCCTATCGGACGGTCAAAACATAGGCTGACCACTTGTTTAATCTGCACAAAAAGCATGACAAGTCTCTCCAAGACTATATTAAGAGATTCAAAGTTGAAAAAGCGAACATCATAGGATGCAATGATCAAATCACATTCTTGGCTTTCCAAAAGGGCTTGCCGATCGAGCATGAGCTGTACCTTGAGCTGATTATCTCCCAGACCCAAAACCTGGCAGAATTTTTTGTGACTGCAGAACGCTACCCACTCTGGGATGATGACCAGACTCAGGGACTATCACTGCAAAAAAAGCAAGTAGGCAAGTCAATCAACCAACTAGGCAAGCAAGCCAAATAATGGCAAGTTCGTCAACTAGAACGGGGTCAAGCATAAATCGCAAACCCAAAAAGGAGCCTTGGCTGAAAAGATCGCCGCCTTAGAAGAAGGACCCAATTAAGAGTGATACCAATAAATACTGTGCCTTCCACGAAGGGCACAGTCATTAAACTAACAACAGCTTTGCCTGGAAAAGCCACCGTGAAGAGCTAATCAGAGATGGCTATTGCATGGAATTCATTACAAAGAAGGCCATCCAACAAATCGAGGATCATGATGGAGCTACCAAGGAGCCGCCACATAAAGTCATACTAATCAACATGATTCTAGCTAACTCCTAGGAGTCCAGGCTAACCACCAAGGAGCAGAAGAGAAAGATCAAGCAAGCGAATTTCATCTCCCAAGTTACAACTGGCGATTTACATCTCCTAAGTCACAACCGGTGACCCAGCCATTGAGGACGTTCTTATCATTGGCTTCTAGAGGAAGGATCTGATCGGGCTAGATCTACCGCATAATGATGCCCTTATCATTTGTATTCAGATTGAACAAGCTATGGTTGAGAGAGTTCACGTGGACGAGGGCAGCGCGACCAACATCGTGCAACTGTCAGTTGTCCGACAGATGATATTGGAGCCCAAAATCAACAAGCTTGCCAGATCACTGACTGGCTTGAATGGGGCAACCTCGATCACTGTGAATATAGTAGACCTTGACATCTACTTGCCACCGATAGTCTGCTCGCAAGCCTTCATGGTTATCGACGAGGTCCCCCCCACCAACGGAATCTTGGGTCAACCATGGATCGGTAAGATTGATAATCGCATCCGCTACACACCAGAAGATTCTCTACCCTATTAGTGAGGGCGAAATCGGGCAGATCAACAATAATCAAGCAGTAGCGAGAAGATGCAGAACCTAAGGGCTAAAGAAGAGCAAACAGTTGCAGTTTACACCAGTGATGCAAACTATCGACGAGGTAGATTGTGTTCTCGATGGTCAGGCAGACCTGAAAGGAAAAAAGAGTTGCTACCTCCCAATAGAAACCAAAGAATCGAGAATCGACCAACTCGTGGATTGAACTTCTAGCAATCAGCTGCTCAGCTTCATGGACGCTTACTTCGGTTACAATCAAACCTTGATGCACGAGGATGACAAGGAAAATCATGCCCTTTGAGTTGAAGAACGCCAGAGAAACATACTAGAGGCTAGTGAATAAGATTTTCAAGGAGCAGATCGGCAAGACTATGGAGGTCCAAGTAGACGTCATTCAAGTCAAAGCTCCCCTACGAGCAGACCATATCAAGAACCATGCCAAAGCTTTCAGCCTGCTTCGACAGTATTTCATAAAGCTGAATCCAAGTAAATGCACGTTTGGTGTATCATCCGGACGATTCTTGGGATACCTGGTCACTCAACAATGAAGGAAATACAAAGTTTGATGGGCATAACAGCAGCCATCAACCGATTACTCTCGAGATCTATTGACAAGTGCATACCATTTTTCAAAGCTTTGAATAAGGGACAAAGAGACAAATAGGAAGAGGAGTGCGAAGTAGCTTTTCAGAATTTGCAGACCTACCTCACTTCACTTCCCCTACTCTCAAAACTAGTTCTTGGTGAAGACTTGTTCGTATACCTGGTAGTGTCTAGCTTGGCTGTCATGTCAGCTCTCATCTGAGAAGAACTGGGGTCCCAACATTCGGTACTCTATAGGTCAAAAGCTCTCCTCGATGCAGAGACACGTTACCCGAAAATTGTGACCCTACTACCAAGCTCACTAGATCATCGTCATGACCGACTTTCCTTTGAGATCAATTCTTCACGGCCCTAACGCTTCTTAGTGACTCATGAAATTGGCTATAGAACTAAGTCAATACGACCTCTTCTACCTGTCGAAGACTGCAATAAAAGCTCATACTTTAGCAGAATTTCTTGCAAAATTCAGTTCATCGACTAAAGAAGAGAAGTGTCCAACGAAAACAAGGAAAGTTTAAGAGCAGACAAGACCTCTTCCGGTGGGCCTGATCTACCCAAAGACATATGGCAGTTACGCGTAGACGTAGCATGGAATCAAAAGGGAGATGGGGTAGGCATCATCATAATCACCCCGAATGGAACCCTGTTGGAGCAAGCTATCACGCTTGGCTTTCTGGCCTCGAACAACGAGGTAGATTACGAGGCTTTGCTGGCTGGCTTGTGCTTGGCAAATGAACTATGAATTAAGAAGCTGGCCATTTACTTAGATTCCCAGTCGATCATGAATCGAGCCTCAGGAGAATACATGGCGAAGCACTAAGGATGATCTTATATATTGACAAAGTCTAAGAACTGTTGAAGGCATTTCCTACCGTCACCATCCAACAAGGTGCCTCGGGCAAAGAACGTGCATGCAGATGCAATGGCAAGCCTGGGATCAACATTAGATACCTAGTTCAGAGATTCCATCCCAGTGGAGCACCTTGACCGACCGAGCATTGAAGAGGCAGAGCAGCTGGACTTGATGCAGATTGATGAGAATCCTAGCTGGCAAGATCCCATCAACGACTACCTTGTGAACGAGAACTTGCCAAATGACAAGTCTGAGGCCAGAAAAATCAATAAGAAACTGCGAGATACTACATGAAGGACAACATGCTTGTTCGCAGATCATGCTTCGACCCTCATCTCATCCGCATCAAATACCCGCAAACACTCGAGATGCTCTGCAAAATACACGATGGTGAATGCGGGAACCACGTTGGGGGTAGATCGCTTGCCAGAAGGCTTTCAGCTCAGACTACCTCTCGCCTACCTACGCCAAGACTCCATGGAGTATGTTCAAAGATGTAATCGATGCCAATGCTATAAACCAATACCTGGCTTAGCAATTAAGGTGTACCATCTGTATAATAGCCCATGACCATTAATGCAGTAGGCCATTTACTTGGTGGGACCTATGCCACCTGCACTTGCCAATGAAGACATGATGATCGTTGCCATTGACTACTTCACTGAGTAGATTTAGGCCGAGGCTTTATCTGCCGATTTGGCTGCCCGCAGTTGATAGTCATCAACAATAGCACTTGTCAACTCCAAGATATCCGCAATGCAATGGCCAAGTAGAGGCATCCAATAAGATTATGTTGGACTACCTGAAGAAAAGACTAGAAGATGCAAGGAAAATGGGCCAACGAACTGCCAGGAGTCCTATGGGCTTATTGCACAACCAAAATAAGATCAATTGGTGAAGCCTCATTTTCCTTGGTCTACGGGACCGAGGCGATCATCCCCCCACACATCACAGTTTCGTCCATGAGCAAGTAGATGAAAGTGAACCTTGATCTGCTTGAAAAAGAATGAGAGAAGGTCATTGTTTGAGTTGCAGCTTACCAGCAGTAGCTGGCATCTTACTACAACAAGAAGGCCAAGATTAGAAAATTTCGACTTGGAGACCTTATGCTTAGAAAATGAAGCCTAATTGGGAAGGCCTCTACATGATCAGCCGGTTTGGGGGCAGAGGGAGTTATACTCTCAACACCTTGGAAGGGAAGGAAGTTTCGAGACAATGGAATGCCCACCACCTTCGGAGGTACTATCCATGAAGCCCATCACTTACCAGCTTGGTTCCAAGCAGGTGATCGAGCCTCCTTCACCTCCGTTGAAGACAAGTTACTTTCGACGTTATGCATGTTGTCAATCTCTTTTATTCAATAAAGTGTTGTAATCACACAAACATCAATATAAGTTTAAGCTTTTTCTTTCAATAGAGTACCCATGAGAGCAATCGACATGTCTCCCTCGAGACAGACCAAACAGGCCACTCTCATCAAAATGTCTTCCTCGAGACATAGGCCAAATGGGGCACCCACAAGAGTAATGGACATGTCTCCCTCGAGACATAGGTCAAATGGGCCACCCACAAGAGCAATCGACATGTCTCCCTTAAGACATAGGCCAAACAGGCTACTCTCATTCACATGTCTTCCTTAAGACATGGGCCAAACGGGCCACTCTCATGACATGTCTCCCTCGAGACATAGGCCAAATGGGCCTTTATCCAGAAGACACTCAAGCAATTTACAAGATGCAATGCGAACTAGACTTGAAAAACAACTGACAATTCCATAGCAAAGTGGCTAGTCGGCCAAGTTCAACAACAAAAATGGTGGTTAACTAAATACCACTTATTAAAGCAAAAAAATAATAAAGGAGTCTACGTCTACTAAGGGACTCCAACAGGTGACCCTTAGCCAACTACCTCCTCAGTTGCCTCCTGATCAGCTACTCCGACCACGACCTAGCTATGCTCAACCGCTGCGATTTGCTTAGTAGTTTGCTCCTCCGCATCTGCCTCAACCTCATCAGCAGCCCTACCATCCTTGGCGTCGTTTTCCTCTACTACAGCCTCATCAGCTGTTTGCTCTTCAACTGCTTCTAAGTCCACAGTGTTGATCCGCTCAATTTGAGCAGACGGCACGTCATAGTGAGCTACTTGGCATCTTCATCTACGATGAGGCAATAAGGAAAGGTGCGTTTCATGCAGTCCAAGTATCCCAGCTTGTATGCATTGGCAGTAACCTCATGCTTGGACGCCTCAACGGCTTCGACGAGGAAGTCGAACTTGGCCAATAGCTTGTCATGGCTTTGGGCCAAAATGACATACTTGTGTTCAAGGAGAAAGTAGGCTTCCTTGCGTTTGAGCAGGGTAGCAACAATGGACTTGATCTCACCATCTCTTTGGCCAAGGGAACTTTTCAGCTCAGACCGACTCTCATTCATCTCGGACATCCTGGCATCATGACGAATTTGCTCGTTCGAGAGCTTGTCGATCATATCAGCATTCTTCTTTGTTAGCTCATCAAGCTGAGCAGAAGAGGGGACAACAACAGACGAGTTCCGCATGCCCCTAACAAGAAAAACTACTCTCTTTTGAAGGTGATACATGGCAAGGTTGCTTATCCAGGGGAAGAATCGAGAATGTGCCAAGGTCACTAGCTTGATGTATGTGGTCAACCAGCTTAACACAAACAGATGGGCTTGACAGGAAGTTTGTTTAGAGCAGCTCATCCCCCAGCAGATCTATCGCCAACTCTTGGACCAGCAGTTCGCACAACTGAAGGACTTTTCGCTCGAGTAGACGACTCTCGAGCTCTCTTGGTCACAACCTGCGATATAGAATCAGCTCCACACTTGATTGTTCGTGGCTTGGCAGACAAGTTGTGATTGTTGGACAAGGTTATAGTCCTCTCAGTTTGATCCCAGACTGGTGGGGATGACTCAAACTCTGCTTTTCTGCAATCAACCCAACTCGGGATCCAACCTCCTTACAACGCAGATCATGGGTTTTGAGGTGCCTAACATGGTGCTTGACCCTGGTAGATGAAGAATGAACAATTCTCATGAGGACCTTCTTGGCAATGATACCTCTCTTGAGGAATACTTGATCGTGGCTGAAGGAGGTCTCAGTTTTTTTCTCTGTGGAGATGCATCCCTTGACTGTGAGGTTGCAGCTTCATCTTTAATGGACCTAGTGCTGGCCTTCCTATTCTTGGGGAGCTCGATAAAGGACTCTTTTCGTTTAGCTGGCAGATCATCTAGGTTTGAGCTATGCAGCTTCTATCTTTCAACATCTTCGGCAAGGGGCAGACCGCTAGCCTCTTTCTGATGTTTGCTTAGAAACTAGCGTCATTCACGAAACTTGGCAGGGATGTTTAGAGCTTGACAAACCTTGATCATGTCTAGGCCAAGGTCAAGCTTCTTGCGGATGTCATTTTCTGCAAGCAGAAGACAGAAGTCAGTTAGATACGCATTAGAGAATTCCAGAAAAACTATAACGGATCTATGAGGTACGACTTACTGTCATAGTAGGTGAGAGGAATGAGTGGACCATCCCCAACCTCCCATTCCCATCTGCCGCTCACCTCCAGCACGTCAGTATGCTACACATGATCGTCTTGACTCAAACCGTCAAATAGCTTGGCGTTGCACACGCGAACCTGGGCATACTTCTTATAACGCCTCACTTCAAAGAAGTCGAAGAACTCTTGCACCGTCAGATCCAGCTTGAAGAAACGTCCGAAGCAGTTGATTGCCCGGTAGACGTTCGAGGTACATTGATTGGGGGCACATTCCATGGCACAGAGCACCTCCCTGAAAAACTTTGATAGCGGGAATGTCAAGCCTAATGAGAAGTAGTAGGGACGAAGCATGATAATTCAAGCGTCCCGATTGTGGGTTAGGGGCTTCACCAACTTGATATGCATGTCCTTCGAAATGGCAGAGTCGAAAGTGGCACGCCATGTTCACAATTGGGCCTCAGTGGTGACACGATGCAGATAAACTTGCGAGCTCAGTAATCGGCTTTTGCCATCGAAAGACATGGTCATTGAGCAGCTGCAAATCCAAGGGGAAAAGTGCATGTTAATTCCCTTGGTAAAAAAACAAAACAACAAAAGAAAAAAAAAGGCCAGCCCAAGCCTAAAAAAGGCTAGCCCAAGCCGCAAGGAAGCTGACCCAAGCTGCCACCCTTTCCAGCACACGGCCTGGCCTAGCCCGGCCATTCGCGCATCTCCAGCAACTCCAACTCACCCGGCTGGCCCGCATGTCTTTAACAGTAGGCCCGCGCCTCCAGCCCTTGCTACAACTCTAGTCCTAGCTGTTCACCCGTTTTGATTTTAATCCTGTGATGGCAGGGTAAAGTTCCCCATTGGCTTGACAACCACTGGTGGTCAACAAGTCAACTTTCTTTTGTGTATGAGCGTGCCACGGATAGCAATAAAAAAACCTAGCAGACTTCTTAAAAATAGATAACTTGCACCCCAAGTTATTGATTTCTAAACAAGCGATTGTGAATTTTGGTGGGGAATATCTCCCAAGTAAGTTCTTTTCTTTGCCTCAAACTGGTGAGGACTTCATAATTTTTCACAGTACAAAATGGTAGTTTCTGCCAAAATAGACAAAAGAAGACAAATTATTTTAGGCAAAACTGCCTATTACAGGACTCGAAAATGAAATGACAACTCCGAAGGCTTGCTGAACGGGTAGAATTGAGGCTGGACTAGATGTGTCTGTGCTGGACTGGCTAGTCAACACCTTCAACTGATGAGTTTCAGCTAGAAATCGATAACAACGTTTGAGTCTGGCAGAGCTTTACTTTATTTCAGGCCATGGAAGGCTTGCTGAACAGGCAGAATTGAGGCATCTTCAGTCCGGAGAGGGCAAAAGTGGCTGGACTGATGATTATTGAGCTGGAGCTGCGTTATGGTGCCTATTCTGCTTGACCAAGGCTTTCTGTAAATTTGCTGAGGTTTTCATATTTGTAAAAACCTGGACTCTGCTTGATTTGGCTTTGTGCTGAACCAAATTTGTAACGAGAAAAGTTTCGCTTCGTAAAACTAGTTCCCTGAACTGAACTGGAATAAAAAACTTGAATTCTAGCTGACTTGTTTCTTGTGGCTTAATGAGCTTTGGTTGCTTCAGTGTTTGAAGGCTTTTGAGATCAATGGATCTTCTTGAGTTTGTCAATTGGGACTTTGAGAGTTTTTGTCTTGATTTATTTTTTGGCTGTCTTTTGATCTGTTCACCCTCCTCTCATATTTATAGAAAAATGTTGGGGTGGGGTTTCTAATCTTTTAATAATAGGCGGCAGATTTTCCAAAAGGAAGATCTGTTTATTTTATATGTCAAGAAAAGGGGAATTTATCTATTCTAGCAGAAAAAACTATCAACAGTCAGTTCTTATGGTGATTACTTCCATGCCTTTCTTGAAAGAAAACCTAATCCCTTTGTACTCTTTTAACTGCCCTTTGTAAGAATGCAATCTACCATGATGGTTAGTTTGCTTTTCCCTGATGAACAACTCCTTGCTCCTTACTTATCTCTTTAGAAAATGTAGTATGCTCATCCCTTGGAAATGACACCTGCAGAATTTCTCTGAATATAGAAAGGGATTTTGATCTTTTGGTTGAAAAAGATTCAGAGAAGTCTTCCTTTTATACCTGCCTTCATTAACTCTTTGTCAACTCCTTTGTGATAGTTGAGATTTTTGACTCTTTCAAAGTTTAGGATTTCACACGGGGCTTCCTAAAAAAGATCTGCTATTGTTGCTTTTTGGGGTAGAGACCAAGTGATGAGATCTTTTTCAGAAGCTGGGCTTTTTATCCAAAACTGTGTGTATCATTTCTTTAGTTACGAATAATAGGATTTTACTTTTCTTAGATCATGGCTGTACTTGTAAAAAGGGTATGGGCTTTTCCAGTGTCTTGGGTTTTCCCTTCTTCTGATCCCTAAAGATAAAAGCCCAAATGTTTTGGTTCATGGGTTTTTATAAATTTTGGGCCGGGCTTGCAGAATTTGAGAAATTAGTCGAGCCCTCTCTATTTTGGGCTGCTCTTCAGTTTCTTTTAAATATCACGCTTGAGCTGTGCCCATGTTTTGTGGGCTGCATAAATGGACTGGGTTTGCAGAATTGAGGCCCAAACAATGCCCCCTTAAGTCTGAATCGTTTTAAAAACGGTTCCAAACTTAATGATTGGCCAATCAATGATGCGCCCCATTTCCTGCCGTTGCACTAGCACACGTTTGCTTGTTCAATTACGCTTCGTGGGGAAATGGGTTCTAACGGCTAATTAAATATGAGCGAAAACTCCTTTCTTCCCACTCTTCCCACGATCTTCTTCTTTAGTTTATAAGAAGTTCTGAACTCTATTACTGTTCATTCGCAACCTAATTCTGCCTCAGTTTTCATTTCTTCTTGAAACTGTCTGTCCTTTGGCTCGTTCTTCAATTCTTCCCTGTTTTCTTGCTGGAATTCGAAGACTTCTTCCCCAAAAACTCGTGCCAAGGATTCTTCTTCCTCTCGGTCTCCTGCTTATCTTACTGGAGATGGTGTTGACCAACATGTGATTGAGGTTCATAGCAAGCTCCACCCTTTTACCCAGAAGAATTTGGATGAAAATGTTCTTCACCTTTTTGACAACACACTCGTTCTGGGTCCTCATTGGTTTGGCACAGTGCCGAAGGAAATGGTGAATCTGTTCAAGGAGGATGCTGAGGCTCCCCTTTGACTCCAAAGCTCTTTTTCCCTGGCTTCTCATTCCTGGGTTCGTCAGAACTTGAGCCGCTCCTATCCCTCCAGTGAAGTGAGGAATAGTGTAGTGAAGTGGTTGATTGGATTGATAGACTCCTCCATCCTTCTGTCCAAGCAATCTGTGAATAGGGATAAGAACTTACTGGCTGCAGCTCTCTGCTTCTGGAATTCTGCTAGTAATGGTTCAATTTTTGTGTGGGCCCTATGCTCCAACCTTGCTAGATATGGCTCAGATCTTGAAGAAATTCAACATAGAGAAGGACAAGGATCAACAACATATGTTGTTTCTTTTGTACTGGTTGAACAGGTTCGTTTTCCCCAATTGTTCCTCAGCAGTCCTACTCGAATACAAACACTTGGCAAAAGCAATGCACAACCACATTGACGTGGGGCTAGCTCCAACAATCCTGGCCCATTTGTATAAGAATCTTCACAGCGCTACCTTTGAGAATCCAACATTTCTGGTTCTGGCGCATTCTGGATGATCCAGATCTGGCTGTAGGTCTATTTCCCAGAATTGAGGTTCCCAGACATCGTAATGGCTTGAAGACCAAGTCATGGCGCTCTCCCTAATGTCTGCAGAAGTGCCCAAGTGCTCTATTGAAGAGTACATGATGTTTTTTAGGCATTGTATTAAGAGGTCTGCTGCTCAGTGGCAGGTGGTACTTAGAAGAACGTATCCTTGGTTCTAGCCTGGATACAGATTGTTTGAGAAGGAACCTGAGTGTAATGTTGCTCCGGAACCTGCCTTTTGGAGGTGGTAAGCCCCCTAACTGTCATCTAGGCAGAGAGGTCTATCACCCCAACTTCTGTGCCAGGCAGCTTGGCTGTCCCCCAGGTTATTCCATTGAAGTCCTATAGAATCTGCAATCGAGGCACCTTATGGAGAGATGTAGATGATCTGGAACTGCACAAGGATTGCATGTGTGTAGTAAATAAGATAAACAATAGTGCAGATGCTCTCTATCCATCCTGGGAGCCCAATTCCTGCATTTCTGTCGAGTATGATGCTTGGTGGAAGGCTAGGTTCACTGGTCTGCTAGATTCCAGTTCTGCCACGAAGGTGCTCTTTGATGGCTGGGATTCCTAGGCTGTCCATACAGGGGCATAGGTGAAGAAATATATGGTGCAGACTATCAAAGACATCAACGCCCAAGTAATTGAAGGTAAACTTTCAATTCTGCCCATGTTTTTCCATTTTGTCAATGATTATTGCATTCTATTCTGGTGCTAATGTTTTAATCTGTTCTATCTGTTTATATCAAATCCTTCTATGACAAGGAACCTTGGGGGACAAGTTGTTCAGGCTAGAGAAGTGTTTGGTAAGTTTCTGAATTCTTTCCTTCTGCATTTTTCCTGCTGGATTGCCTTCTAATTGTTCCTTCTTCTGTGTAGTTACTTCTGTCATTGCTACTGGAGACTTGGAGCTCCCTTTTGGGGACGAAGAAGATCAGCACGAAACTCTGGCAGAACAGCTGACTGTCGAGGCAACTCCTTTGCCAGAAGGAACAAGAGAGAGGAGACTACCCAGGCTCAGGACAGTGCTGTCCAGCCTGAAATTTTAGGTAATATTTAACAATGAGACCTTCCTTAGCTCTGTTCTTTTCAGCCCATTTGTTCTAATCTTTTATCTTTGTTCTTTGTAGCCGAAAGTCCCCCTACTCCTCTTACTAGGTCAAAAAGACTTAGGAAAAAAGCCGTGGCAGAATATGAGGAGATAGAAGAACCTACAGCAATTCTTACTGAAACCTCTGGAACTGTATTGCAGGAGAAGGAAGTAGATGTCTCAACAGGAGATGAGAAAAAAGGCAAAGAAGTTGAAGAAGAGGTAAGATCCTGTCTTCAATTCCCGGACATGATCCGTTTTGTTTATGTTTTTCTTGACTTCTGTCTATCTATAGGAGGAGATTCCTGTTGAAGTAATAGCAGAGAGTCTTTTGCTGGCGAACAATAGGAAGCTCAAAGGTTAGAATTGGCCCTATTTGATGATGTGGCGGCAGAACATTCTGTTGCTATTCCAAAGCCTGAAGGCGGAGGTAGAACATTCTGTTGTTGTCCTTGTTCCTGAGGTAACTTCTGTCCTTTCTTCACTTTGTTTAGTTTTTGCAATGCTGTCTATTTCATCCTTCTAATTGATGTTCTTGTTTTTCTAAGCAGAAGACGACAGAACTGTTGGGGCCTTGGTTGTAGTGACCAACGCTTTCAAGCCCCCTATTGTGGCCATAAGTATCTTGGTGCCTTCAGCCCTTCTCTTATTCTAATTCAGCATAAAACTAATTGAAATTATTTCTTTGTAGATGCCTATCCATTCTATCCCTGGCTCCTCAACCACGGCCTCCTTTGCTGATCCAGAATTGGTAGAGTTTGAAGCTATGGATCTGGATGCTAAACTAGACAAGCTGGAGAAACTCAGTTCCACTCCCGACAATGCTAAGTCCAAAGCAGTAGACGAGGTAGTGGACAGAGTGAAAATCTGGCAGTCAACCAAGCTGGACTTAGATGAGGACAACGAAGCCGTTGATCAGTTTATGAAAGACCTGGACCTGCTGCATTGGAAGAACATGGCTCCCAGGCCTATTCTTGAGATCAGTTTGGGTCTGGCAAAAGATGTGCTCAACTTCCATAACCACTATGAAGATCTCAAGCCCTCCTTCAATGCCTCTGAATTCTGCAAGGCTACCCATGAAGCCAACTTGGTTGATTATCAAAAACAGAAGGCAGAATTGGATGTTTTGGTTGTTGACTACAAGGAGACCAAGTCCACTGTTGATAAGCTAGAAAAACATATTGAGGAACTCCAGAAGCAACTAGCTGGGCTAAGGGAATGGCAGAAGAAGTTTGGGGCTGGACTGGGCACCAAGACTAAGGCAACCTTCCTTGTGCAGAACATGGTTTCAGCTTCTAGGCTAGCATTGGAGATTGCAGAAGCTTCCATTCACCAGGGAGTGCTCATGCAGAAGGAGATCTCCACTAAAAAGACCGGATTGCAAAAGACCCTTAGAAAGTTAGGACTTTGAAATTAAAAAATGTAATAAAACTTTAGTCATAGCTAATGACTATATTTAAATAAAGATCCTAATTATTTTTGCGGAACTTTGCATTTCCATTTTCTTCTATCTTTGATGAAACAAAAAAGGGCAGAAATGAAATATATACTAAAGGTAAAATTTTGTACAAATCTGAATGGAAAATCAAACAACAATTCTATCCTTCTCTCCCTCAATTCCAAGATCTGTTTGTACTGCCTGTGAATCCCACATAGTTGGATAGAACTTCTTCAACCATTTGCCATTGATTGGCGAAGCATGGATGTCTCCATCTTGATCCTGTAATTTGTATGCCCCCAATCTAAGGACTTGCTTAATTATGAAAGGCTCTTCCATGTAGGTGACCACTTTCCATAACCAGTTACGTGTGTTTCAAGGGGCAGAACTTCTTTCCAGACTATTTCTCCTTCTTCAAAACTCTTGTTTTTAACTCTTTTGTTATAGGCCCTTACTACAGCCTGTTTCCCTGCTAAGAGTTTGTTTGAGAGTAGTCTTCTCCAACCAGATTGTGTTGCTGAGCAATTCTAAGAGATTGGACTGCTATTTCCATAGGCAGAATTGCATCATGGCCATAGGTTAGAGCATATAGGGTCATGCCAGTTGCATCTCTCTTTGATGTTCTATATGCCCAGAGAGTTTCTGATAATTTCTCATGCCATTGGTTTGGATTTTTCTCAAGCATTTTCCTGATAATGTTGATGATCACCTTGTTACTTGATTCTACCTGTCCATTAGCTTGAGCATAATAATGAGTGGATTGAAGTAGTTTGAACTTGAATGCTTCTGCCATATCTAGCATTTCTCCATACATGAAAGAAGATCCCCTGTCAATTGTGATTGACTCTGGAATGCCAAACCTTTGCACAATATGTTCTTCTACGAAGGTAATGATCTCTTGAAATGTGGTGGATTTGACTAGCTTGGCTTCCACTCATTTGGAGAAATAATCAGTAGCCATTATGATAAAACAGTGTTGCTTGCTACCAGCTGGATAGATTTTGCCAATGAGGTCCATTGCCCATCCTCTGAATGGCCATGGCTTGATGACTGGATTCTTGGGAACTGAAGGAGCCTGCTAGATTAGACCATGCCTCTGACAAGCTTCACATCCCTTGGAATATTCTATGCAGTCTTTCATCATGGTAGGCCAGAAGTAGCCATACCTTCTGATCAACCAACACATTTTCTCCCACCTTCATGTGCTCCACAGATTCCTTCATGGACTTCTCCCATGACTTTCATGTATTCTTCTTTTCCTAAGCATCTCAAAAGTAGCTCATCTTTGCTTTTTCGGACCAACTCTTCATTCCACATGACATAATTTAAAGCCATGATTCTTATTCTTTTCTCGGCTGGGAGGGCTGGATATTGCAGATAATTAATCAAGGGTAGTCTCCAGTCCTCCTCACTTATCATGGCATCCATATCTCCATCTCTCTGGTCAAAACTGATGGCAGACTTTTCTTTCCTACCTTGATGATTCTCTGTACACAGTCTTCAAGCATCTGTACTCCTGTTGCTATCTGAGCCATCTCATTGGTTGCAAGGTTTTCCTCTCTTGGAACATGTTCCCAAGTGGCGTCCCTGAATTCTGCCAGGAGATTTCTGGCTGGCACCAAATAGACAGCCAAGGAGGGACTCAAACACTTGTATTCTCCAGCAATTTGTTTTAATACGAGCATGGAATCTCCCAGAATTTCCACAGATTGAACTCTTAGTTCTACTAGCATTTCAAGGCCTATGATCAAGGCCTCATATTCTGCTCTGTTGTTGGTGCACTGGAAGTCTAGCTGGAATGAATAACAGTGTTTGATTCCTAGTGGATCTTCTAAAACAATCACTGCCCCAGAGGCTAAGTCTATTTTAGATCCATCAAAGTATAGCTTCCAGGGGGTGAGATGGACTAAGTAAATGGGATTATTGAGACAGGTGTGAGCTATGGTTAGCAAGTCTGCATTGGCTATATTCATGGAATCCATATTCTCAATTTCTTCTCTTGGATGATCTGCTAAGAAATCTGCAACAGCCTGCCCTCTGATGGATTTCTGAGGAACATATCTGAAAGCAAATTCTGACAGGGCCAGAGTCCATTTACCAATTCTCCCCCTCAACATTGGTCTTGTTAGCATGTATTTAATTAAATCTGTTTTGGCAATGATGTAGGTGGTGAAAGGTAGCATGTAATGTCTGAGTTTTATACCAGTAAAGTACAAAGCCAAACAAAGTCTTTCAATTGCAGAATATTTCATTTCTACTTCTGTCAGAGTTTTGCTCAAGTAATAGACTGCTTGTTTCTTCCCTTCCGTGTTATCTTGAACTAACAGACTCCCAATGGATACTTCTGATGCAGAAACATATAACTTGAGTGGTCTGCCTCTCTTTGGTGGGGACAGAATTGGTGGATTTGAGAGGTAATGTTTGATTTCCTCAAAAGCCTACTGGTGCTGTTCTTCCCATTTGAATGTCTGTTTCTGCTTTAATCTTAACAAGGAGGAGAATGGTTGGATTTTTCCTGCAGAATTGGATATGAATCTTCTTAGAAAGTTAATATTTCCTAGGAGACTCTGCAATTCTTTATGGTTCAGCCACCTTTTTTTGAACTGCAAAGAGAGCATCGGGTTAGTATGAGAGTATTACGTAACTGCCTTTGTGTATGTGAAGTTGCTTTTATGTATCGTGTGTATATGTGGGTAAAGAAAGATTGTGGTGAAGAAAAATGTTGGATGAAAATATTTTCTATTGATCCAGGTTGACGAGGTCCTTTTTGAAGATATGCTCTTCGGATCTCATCTCGATAATTAGGACTATAATTCGTCATTTGAGTTCTTAGTCCAGGGATCTGCCTGAAGATTAGCCAGTATTTCATCTAATTCAATAGGTCTTGCTCTTGGACTTGAACTACCCGAATTAGACTCACCATCTAGGTACTTTTCTCTTAAAGTATCGTTCCATGACAATTTTTTTTCTATACATAAATTAATTCAATCAATCAATTATAAAGACTACCCTAATCTAATCCAAGTAATAATATCAATCAATATAAACTCTAATACAATTATCCAAATAACAAAATAATTTAATATCAAAATACCAAAAAATTCTAATTCATAAAGAAAATCAATCTATTAATATAAATTCTAATCCAAATAAGAAAATCAATCAATTTCACCATACCAATAAATTATAATTCATCAAAGATATATCAATTTCATTAAAATATCCAAAGCCCAAAAGAATATATGTAAAATTATCACTTACTTGACTTTATGAGAAGTGATGGTAGCGGAGGCAAGAGGTCGTCGGTGACGGCGGCGGCTTGTATTGGTTGGTGGTGGTGTGGTGGAGGTTGGGGATTAGTTAGGGTTTTGAGAGGAGAGGGAATTTTGAAAAAAAATTGGGTCTTTAAGGGTTGCTGGAATCTGGAGGGAAAGATAAGTTGTTGTTTGCCAAACCTGGCTTCAAAATGACGTCGTTTTGAAGCCAGGTTTCAAAACAAAAAATTAACACGCCTGGACCAAACGGCGTCGTTTTGGCCAGGCGGTTTTTAAAAAAATAGGGAATACGCAGCTTTGCCCCCGGCGCACTTGTTTTTTTTCACTAATATCCCTTCTTTGAAACCTAATTAAAAATGCCCTCTATAAAACCTCCCTAATGCTTGTGTATTGCCCTTGTATCACTTTTTTTTGTGGTTCTGAGCTCAGAGCTCTCACTCTCACTCACTCAGTCACTCACCTCTTCTCTCGTCTGTTTTCTCTCTCCCTTTCATCCACATCGGCGATAGCAACTGCCACCTCCTCAGAACCCACATCGGCGACGACGTCCTCACTCTCTCTCTTTATGCCGTTGTTCTCCACCTCCATCTCTCACTCTCTGTCACCTATTTCAACCGCCATTCTTCCCCTCCGGTTCAACAAATTTCTCAATTTTCTTCAGCATTCCTGAAATCCATTTGGGTTTTCTTCTACTTGTTTCAATTTCATATAGTGGTCTAGAAAGTTGCTCAAAATCCAAATTCTTGGTACATCGTTTTATTTATCATGCTTATTTGCTTGTTCTGAATATATGGTTCTATTTGCTTGGTTAGGCTGAGTTGATGAGTGCATGAGAAAATGGCCTGTAGGTGTTCGATGAATCACCTTAATGAGGCGCACTATGGTTTTCTTTGAGATACAAACCAATTGGGACAATTCTCATGGTATATACTTAAAGGTGAACTTCTAGGAGGACCCAATGAACCCATCTAAATGGATGGAAAAACAGTTGAGTTTTATTATAATTTGTTTACAAAGATGTCTTTACAGTGCATAATGGTTTTGTTAGATCGCCATTGACGTTAGTTTAATTACCTTTTAACAATGCTTGAGAAATGTCCCTGTTTTTACAAGAAGACTTACACAAGTGCCATATTATGTCAGTTTGAATGGATACTTGGTTGTGTCATTTGATATTTGGAATTCTATTAGATTTATTTACTTATTTTTCAACTTTTGTGTCATGCCTTGAGTTTCTTTCATTTCAACATCTCCATTTAACTTGCACTGTGAACAAGTTAATACTACACTGTTTTGTGTCATTGTGAAATTGAGAAATAAAGTTCATGTTATTATTTTGCAGGAATTCTAAAGGCTATGATATGGCAAAAAAGTATGTGAACAAACAAAAGAAACATAGAAAGGGTTTGATGCTGATGCTTCCATGGCTAGGTTTTGCTGCTGCTTCGTCTTCCTCATTTACCTAAAAGAAAGGGTCTATATCTCTAGCATTTGAATCCAAATGTCCCTTGCCAAGCCCTGCCCTACCCTGCCCTGCAGTACTAGCTAGCACTACAGCCCCTATTGTACGTGGTCCTCTGATTTGGTTTCTTTGAGCCATGTGATGCTTTCAACTTCCTAGATCCAACTCCAATGACTATTTTTTATTAAGTCATAATTTACTGCCTATAATTAGGACCTGCGGTTTGAAGTTTTTAATTTGGAACAATTCATGTATTGTTAAAACATAAATGGTGCATAGCCAATGCCGAGAATATTAAAAATAAGCAATATGATCATACGAGGGTTAACGCCCATGTAGATATGCACTGATCAAGCTTGAGCAGTAAGGCCTTTCGTCTTGTGCTTGGTAGGTTTGCTTTTCCTCGTCCATTAGATGTTTTCCAATTATGAGGTGATATGATACTCTTCCTCTTGGCATTATTCTCATGGTTGTGAAATTTCAGTTTGCAATGAATGACTATATCAATCTAAAAGATTATTTTTGTGTAGAAATTGAATGAAAGTAAATTGTACTGCATACCTCTGTGGTGTCTATGTTCTGGAGTTAATGTTGTTGATCAATGATCAGCCTCTTTCATAATTCTTTCATTGATTAATATTGTTGTTCTCTCATTGTTCCGAAGTTAACTTGATTGAGTTTTGATGCACTGCTTGAAATTTTCGATACCATGTGAGTTATAAGTTACGAATGAAGCACAGACGAAAAACAATGAACTCTATTTTTATAAGAAACTTAGTCTGCTTTGAGTCTTTTCTTGATACGTAAGTAGGAGATTTTAAATTGGGCTTGTTTGTGCTTTTGCGCATCTGCATATATAGCAATAAAAGGAAAGTGATGGTTCCAATAGAGCATATCAAAGATCTACCTCATTAGTACCAATTTGTCTTTTGTATTACTCTGTATATACATATTTATATATGTACATATTGATATTGCTTTATTTTGTTTCTATTGTAGAGGAAGATGATGGATGAATTTGAGAAGCTGAAGCAACAATTGGTAGAGTACGAGATCATGTCACGGCCCATATCCCACAAGCTTGGTCTCTAGCGATTTGAAACCCTAACTCTTAAGTCTTGAGATAATTGACATTTTTTTTTCATAACAGTTGGACCAAGATTATTGTTGGCTTCTAGAAGATTGTTGTCATTGAGAACCTTCATCAATTTGGGGTGGGCCAACATTCCATTCAGTTGCAAGAAGTGTACTGTAGTTATTAGGAAAAAAAACATGTAATTAAGGAACTATTTGTGTGTCAAACATACCGTGTAATCATTTAGTCCTCATGGAATGAAATTGAGTTCAATTTACTTGAGAAATTTCAGTCTTGAATATGTTGTTTTTATATATTTGCAAGTGTATGCAATGGAAAAATACTTTTATTTATATTATACAATGAAGAGAGCACATTATATACATTATGTGTATATATAGCTCATTCTTCTTTACATTATATGTATATATAGCTCATTCTTCTTGCCTTTGTATTGGGATGACAATGGGTCAAACCGGGGGTGGGTATGCCATTCCCATCCCCATCCCCGTGAAGCTTTTTTCCCCCATCCTCACATTCATACCCACAATATAGACTTGAAAAAAAAAGGATATACGAGGGCAATACAATAGCAATACACAAGCAATAAAGGGCTATACAATGGCAATACACAAACTCCATACTCCCCCTATAAATTTATTCCAACACAGACTTGAAAAAAAATATATATATGGGGGCAATACAGTAGCAATACACAAGCAATAAAACGCTATACAATGGCAATACACAAACTTCATACTCCCCCTATAAATTTATTCCAAGACTTTAAAAAAAAGATATACTGGGGCAATACACAAGCAATAAAAGGCTATACAATGGCAATATAGTAGCAATACACAAGCAATAAAAGGCTATACAATGGAAATACACAAACTTCATACTCTCCCTATAAATTTATTCCAACATACTTTTAAAAAAAAGATTTACGGGGGCAATACACAAGCAACAAATGGCTATACATGTGCAATACATATCAGTCATGGCATTTGCCAATTAAATCATTGATTTGGTTACATTTGTATTTTTTTCTTCTTTGCAAGGGGAGCGATAAAACCATGGAAACTAGAGATTGACAAATTTCCTTCTAACTTGACTTTCATAAATTGATGAACTAACTATGTTATCTCATTACATCTTAAGATATACATAAGAAAGTGGCAAAAAACAAAAAATTTACATCTCCTCTTGGTCTGGAATTTTAACACAATTTATATCTATAAGAAAAATTCCAAGAGATGTCCTGTTAGACTCGAATTTAAGCTGAAAGTTAGCAATTTCTTCCCCAAAAGAACGCAGCCACTTGAAACAAGACAATCTTCCATCTGTATAAAATGGATCAACAATGCATATTAGAAGCAAATCATTCAATCACAGTGGAAGCAAATCATTCAATCACAGTGGAAACAAAAACCGAAATTCATATAGATTGTTGGCTTTTCTAAATGACCCAATTCTTCATATGGCAAAATTTCACAAGACAGTACCATTGCAAAATTAAAGTTCATATTCATGCACACAATTTCATACCACTCAATTGCAATTCAGAAGTAATAAACATGGGTGAAGTGAATGTGTGTCTTGGCAGGCAAACAAAAATACAAATCAGGAAATCATTAATAGTGCATTTGGCATTGTTCAAACAGTTAAAGAAGCACAGTCTCAGAGAAGAAGAAGAGCAAGACAATGGAATAGATAAATGCAAGAGTTATCAACAAACCTTCAAGTTTTCCAAGAACCCTTTCATGGCACCAACTCAACCTTGGCATGATACCAACCTTGAGGATTGTAGACTGCACCAAAACAATAGAGAAAATAAAGATCCAACATATGCCAACTTTACAATATCAAAAGTACGTTAAAATATTGGCATTCTCATAAAACTTACAAACTCTCCAATCACATTCAAAAGAAGTAAACAATGAGAATCTTGCATTTGTTGCTGGTGCTACTGATTTCAAAGGTTAAAACCCACATTACTGTTATTTCAGAGAGCATCTATGAGTTTTATATGTATTCTTACAGGTTGCTCAGAAAAGCCAAAAGTCCTGATTTGATATATCACCTAAGTGATTTCACAGACAAATCGCAATCACAAAAGAGTGAATACACCACTTTCAAGGAGGTCTGCAAGTCCAAGCCTTAATCACAAAACAATGTATGCATGATTTCAGAGACAAATCATAAGCACAAAATAGTGTATCCAAGTCCAAGAGCTTGACAACCACAAGAAATAGTTGGTAAATTTAATTCAATCATGGAAACAACAAACAAACCACAACAGAAACCCACTAATGTCTCATTCAAAATAGTGAAAGTAATCACCCAATAATCTCAATAACAAAAAACAAAAAAAAAAAAAAAAACCAATATTAGAACTCACCACAGTGAAGATTGAAGATTGAAGGTGTTGTGGGTTTGTGGTGGAAGTTGATGACGAAGGTGGAGAGTCACGATTATGGCTTCGTTTTGGAGGCCGACGACGGAGGTGGTGAGTCACGCCTTGGCTAGGGTTCGATTCTGAATTTGGGGTTCAACCTCAAGGTTTAAATTAGCTACTAGTTTGAAGATATAACTATGTGAAAATGGAATTAAGCGAGATTCTATGGTGGAGATGGATTTTCTATGAGGTTTGAAGAAGAGGAAGAGAAAGAGACTAGGGAGAAGAGGAAGAGGAAGAGCAACGACTGAGAAGGAAAAAAAAGTGACAGATGGGCAATAGACTGTCAATAGGGAGTTTTTATAGGGGGTATTTGTGATTAGATTTCAAAATGGGGATATTATTGAATAAATTAGTTGCGTCGGGGGCAAAGTCGCCAATTTCCCACGCACAGAGGGGCAAATGGAGTCCGATGACCTTATGGCAGTCGGGAAAAGTAGTGGTGAAACTCCGGTGCGACCCTATGGCACACAGGGTCACACACCAAGTGCTCGACGAAATGCCCAGCAGAGGAGCAAGAAGCCAGCACGCAGCGCCTGCCTTACTCAGCGCGCATGCGCGAGCTATTATTTGTTGGGAAATTGGCAGCTTTACCCTTGGCTCACCTAATTTATTCACTAATATCCTTATTTTGAAACTCAATCACAAAGGCCCCTTATAAAAACTCTTTATTGACAGCCTATTGCCCATCCTTCACTTCGTTTTTTTTTTCTCAGTTGTTGCTCTTCCTCGTCCTTTTCTTCCTTCTGCCAAACCTCACAAAATCCACCTCAACCATAGAATATCCCCTAACTCTATCTCATCTTAGTTATATCTTCCAACTAGGAGCTGATTTCAACCTCAAAGTTGAACCCCAAATTTGGACCGGACCCTAGCCAAGGCGCGACTCGCCACCTCCATTGTCGGCCTCCACAACGAAGCCATAGTCTTGACTTGCCACCTCCATTGTCGACTTCCACCACAAAGCGACGACACCTTCCTTGTTGATCTTCACTGTGGTGAGTTCTTATATTGGTTTTGTTTTTGTTAATTTATTTATTTTTGGGTTTTTTTGATTGATTGAGATTTTGGGTGATTGCTCTCAATGATATATTAATGGGTTTCTATTGTGGCTTGCTGTTTCTATGATTGAATAAAATTTACCAAATATTTCCTGTGGTTGTTAAGCTCTTGGACTTCGATACACTGTTTTGTGCTTATGATTTGTCTTTGAAATGATGTATACATTGTTTTGTGATTGAGACTTGGACTTGCAGATCTCCTTAAAAGTAATGTATTCACTCTTTTGGATGATATTCAATATGAAACAACATTGGACAGTCAAGGTTTGGCAATTTGTAAGTAGTTAGTTAGTAATAGGATACCCTAGGTTAATGGCTTTGGGTTGGATTTAACTTTAAGAGTTCTTAATACATGCCTTCCTTGTTGGAGCTTGAAACACAGCTATGCTAGCTGAACCGTTTCACTTTGCATAATACTGATGTTTTAAAATTGTTGGTTATTAATGTTTAATTGATGTTTTATCTATATGGTTTATACACTAGTTGATAGATTTTTTATTGGTAGCTTACATGTGTTAACAAAAGGAAATTTTATGATGGTCAGAAATGGACACAATTGCAATTTTGGTTTGCTACAATGGCAAATGGGTAACCTCAAAGAAGATGTGCACATATGAAGGGGATGACTCAAAAGGCATAATAGTTTCATGAAACATCATGTTTGGTGAGCTTTTGGAATGGGTGCATAAGATTGTTAATAGAGACAACAGGGAAGACAAACTTTGTTTAAAGTTCTCAGTTTCAATATCCTCGAATGAGTGTAAGCATATCAAGATTAAGGACAATGATGATGTTAAATTTTTTATTAAGTACATTTGTGAAGTAATTCCTTCAAAAGTGGCTCCTTTACTGGTGAGCATAGAAGATAGAGGAGTGACAAATGTCGTAGGTGATCGTATACATATCACGACGGATATGAGTCGGATGGCCTGTTCTTCAAATGCCATAGTTGAAAGCAATGGTGATGTACATGGTGATTTTGGAACAGAATATTTAGACATGATTGATTTTACAAGGGTGGAGGGGATGCATAGTGGTGATAATGGTATGGAAATGAATGGCTTGCAAATGCACTTAGCCCCTCCTATTTTGGCCAATTTGGAGAAATTTCACAAGTAGGTGTGGTTGGTTTTGGAACAACGTCTGAACTTTCTATTCAACATAATTGGAGGCAAATGGGTGAACAAAACGTGCACAATTTGGGTATTGTAAATGATGAAGAAGAAGATATTGAAAGTGCGTAGTCATAGAATAATTGGGATCCAAAATTGGAAGTTGGGAAAATTTTCTCTAGTAAGGAAGCCCTGTCCAACAAGTTACAATTGGCGGCTATGAGAGGTCACTTTGAATTTAAGGTGAAGCAGTCTTGCAAGAGTCGATTGGTTGTGGTTTGTTCTCAAGGCCCATGCCCATGGCGGCTTCGTGCATCTAGTTATGGAGAAAAGAACTTCATGATTGTGAAATATAATCCGGTTCATGAATGTGATATGAGTTTTATACATGACAAGCATCGTCGCACAAGTGCTAAACTCGTTGGTAATGCAATGAAGCGGAAGTTGAAAGATTCTCGCACAATATACACACCAAGTGATATAATCAGAGATGTGAAACAAAACTTTGGTGTCACCATTAATTATTGCAAATGGAGATCAAGGGAGTTAGCTCTAATGTCCACTAGTGGTTTAGTAGAGGAGGCATATTCTCTCCTTCCAGCTTATTGTCATGAATTAGAGCGTGTGAATTCCGGCACAAGGACATACATCCACACCGATGAGAACAATCACTTTTTGAATTTTTTTATGGTTGTTGGGGCATGTATTAGAGGGTTTCAATCTTTGATGTGGCCAGTCATTGCTGTGGATGCCACGCATTTAAAATGTAAGTATAAGGGTGTCCTTTTTGTTGCCAATGCATTTGATGGAAATCAAAATATATATCCTCTTGCTTTTGGAATTGGGGATTTAGAGACGGATGCATCATGGCATTGGTTTTTCAGTGAGCTTCATGAAGTCATTGGTGAGTGTCCAAATCTTGTGATTATTTCTGATCGGAATATTAGCATAGAGAATGTGTGGCACAACATTTTTCCAACGGCGCAACATGGCATATGCTTTTACCATATGAAGGGGAACATGAAACGCACTTTCAAATTGAAAAAAGTGATAAATTATTGCTATACTTTGAAAAAGCTGCAAAATCTTATGGCATCGCTGAATTTTATCGTCATTTTTGCAAGATCAAGGGAAATGATGAGGTTGCTCAATATCTTGAAAGTGTAGGATTACACAAGTGGTCTAGAGCTCACATGGATGGACGTTGATACAATGTAATGACAACAAATATTGCGGAGTCAATCAACTCAGTGCTTCAGTTCGCAAGGATGCTACCAGTGGTGCATTTGATTGATGAAATCATCAATTTGCTTGTGAAATGGTTTAGTAAATGTCGTGATTTTGCTTTGAAATGTACATCAACATTGTGCCCTGACTTTGGCGAGAAGAAGCTGAGACGCAGGTTGGAATGTGCTTCAAGGATGAATGTCGTGAAACTGAATCATGTAGAGTATAATGTCGTGGACAGTGATATGGACGGCCACGTACATTTGACGAATAACACTTGCAGTTGTAGGAAGTTTTAGCTTGAGCAACTACCTTGCAAGCGTGTAGTTGTAGTTTCCCGTTTCTTGAAACTAAATATATACTCCATGGCTTCACTTTATTACACTCGAAATACATGGTTGGATGCTTATTCAGATACCATATACCTGGTACAGCCTCAAGAGTTGTGGGTTATTCTTGAAGATGTCCAAAGTAGAGTTGTGCGTCCTCCTAATGCAAAGGTCATGCCAGGTCGACGAAAGAAGTTAAGGATTCCCTTGCAAGGAGAGGATATCATAAGGAGAAAATGCTCAAGGTGTAGTGGCACAGGCCACAATAAAAGCACCTGTAAAAACAATGTTCCACTACCTAATGTTGGACATACATTATAAATTGTGTTGGTCTGTTATGGAGTGTGAATTTGAATTGTATTTGTATTAGGTTTGGTGTTTTGTGGATTGTGAATTATGTTAAATTTTCATAATTTGGTATGTATTTGTGTATTCTATGTGCTACATTGTTGTTAACATCTGTCATTTTTGGGCGTATATTGTGTATTCAAATTTTATGATTCAATGGGTCGAATCGGGGATGGGTATGTCATTCCCATCCTCATCCCCACCTTCATATCTGCAATACAGACTTAAAAAAAAAGAAAAAGATATACAAGGGCAATACATTAGCAATATACAAGCAATAAAGGGCTATACAATGGCAATACACATACTCCCCTATAAATTTATCCCAACACAGACTTGAAAAAAAAAGATATACGGGGGCAATACAATAGCAATACACAAGCAATAAAAGGCTATACAATGGCAATACATAAGCAATAAAATGCTATACAATGGCAATACACAAACTCCATACTCCAACTATAAATTTATTCCAACACAGACTTGAAAAAAAGAAGATATACAGGGGCAATACAGTAGCAATACACACGCAATAAAAGGCTATACAATGAAATACAAAAACTTCATAATCCTGTTATAAATTTATTCCAACAGACTTTAAAAAAAAAGATATACGGGGGCAATACACAAGCAATAAAGGGCTATACATGTGCAATACATATCTGTCATGGCATTTGCCAATTAAATCATTGATTTGGTTATATTTGTATTTTTTTTTCTTCTTTGCAAAGGGAACGATAAAACCGTGGAAACTAGAGATTGACAAATTTCCTTGTAACTTGACCTTCATAAATTGATGAACTAACAATGTTATCTCATTACATCTTAAGATATACATAAGAAAGTGGCAAAAATAAATAAATTTACATCTCCTCTTGGTTGGGAATTTGAACACATTAGCAAAATTCGACGACATTTCCTCTTAGAACCCGAATTTAAGCTGAAAGTTAGCAATTTCCTCCCCAAGAGAATGCTGCCACTTGAAACAAGACAATCTTCCATCTGTATAAAATAGATCACAAATGCATATTAGAAGCAAACCATTCAATCACAATGGAAACAAAAACATAATATTTTCAATCACAGCTGAAACCAATTTCAAAACAGAAACCAATTCCAAAATTCATAATAGAAACCAATACTAAAACAGATTTAGAAACCAATACTAGATTCAGAAACCAATACCAAAACAAGTTCATACATATTTACAGGCACTACAAGTATCATACACATACATTTACATGCACTATAACAAATAGAGTGGATAAATGTAAAACTGCAATATGATATACATTTTTTAATAGAAGAAAGAAAAATAAATTATGATATACATTATTTAAGAGCTGAGCTTGAAGTTTGCTGAGTTATATATACCTATGAGAAATCTATCTACGATTTCTCCAGTAAAGGATGACCTTTAAGAATCCTATCTTTATACAGATTGTTGGCTTTTCTAAATGACCCAATTCTTCATATAGCAAATTTTCACAAGATAGTACCATTGCAAAATTAAAGTTCACATTCATGCACACAATTTCGTACTACTCAATTGCAATATAAAAATTATTATAAACATGGGTGAAGTGAATGTGTGTCTTGGCAGGCGAATAAAAATACAAATAAGGAAATCATCAATAGTGCATTTGGCATTGTTCAAACAATTGAAGAAGCACAGTCTCAGAGAAGAAGAATAGCAAGACAATGGAACTGGATAAATGCAAGAGCTGTCAACAAACCTTCAAGTTTTCCAAGAACCCTTTTCAAGGCACCAACACAACCTTGGCATGATACCAACCTTGAGGACTATAGACTACACCAAAAACAGATTCAAGATTGAATTATGAAAAATAGAGAAAATCAAGATCCAACATATGCCAACTTTACAGTATCAAACTTATGTTAAAATATTGGCATTCTCGTAAAACTTACAAACTCCATAGTCAATTTCGGAGATATCCTCCACCTCAAGACATAATCAATTTATGTAGTTCATTCAAAAATCACATCCCAAAACAGAACAAACAAATTCAGATCCTTGAACCAAATAACTATGTTTCTTCAATTGTTTTTTGTAAGAATAAAAACCTAACGTAGTAATCAAATTCAATAAGCAAAAGAAAATCTTCAAAGCATTGTAGATTGGACAAGCTTCAAGCATAACATTCCTTAAGACAAACAGAGAAATATTTGTTGCACAATCTCAAAATTTTGGTTCAAAAAGTTCTTGTATAATCCCACTGAAATAACATTCTCTACACAAGCTGAAAATATTAATTGTAAATAAAGAGAGTAAAATTATAAATTAAACCCACAATTATGTTTCCACAAATTTCTATTTAATCTCACCCAAATTTGACTTGGAGGGACTTGAACTCACATCAAGCACCAAAAATCCAAACCCATATATGTAATTGAAACAAGGAGAAGAAAACCCAAATGTGTAGGAGAAGAAAACCCAAGCTGTCTACCTGATATGCCATCTCTAAGCATGTAGGTTGAAAGAGGTGACAGAGAGTGAGAGATGGAGGTGGAAAGGTCGTCGTCGCCGATGTGGGTTAGGGTTTCTGAGGAGGTGACAGTGACTGTCGCCGATATGGGTGCAAGCGAGAGAGAGAGAGAGAGAGAGAAAATGAGAGGAGGGCTAAGTGAGTGAGATCGAGAAATTGTGAAAGAGGATTTGAGAGAGTAAACAAAAGTGAAAGATGGGCAATAAGCTGTCAATAGGGAGTTTTTATAAAGGGCATTTGTGATTGGGTTTCAAAATAAGGATATTAGTGAATAAATTAGGTGAGCCAGGGGTAAAGCAGCCAATTTCCCTCTGTGCGTCCACCCCTGTCACTCTGAAAGTTGAAGTAGGGCTACAGTTCTGCAGGTAATTCTCTCACTCACTTCCAAGTCCTCTTTCGTTGTTTTATGATGTTAAACTTTATCTCCGTATCTATCTTCGCAGTTGTAATTTAGTTCTTCGTTTTGATCATTTGGTACACTAAAATTCTCATTTTTCGTTGGGTCATATATTATGTCGCTTTGCATATCATTGTTTCTTTAGCAGTATTTATGCTTAAGAAGAAATTAAAGTCATAGGCTTCTATCAGTCCGATTTAAATAGTAAGATGTGGGATTCTGAAACAATATGATTTCAGGGTTCTATAAATACCGATGGTTTCCTTTTCATCCATTCTTTTTTTTTGTCCATTTCTTAGACCCAAAGAATTGCAATGAACAGGAAAAGAAAGCCAACAGATAATGCGATAGAAATAGGCAACAAAGAGGAACAGATTTCAAGTGATGGGTTCTTGTATATTTGATCTTCCAAAGTCTATTCTTTACATTGTTCTACTAAAGCTACCAACTAGGAGCATTCTCATTTGCAAATGTTTATGCAAGACTTGGCAAGATCTAATTTCGGACCATGAATTTTCTAAGCTGCACTTTGCACAAGCAGAGTCCTACCCTTTGGTCGGGCCCTCTTATCCAACTCGTGTGTCAAGAACCCTTTATCTGGTCAGCCTGAAGATAGCTCTGATTTTCATTTCAAGCACAACAACTGTACGTGTTATGATGCCTCTGACTTTCTTTTTAATGAGTGCAATGGGTATCAGTTCCATATGAATCTTGCCAAATATAAAATCCCATTGCGCAATGCTGAGGAAGTACTCAATACCCACAATGATGCCAATAGGAAATCTGGAACTAAAAAGTGTTACAAGTATATTTCAGCCATCAATACAAGTTCATACTAACAATTCTGAACCTGCTCACAAAAAATCACATGTAGATCAAGAAGGCTTAGATGATGACACATGTCATGTTTAGCTTTTCGCCCAAATTCTGGTGGTATTCTTCCCACTCCTTGACCTGGTGGTCATTCTGGCGGTTTCTCTAGTGGCTCATCATCTGGTGGTTCTTCTGGTACTTTCTCTGTGGTCTCTCCAAGCTTGGGCAAAACTCAGTGTCAGATTTGTGATAAATGGTCACAGTTCCATTGATTGTCATCAAAGGATGAACCATTCTTATCAAGGTCGAATTCCTACTGCTCGCCTTGCTACCATGGCTGCTGTTCACTCTACTTCTTTGAAGAATAATGACTGGCTTGTTGATACTGGTGCTACAAGTCATGTTACTCTTGATCTTGGTGCTTTGCAGACTCACTCGGCTTACACTGGTGGTGAACAAATCCACATTGGAGATGGCCAAGGTTTGTCAATTTCTGATATTGGTCATACCTATTTTCCAACATCTACTGGTAATTTTAAGTTTCATGATGTGCTTCATGTTCCCAAAAGTGCTTATGATTTACTCTTTGTGCACAAATTCACTCTTGACAATCTGTGTTCAGTGACATTTACTCCTTTTGCATTCTTTGTTAAGGACCTACTCTCGGGGAAGATGCTTTTCCATAGTCCTAGTAAACATGGTCTCTATCCATTCAAATTCAATCCTTTCTTCAATAAAGTCGGACATCAAGCTCTTGTTATGCAGAAAGCTTCTTCATGTATCTGGCATCGAAGACTTGGTCATCCATCCAAGTCTATTTTCCATTATGTTGTGAAACAACATAATCTGCCTTGTGTATCTTCTAATGATACCTCTTTTGTCTGTAATGATTGTCATTTGGGCAAAAGTAGTAAGCTTTCTTTTGCATAAGTTCCTTGTAAATCTCAACAAGCTCTGTATCTGGTTCATTGTGATCTTTGGGGTCCAGCACCCACTGTCTCTGTATCTGGCTATAAATACTATGCCATCTTTGTTGATGATTGGTCTAAATATACATGGATTTACCCTTTATCTACAAAATTTGAATTTTCCTCTGTGTTTGTTATCTTTGAGACTCACGTTGAAAACCTTCTTGGTTCTAAAATCAAAATTTTTTGATCTGATTATGGGGGTGAATTTACAAGTGTTGTGTTTACCCAATATCTTTCTAAACATGGCATTCTCCATCAGTTTAGCTGCCCTTACACACCAGAGCAGAATGGTGTGGCAGAACGAAAACATCGGTCTCTTGTTGAACTTGGCAGAACTTTATTTGCTCATTCCGGCGTTCCATTGGTTTATTGGTTTGATGTCTTTCTTACATCCGTTTATCTTTTGAATAGATTACCTTCTGTTCATCTTGTCACATGTCTTCTTTTCAAAAGTTGTTTCATCATTCCCCAGGTTTTTCATTTCTTAAGGTTTTTGGTTGTCTTTGTTATCCTTGGTTACAACCGTATTCTATTCATAAATTGGACTTCAATGTATACCCTGTGTTTTTCTTGGTTATAGCTTAAATCATAAGGGCTATTGTTGTCTCGATCCTATCACTCATAAGATTTATATCTCTAGGCCTGTTTGTTTTCATGAAACTGTTTTTCCTTTCAAAACAACTTCTTTCTCTTCCACCATCCCATTTCCTTCCTCTTTTGCTAGTTCTCCTTCAATTCCAGCTTGTGTTAATATTGCCGATCCTCATCCTCCTCCTCCCCCTCCCCCTCCCCTTCCCCCTCGCCCTCCCCTTCTCCTCCTCCTCCCCCTCCCCTTCCCCTCCTCCTCCTCCTCCCCCTCCTTCTTATTCTTCTCCTTCACCTTCATCTTCACCTTCACCTCTACAGCCCCCTATTAATACTCATCCAATGCAAACCCAGGCCAAAAGTGGTATATTCAAGCCTAAAATGCTATCTGCCACCTCACATCCTCTTCCCTCCACTATTACCACTTCTATTTCTTCCATCCCAGCTACACCCAATACCTATAAACAGGCTACCAAGGATCCAAGGTGCATTGAGGCTATGAATCTTGAATTTTCTGCTCTTAAACAAACTGGTACTTGGAGGTTGGTTCCTTATTGTCCTACTATGAATTTGGTGGGGTTCAAGTGGGTGTACCGAGTTAAACACAAGTTTGATGGTACAATGGATAGGTTTAAAGCCCGACTTGTTGCAAAGGGTTTTCATCAACAAAGTGGTTTGGACTATAATGAAACTTTTAGTCCAGTTGCTAAGCCTACCACTGTTCGCCTTATTTTGTCTCTTGCTGTTCAGTTTGACTGGAGTATTTCTCAATTGGATATTACTAATGCATTTTTACATGGTCACTTGTCTGAGGCTGTTTACATGGTCCAGCCTCCATGTTTGCAAGTTGGAAAAGGGCTTATATGTTTTGAAGTAGGCTCCCCGCGCCTGGTATGAAGAATTACTGCAAGCTTTGCTATCTCTTGGTTTTACTACGTGCAAATCTAATACTTCTTTATTTGTTCGAGTTGCCGATACTGTGACCTTTATTCTTGTGTATGTGGATGATCTTCTGATAACTAGTAGTTCTTCTGCCATTTGCAAGCAACTGATTGGTGAACTCAGTGCTTTATTTCCAGTCAAGGATCTTGGTGCTCTTCTTTATTTTCTTGGCTTGGAAGCTCATAGAGATGCCTCAAGTCTTTTCTTATCACAGACCAAATACATATTTGATTTTACTACAGAAAACTGCTATGGTTGGTGCTAAACCATATTCCTCTCCTACTTCTGCTGTTCGGTTGGATGCTACTTCTGGTGAACCTTTGTCTAATCCCACTGAATTTCGGGCTCTTGTGGGTGCTTTGCAATATCTTACTTGGATGAGGCCCGACATCTCATTTTCTGTTAGTCAGTTATGTCAGTTTATGCAATCTCCAAGGACTCCACATTTAGTTGCTGCTAAGTGGGTTCTTTGCTACCTTAAAGGCACCATGACTGAAGGTTTGTCTTTCACTAAGGGTTCTCTTGCTCTTCACTATTATACAGATTCTGATTGGGCAGGGTGCCCTGTGGATCGACGCTCTGTTAGTGGTTTCTGTGTTTATTTTGGCCCTAATTTGGTGTCTTGGAGTGCCAAGAAACAAGGCACTGGCTCGATCTAGCACATAATCGGAATACAGGGCTCTTGCTATTGGTTATGCTGAGCTTATTTGGATATGTTTTCTTTTGCGTGATCTCCAATTTTTTCTCTCTGCTCCTCCTTCTATTCACTGTGATAATCTTGGTGCTTTGGCCCTCGTGGTTAATCCTGTTTTCCACTCCCGAACTAAGCATGTGGAAGTGGATTTTCATTTTATTCGTGAACTGGTTTCTACTCGCGCTATCACCTTGCATCATATTACTACTGTTGCTCAAGTTGCTGATCTGTTTACCAAGCCTCTCTCTGTTGATCGGTTTCTGTCTCTTAAATCCAATCTGAAGTTGTGTGTTGCACCCTTTAGCTTGCGGGGGGGTGTTACAATTATATCTCATCCATCAATAAAAGTTCATACTAACAACTCTGAACCTGCTCACAGAAAATCACATGTAGATCAAGAAGGCTGAGATGATGACACATGTCATGTTTAGCTTAACTCTGTTGTTAGATGTTAGTTACAGGTTATTATTCATAGCTGGGTTTCTATCTTGTATAAAAAGAAAACTACTGCAATTATTATTAATTCAAGTGAATGAAATCAGAGGAAAATTCCAGATTTACTTTCCTTTCTAATTTTCTGAGCTAACTTTCAGATTTCTCATAAAAAAGAAGCTTTGCATCAAGGTATGTCCAGCTGGTCACAAGTATGAGGTGGTGAATTCGTGTAACGGATTGCTTTGCTTGTCTAAACCATTCATCAATAACCCTGTTGTTGTGTGCAACCCAATAACCGGTGAGTTTATACACCTTCCTGAATTATTAAGCTTGAGTATGTAAAGGGATCTATTGATTGTGGATTTGGTTTCAGTCCGAAGACTAACCAGTACAAGGTGATAAGAATCTCTGAGCAAGGAACACTGGATCCCGCTGAGGTATACACACTTGGGACAGGCTCATGGGAATGTTTAGATTTTGCTCTCTTCTTAAAAAAATAAAGTAGAATTCACCACCTATCTGAAAGGAGCGCTTTCTTGGTTTTGCCATTGGCTTTCATCGCCTTATATAGATTCTTTTGACTTGGACATTGGGAGTTTTCAGTCAGTTCAACCACCTCCTTTTGAACTGCAAAGACAGCATCGAGTTAGCATGGGAGTTTTAGGTGACTGCCTTTGTGTATGTGAAGTTGCTTTTATGCATCCTGTGTACGTGTGGGTAATGAAAGATTGTGGTGAAGAAAAATCTTGGACGAAAATATTTTCTATTGATCCAGGTTGTCATGAGGAGTGGCCTTATGGCTTATATCAACTGATGACAAGCTTTGAAAATGGGGGATTTTTGATGTTTCATTCTAGTAGTAATGCCTTCATTTACAGGATACATGTTAATATTTTAGTAGTTTTAGTTGCTTTCACTTTCATGTTAATATTTTTTATAGGATACATGATCCTTTTCATGTTAATGATATTTATGCAGCAGTGAAGCGATTGATAGTGCTTTGCGATTGCGGTTTAAGAATGCACCGGAAATTTTTGAGTCCAAACATATCTTGCTGTCCTGACACATACATATCTCGTAAACCGGAAATTTTTGAATCCAAGATCATCATCTAACATCCAAACTATAACCAAATCCAACAAAAAAAGGAACTTCTATTTTTTTTGTAGAACGCTCTCATCATCAAGAGACCAACACACATAATCCAAATAAGCAAGCATGACAGTATTATATCAAGATATAATGAACATGAAAACAAAGCTGCTACATTTTTTGGTTCCTCCTCTTCTTCCTCCTTCATGAAATCTGCATGGATCAGCTCGTCTTATTGAGTAAAACTAGGCTTTCCATGTAATATACAATACATGAATACCCTGGATCTGTGTGAATTCCAAGAAACTCATTTGTGTTCTTCTTGGGATCATGAGAGACTAACTCTCCAATTTTTCTTCCATGGTCATACCTTTCTAATAGAAACTCACCATTATTCTTCCTACACCCCAAAACCTGCAGTACTCTGAAATTGGGAGTGAAATTGGGAGTGACATGTACATCAACAGAGACTTGCTTTTCCCAAGATTCCACGACCCCATACTCTCTCATAACCCACATAGTATGTCTATTTTGATCGAAGTGCTTTACACAAATGGACTTGCCGGCAGCCGAAATGGGCATGTATTTAGTTGGCAACTCACAAGCTAAGTCTTCTGGCAGCTCAATCTCGTGGAAAGTCTCATTACTCATATCAAAGGACAAAACCACATTGCGAAAACAATTTCCTTTCTTACAAGACGCAACCCAATGGACAGCCCCATTGACAAAAACTTGAGCCCGAAAGTTTTGAGCAATCTGATAACTGGGAGCAGCTGATGTAATGCTTTTCCAAGACCCTGAGTTTAGCGAATAAAGCTCGATTTTCGGGCAAGCTTGGCCTTCATTTTGGCGGAGATACACCAATCTTACTATCTTGTAATCATTTTTCTTAGAATCAAAGCCAAAGCCATAAACAGAATGACGAGATTTTGGGACATGAGGCTTGGCAAGCGTGATGAACTTTCTAATGGAGGGGTTCCATAGAACAAACATGTTGTAATCTGTGAAGTAATCATCCGAGAGGAGAATCAATCCATTGCAAGAACCCACTATTCGGAAACACTCATTGAGTCTCTGAACTGGAAGCTCAGGCTTTGAGTGTTCTTGGAATGAACCATTGTCTAAGTGTAGAGAATAGAGCTCTCTAGTGGGGTCCTTGGGGCAGTGCCTGAGAAGGAGCAAAGGGGAATTGCTTGTTTTGTCTAAATTGAGGTTAAGGTGGTTGTTGATGAATCTAGTGTTTTTAATTAGGGAGTTCCAAGATTTGCAGATAGAGGTGCACTGAAGAAGAGATTTGATGGGTAGCCTTAGAAGAATTTGGGTTATGATTTCTGGAGGAAGGTACTTTGACATCTTTATTCTATCTTTCTGCTTGAGAATCTGAGGTGCCTAAAAATCCTAGAGAAGTAGTATTAAACTGTTCAAAGTCAAGCTTGTGAGAGAAATTAATTCATATCATTGAAGAGATAAAAGGATTGGTAGGGCATCATTTTCTTGCCGGCCAAGATTTGTAGACCAAAATAGTAGCCAGTTCAAACTTGGCTTGCTCATGTTCAAAGTCAAGCTTTTGATGAAAGACCCAAAGATCAAGATTGTTTAATGACCAATTGGTGCAAATTTATGTGAGTGAAAAAGGTTGTCTACTCTGAAGTTGGAAATACCCCTATAGTTTAGACTATCACTTGTACAAAAAAAAAGGTACTTGGTAAGTGCAAATCAAGTTTTGTTAATAACATAGTCAAATTAGCATGGTGTTCAGATATTGCGCATTGGAGATTTTTTTTCTCTCCCTATTTTCTGCACTTACATTACCCCATACTAATATGATTTTCATGATATTATGTGCATTATATGAAATCTTGAGGTAATTATAAGTACATATACACACACGATCAGAATACCCATAAACATATTTGTATTTGAGTTGCAGTATTTAGTTTTCTACTAGGTAATTGTTACATTATTAATGGACCATAAATGGTCAGTTTGCTTAGTGTAGGGAATATAAAGCTCAAATTCAGGTTTATCAAGTATTTTGTATTGTTTCACATGTGTTCTGAAAATTTAGAGATATTTACCCTGTTAATTAAAGGAAAACCTTCATGCACTATCATCAATCAAGCCCTTACTAAAAATGTCCATTTGTGAAAAATATATCTATATGTGCTAATGTTGTTTCATATTTTTTAATTTTATTAATATGAGCCTTAGAGTCTTTTGCTTTTTATGTTTATATGGGTTTTAGTATCGAGGACATCTGAGTCTATTTAGTACCTGTTTTGCATTGCTTATTTGGGTGATAAGTGATTTTAAAAAAAATTTAGGAAGCCCAGCTCGTTTGGTAACCTATGAGAAATTCACTTATTGTTAAAAAATTTTGTAGGAGAAAGCAATAAGGGGAAGCAACTAATGAGCTGCTTTCAATTTCTGATTATGTTGTAATCAGATTTGAGGAGGTGTTGAGTTTAATGAAAATTACAAAATTCTGAAAATACCCAAATATGATTTCATGCTCTCCTCTTCTTGTGCGTGTTCTCCTTCACACGCCACAAAGCACTCTTCTCATTCTCTTCCATTCTTCGTCCATTTTTTTTTGTTGGATCAATTGAAGCGCACTCCTAAGAAGCCACAAGACTCAAATAAGAGGCATATTGTGTTTATTTCTTCTCAATTTCATTCTTCCCTCTTTCTCTTTAATTTTTAGAGTTTTAACTATCAGTTGTTGTTGTTGTTGGTTTTCTATAGTATGATGGTTGTGTTCTTAGTGATGTGTACGAAAAAAGAAATATAAGCATATTCAAAAAGTATGCTGGTGAGGTTAGGGATATGCTGAGATAAAGTTCGATTCTGGACCATGGGATTTGATTTTTTTTTAAGTTTTGGGATGTGCCATAGTTCTTAATATATGTGAATTGGAAGATATTCTTCCAGAAATATAAGATCTAAAAGAAGTAATATGTCCAAATTTTCAACATTATGCATAAGACTTTAGAAACTAGGGACAGGATAATGAAGAACGCCAAAATTTTGGGCATTATAGGTATGAATATGAGTTTTGAAGCTAGAGACTTTCACTAAGTACTATGGTTAGTTTAGCTCAGACACATTGGTTAGTTTGATCTGGACACTGTTAGAATACCCAGTATGATCATGGGTTGGCACTGACAGTGAAGTGTTTGGGGCAGAGGTAGGAGTTGGCTCTAGTTGGTTTAGATTCCTAATGAATAAGTTTCTAACTTTCTCTAAATGATGCGACGTTTGGAAAATATTCCCACGTTTTCAGCTCAGAATCCTTACAAATACACCTAATACAGACAGCACTAGTAGATGCAGGATACCCAAAAATGTGAGGCTACTTAGGACCATATTAATGTGAAGATATCATCTTCCTGATTTTCGTAGGGGTGTTCAACTGATGGGTCATAAAGAGGTATTTAATCATGCACATTCTTCCTTTAGAAGTGTTATTTAACACACTTTTGGAGTATGGAAAAAGAGATGGAGTATTTTACGAGACATGCATAGTTATCCTTTTCCAAAACAAGTAAAAATAGTTATTGCAACCATGACACTTCATAACTATATAAGAAGACATGCCAAACGTGATTTTTGTGGAAGCAAATATTTGCATATCCTAGGTCAAACAATTAATCCCATCAATTTGGGGGTTATTTGATTAAATTGGGGAAAAATAATTCCCAAATTAGGGAAAAATAATTCCTTTCCATGTGAGGAATTATTCTTTCCAAACCATAGCCACTAAGGCTTCTATAAATACATAGCCACGCACAGGACATGAGGTACGTCTGAAAGCCTGCAAAAATTCCATCAACCTTGTAGCCGCCCGATTCTCCCCGTGAGAAAAAGACCTCCTACCTTTCAATTATTCCGCATTCTTCTCAAAAGGCCTTTGGCCAACACCCCCCCTAGGTGTGGTCTTTTCACTCTGTGTTATTTTGCAGGGAGAAAGAGGAATTAAGAGGACGAAGGGATCACAAGACGAATATTCTCTAGGGAGGAAAATCACTCCCACAAATTGGTGCTTTTATTGAGAGCACGAGCTTTACTTAACGCGTGCTTACGAATCAAGGAATCCGTTTCGTCCTATTTTTCCAATCAACCAAAGGCTTCCAAACAACTATGGTTGGAAGCAAACGTACGAGGAGCAAGGCCACTGCAACGGATCCGTGCCTTACCCCTCATGGCTGCCTAGTTGAGAGCCAAACGGCTCATGTTGCTGCACCTCAACATGGCTTCATGGCTAAAACCTCCTCACAGCCGCCAAAACTTGTGGCTAGAACCACACAGCCGCCTGCTGCAGTACCGCAACATGACCCTACTGCTTCCACAGCCTTGCAGTCACAGGCACTAGCTGCTGGAACACAGCAGTAGCCATACCGCATGGTTGCTGGAATTGCTGCACAGCTGCACTATCCCACGACTTTCACCACTTTGCAGCCACAAGCCCTCGTGGCTAGAGCTACCCTCCACAACAACGCGACGGTGATTGGTGCCGACATCCATAATGACATCGCCACCCCAGTCTTGGAGAAAGTCCATTCACTCCCTTATTTCCTATCACATTTGACATATGCTCCCGTGTACACATCCAATGAAACCCTAGCCCATGTGTATTTGGGCTTCACATCATTCTCTCCTCCTGATCCACGTAGTCAAGTGGACCTCAACCTACTAGTTGATCAACTCAAGCAGAAGGTAGATGGCCAAAACAATTTGGTTGGTTAGCTCCTTAGGTAGATTAACTAGGTTCGAGGCCTTCACCTTGGATTCCAGTTAGATAGGGACAAACGAGCAAGGGAGAGAACGAGAACGTGTTGTTCAGCACCTAAACGAAATGCAGTTATCTGCAAGCCATACTCGAAGTTGATCGACAGTCTGTTCGAGGTTGTGTTCAATGACAAACGTGCACGAAAGGCTGGGCCCACAATCCGATGTCCATACTCGCTTGGGCCCACAAAGTATCCACTCTGGGCTAGGCCTGCAAGAAGATTGAGTTCGTAAATATCTGCGTGACGAATGCAACGACCGATGCTTGCCAATCCGCTTAAGAAAAACTAACTCAAAGTGACGAGCCGCAGAGGAACCCTCACAAGCTCAGTCCACTAGCTCCCCTCACGGGCAAGATAGCCAAGGAAATAAACCCTTGGGAGTTAATGAGGAAGTTAACCAAAGGTTCTTGAATCATGGAAGGCGCCAACGAAAGCCACAAGCCCTGCGAGCAGAAGATGTCAAGAGGCTTGTGAATGACCGACTTCAGAGTCTCCAACTTAAGGGAAGTGTAGAGGAGGCCTTGTGCAGGGAAGTTGATCAAGTGAACTTTTTGCCCTTCATCGACGAGGTGGAGCAGGCCATTCCTCCAAAAAGGTTCACAACACCGTCCATCACACCATTCAAGGGAGACTCTGTCCCTAAAAGCCATTTGAAGCACTTCAAGAGTGCTATGATCTTATACAAGGCTGACAATGCCCTGATATGCAAGGTGTTCACGATGCCTTTCGAGGAGTAGCCCAGGATTGGTTCCACACTCTGCTATCCACATCAATCGGCAGCTTTAAGGAGTTTGTCCTCATTTTCACAAAGGAGTACACCTCCTATCGGATGGTCAGAAAACATGCTGACCACCTATTTAATCTGCACACGAAGCTTGACGAGTCTCTCCGAGACTGTATCAAGAGATTCAAGGTTGAAAAAGCGAACATCATAGGATGCGATGATCAAATTATGTCCTCGGCTTCAAAAAGGGCTTGCCGACCGAGCACAAGTTGTATCTTCAACTATCGCGCCAAGCCAAACCCTAGTAGAAGTCTTCGCGATGGCAGAGCATTACGCACTGTAAGACGATGACCAGACTCAGGAACTATTGCCGCTAAAAAAGTAAGTAGGCAAGCCGATCAACTGGCTAGGTAGGCAAGCCAAAAGAACGGCAAGTTCAACAATTAGAAAGGAGGCAAGCGCCGATCGTAACCCTAAGGAGGAGCCCTGGCTTGGTTAGAGACAACCATTGCCCGAAATTCATTGCAAAAAAGGTCATCAAGAAAATCAAGAATCGTGACACAGCTGCTAGGAAGATGCCACAAAAATTCAAACGGAACAACACAGTCCTAGCTGACAACCAGGAATTCGGGCTAACCACCAGGGAGTGGAAGAGAAAGATCAAGCAAGCGACTTTCATCTCCCAAATCACAATAGGTGACCTAGCCAATGAGGACGCCCTTTTGATCTGTATCCAAATTGAAAGGATAAGGGCAGCGTGGCCAACATCGTGCAACTATCAGTTGTCCAACAGATGATATTGGAGCCCAAATTCAACAAGCTTGCCAGATCACTCACCAGCTTGAACGGGGCAACCTCAATCACTGTGGGTACAGTAGAGCTTGACATCTACTCTCCATTGATAGTCTACTCGCAGATCTTCATGGTTATCAACGAGGTATCCCCCTACAATGGCTTGAGCCGAAGATGGATTAGCAAGATTGATGTCGTCGCATCCGCTATACACCAGAAGATTTGCTACCTTATCCGTGAGGGCGGAATCGGGCAAATCAACAGTGATCAAACAATGGCGAGGAGATGCATAACCCAAGGGCTAAGGAAGAGCAAACAGCTGTAGTTTACACCAATGATGCAGACTGTCTACGAGGCAGATCATGTTCCCGATAGTTAGGTATACCTGAAAAGAAAAAAGAGTTGCTACCTCCCAATAGTAATTAAAGAATTGAGAATCGACCAACTCATGGATTCAACTTCCGGTAATCAGCTGCTTAGCTTCATGGGCGCTTACTCTGGTTACAATCAAACCCTAATGCACGAGGATGATAAGGAAAAAACCTCTTTCATCATCTAAAGAGGAACCTACTGTTATAAAGTCATGCCCTTTGGGTTGAAGAACGCCGGAGCAACACACCAGAGGCTCGTGAATAAGATTTTCAAGGACCTTGTCAATTAGCAGACTACATCAAGAACCTTGTTGAAGCCTTTAGCCTGCTCCAATAGTATCGCATGAAGTTAAATCCAAGTAAATGCATGTTCGGTGTATTATCCGGCCGATTCTTAGCATGCCTAGTCACTCAACAAAGAAGGAAATACAAAGTCTAACATGCAAAGCAGCGACTCTCAACCGATTCTTCTCGAGATCTACCGACAAGTGCAGACCATTTTTCAAAGTTTTGAATAAAGGACAAAGAGACAAATGGGATGAAGAGTGCAAAGTAGCTTTTCAAAGTCTGAATACTTACCTCACTTCACCTCCCATGCTCTCAAAACCAGTTCTTGGTGAAGACTTGTTCGTATACTTGGCAGTGTCTAGCTTTGCCTTCATGTTTGCTCTCATTCGAGAATTACTCGAGGCCTAACATTAGGTATTCTACATGTCAAAAGCTCTCCTTGATGCAAAGACTCGCTACCTGAAAATGGAGAAACTCATTTTGGCCCTCGTAGTTCTTGCAAGAAAATTGCTACCCTACTACCAAGCTCACTGGATCAATTCTCCATGACCAACTTTCCTTTGAGATTAATTCTCCATGGCCCGGGCGCTTCTCAGCGACTTATAAAGTGGGCTATAGAACTAAGTTAATACGACCTCTACCGGCCAAAGATTGCGATAAAAGTCCATGCTTTAGATGACTTTGTTACATAATTCACTTCATCGACCGAAGAAGAGAAGCGGGTCAACGAAAACAAGGAAAGTTTGAGAGCAGACAAGACCTACTCTGCCGAGCCTGATCTACCCGAAGACATGTGGCAGTTGCGCTTAGACGAAGAGTTGAATCAAATGGGAGTTGGGGCAAGCGTCGTCATAATCACCCCGGATGGAATCTTTTTGGAGCAAGCTATCATGTTGGCTTTCCAGCTTCAAACAACGAGGCAGAATACGAGGCTTTACTCACTCAGATTTACTCAGATTTCCAGCTGATTATGAATCAAGCCTCATGAGAATATATGGCGAAACACCCAAGGATGATCTTATATATTGACAAAATCCGAGAACTGTTGTAGGCATTTCCTACCTCCACCATCCAACGAGTGTCCCAGACAAAGAACGCGCATGTAAACTCACTGGCAAGCCTAGGATCAACGCTGGATACCTAGTTTAGAAGTTCCAACCCAGTCGAGCACCTTGACCAACCGAGCATTGAGGAGGCAGTGCAGCCGGACTTGATGTGGATTGATGAGAATCCTAGTTGGTAAGATACTATCAACGACTACCTGGTGATCGAGAACTTGCCAAACGACAAGTCCAAGGCCAAAAAATCAATCAGAAACTGTGAGATACTACATGAAGGACAACATGCTTGTTCACAGATCATGCTCCGGCCCTCATCTCACCTGCATCAAGTACCTGCAAACACTTGAGCTGCTTTGCAAAATACACGATGGCGAATGCGGGAACCACACTTGGGGCAGATCACTTGCCTAAAAGGCTCTTAGCGCAGACTACTTCTAGCCTACTATACGCCAAGACTCCACGGAGTATGTTCAAAGATGTGATCGGTGCCAATGTTATAAACTAATACGTGGCTTACTAGTCGAGGTGTACCATTAGCATAATAGCCCATGGCCATTCATGCAGTGGGCCATTGACTTGGTGGGACCTATGCCACCTGAACCTACCAAGAAAGACATGATGATTGTTGCCCCTAACTACTTCACTAAGTGGATCAAGGCCAAGGCTCTATCTTTTACCAAGGAAGTCGACTTTGAACGGTTCATCTAGAGTAACATCATCTGCCGATTCGCCCGCCCGAAGTCGATGGTCATCAACAATGGCACAAAATTCGTTGGCAAGCAGATCACCGCATTCTTTGCAAAGTATGGCATCAAATAGCCCTTGTCAACTCCAAGATAACCACAAGACAATGGCCAAGCAGTGGCATCCAATAAGATTATGTTGGACTGCTTGAAGAAAAGATTGGAAAGTGCAGAAGGAAAATGGGTCGACGAGCTACTAGGAGTCCTATGGGCTTATCGCGCAACCAAAATGAGATCAACTAGTGAAACCTTATTTTCCTTGGCCTGCGGGACCGAAGTGATCATCCTCTTGCACATCACAGTTCCGTCCATGAGCATTAAAGTGGGCAGTCTTGACCAGAACTGCAAGCAGATGAAAGTCAACCTTGACCTGCTTAAAATAGAACGAGAGAAGGTTATTGTTCGAGTTGCAGTTTACCAATAGCAGCTGACATCTTACTACAACAAGAAAGCCAAGATCATAAAATTTGGGCTTGGAAGCCTTATGCTTAGAAAAACTTTCATCACAGCATTAAGGGCAGGGTTAAAGAAAATGAAGCCCAATTGGGAACGCCTCTACGTGATCACCTGATCTAGGGGCAGAAGGAGTTATACTCTCGACACCTTGGATGGGAAGGAAGTTTCGAGATAATGTAATGCCCACCACCTTCGGTGGCAACCAAGCCTCATTCACCTCCTTTAAGACAAGTTACTTTCGATGTTATCCATGTTGTCGATCTCTTTTATTCAATAAAGTGATGTAATCACATAAACATCAATACAAGTTGAGCTTTTTCTTTCAATAAAGTACCCACAAGAGCAATTGACATGTCTCCCTCGAGGCATAGGCCAAACGAGCCACTTTCATCGACATGTCTCCCTCAAGGCATAGGCTAAATGGGCCACTCTCATCGACATATCTCCCTAGAGACATAGGTCAAATGGGCCACCCACAAGAACAATTGACATGTATCCCTTGAGACATAGGCCAAATGGGCTACCCTCATCGACATGTCTCCCTTGAGACAAAGGCCAAACGGGCTACTCTCTTCCACATGTCTCCCTCGAGACATATGCCAAACGGGCCTTTATCCAGAAGACACTTAAGCAGTTTACAAGATGCAATGCAAATTGGAGTTTGAAAAACAACTGAAAATTCCATAGAAAAGTTGCCAGTCGGCTAAGTTCAACAAGAAAAAGGGTGGTTAACTAAATACCACTTATTGAAGCAAAAAAATAATAATAAAGGAGTCAATGTCTACTAGGGGACTCTGGCAGATGACCCTTAGCTAACTACCTCCTCAGCTGCCTCCTGATCAGTTACACCATCATTTTGTCATTTTCCTCCACTGCAGCCTTATCAACCGTTTGCTCTTCAACTGCTTCTACGTCCAAAGTGTTGATCTGCTCAATTTGAGCAAGGGGCACATCATGGTGAGTTGGTCAGCATCTTCATCTTTGATGAGGCAATAGGGAAAGGCGCCGTTCATGCAATCCAAGTATCCCAGCTTGTACGCGTTGGCAGCAATCGTATGTTTCGACACCTTCACAGCTTCTACGTGGGTGTCGAACTTGGCCAGCAACTTGTCATGGCTTTGGGCCAGAAGGAAAAACTTGTGTTCAAGGCGAAAGTAGGCATCCTTGGACATCCTGGCATCATGACGAATTCGCTCATTTGAGAGCTTGCCGATTGGATCAGCATATTTCTTGATCAACTCATCAAGCTGAGCAGAAGAGGGGACAACAGCAGATGAGTTCTACATGGCCCTAACAACAAAAACTATTCTTTTTTGAAGGTGATACATGGTAGCTTCTTTTTGCTTATCTAGGAGAAGACTCGAGATAGTGCCAAGGTCACTAGTCTGATGTATGTGGTTAACCAGCTTAACACAAACAGATAGGCTTGACAGGAAGTTTGTTTTGAGCAGATCATTCCCAAGTAGAGCTATCACCAACTGCTGGACTAGCAGTTCGCATAACTGAAAGACTCTTCGCTCGAGCAGACGACTCTCTAGCTCTCATGGCCGCAACCTGCGATACTGAACGAGGGTACAGTCCTCTCAGTTTGATTCCAGACCGGTGGGGATGACTCAAACTCTGCTTCTCTGTAATCGACCTAACTCGGGAGCTAACCTCCTTACAAGATAGATCACAGGTTTTGAACTGCCTAGCCAAAGACTTTCTTATTGTCTGCACTGAAAAGGTGCTTGATCCTAATAGATGAAGAAGGAACAATTCCCATAGGGACCTTCTCGACAAATAAGACCCCTCTTGAGGAAAACTTGATCGTGGAAAAAGAAGGTCTCGGTTTCTTTCTCTGTACAAACGTATCCCTTGACCGTGAGGTTGCGACTTCATCTATAATGGACCTACTACTAGCCTTCCTTTTTTCGGGGAGCTTGGTCAAGGACTCCTCTCGTTTAGTTGGCAGATCATCCAGGTTCGAGCCATCTTGCTTCCATCTTCCAACATCTTTGGTGGGGGTATACCGCTAGCCTCCTTCCGATGTTCGCTCAGCAACCAGTGCCATTCACGGAACTTGGCAGGGATGTTCAGAGCTTGACAAACCTTGGTCATGTCTGGGCCAAGGCCGAACTTCTTGTGGATGTCATTTCTGCAAGCAGAAGACGAAAGTCAATTAGATATGTATTAGAGAATTCCAGAAAAACTATAACAGATCTACGAAGTATATGACTTACCGTCACAGTAGTTGAGAGGAATGAAAGGACCGTTGCCAACCTTCTGTTCCTATCTGTCTCTCACCTCCAGCACATCAGTATGCCACACATGATCGCCTTAACTAATACTGTCAAATAGCTTGGCGTTGCACACGCGAAGTTAGGCATACTTCCCGTAGTGCCTCATTTTGAAGAAGTAGAAGAACTTCTGCACTGTATGAGCCAGCTTTAAGAAACGACTTAGATTTTTGAAGCAGATGATCGCCCGGTAGACCTTCGAGGTACATTGATTGGGGGCACATTCCATGGCGTAGAGCATCTCCCTGAAAAACTTTGACAGCGGGAACATAAAGCCCAATGAGAAGTAGAAGGGATAAAATGTGATAATTCAGGCGTCCGAATTGTTCAAATCCTCGGTCAGGGACTTCACCAACTTGACATGCATGTCCTTTGAAATGGCAGAGTTGAAAGCGGCACGCCATGTTAGAAATTGGGTCTCAATGGTGACATGATGCAGATTTGCCACAAATCTCTCTTTGTACACTTTGGAGCCACCCCATAAGTACAAAGGCACTTGCGGGCTCGGTGATAAGCTTTTCCCATCGAAAGACATGGTCGCTAAGCAGCTGCAAATCTAAGGAGAAAAGCACAAGTCAAAACCCTTGTTTAAAAAAAAATAGCAGCAGCAACAACCAAAGAAAAAAAAAAGGATTGGAGTAGCGTGGACCAGCCCATGCCGCAAAAAGGCAAGCCTAAGCCGCAAGGAAGTCGACCCAAGCTGCCACCTTCTCTAGCATATGGCCTTGCCCAGCTTGCCAGCAAGCCTTGGCCCAGCTTTTGTTGCGAACCTACTCAGCGCGTCGACTATAGCCCGGCCCATCTGCCCATCTCCAGCAGCTCCAACTCACCCAGCCTAGAATGCCTGCATGCACCAAGCCCACCAGCAGCTGGCGCGCATGTCTCCAATAGCAAGCTCGCAACTCCAGCACTTGCTGCAGCTCCAACCCTAGCCCTAAGCCTCCACTGTAGCTATCGCAGCCATGACAACCACCAAATAGCACCAGACAATCATGCTAACATTACCAAAGTCTGGAAATTATGCAAGCTGGTCCCACTAGCTGGACCTCACAACAGGAAGAAATCAAAGAAAAATAAAAAAATCCAAGTTGTCCTACCTTGGATTACACGACAACTTCTCTACTTGACAAGCAGGATAATCCTCCAAGATCTCTCTCACTGACATAATGTAGAGGAAGCAAGTTTGTGATTTGAAAAAAAAAGTGAGAAAGCCCCAACACTTGGCTAAAAAACAAAGGCCATGAAGGGAGCGAGGGCATCCACGTACGCAGAGCTGCTGGGAGGCTCCAGCACATGGGAGGGAACAAATTTCAAGCAAAGGCATTCAAAAGACCAGGGGATATTAGTGCGCAGGCTGCTAGGAGGGGAGGCACCCTTCGAACCAGCGTGTGTACCCATTTCTTTCCTTCATCAGATCTAGCCATGGAAGAAGGAAGGAAAGAAAAAGGGAGATGGCTGAGAATGGGAGTCCCCACTAAAACAGCTGCAGGAAAAAGCCTAGAGATCCTAAAAATCCTTATTTTTGTGCGATTGGGCAGAGAGAATTTCACCAAATAGGATGAGTTAAAGGAAGAGAAGAGAAAGGAGAGGGAAGACTTGGCCAAATTGGATAGAAATCATTAGGGTTTCTTGGGAAGGAGGAGCTTCCAGTGGCTATAAATGAAGCACCTCCTGCCCAACAACCATCAACCACATCCAGAGAGCAAGCTTCCTCTCTTACTTCAAAAACCCAGCAATTTCGTGCTCAGTTCATCCTTCTCCCCCGTATTTTTCCCTCTTGGCAGACTGTTCTAATATTTGACAGAACCTTTGTCGAGTTGCCGGAAAATCACTTAAGCCACCCGTTGCCCTCTTCTAGTCTCTCCCCTCTTCTTAACCAAACCCTCTGATAATCCTTGCCCCCCTTTCCTTAGAATCCCTGTTTTCCATACAAACTTACAGCTCTCTCCCTTTAAGGCTAAACTCATGACAACTTTGCTCCCATGCCACAAGCCTCTCATGCCAAGCTAAGAATTTATCTGTAAGCTGCCTTTTTTTTTTTTTTTTTTTTTTTTTGTGTGAAAGGGTGTTTCCAAAGGCTTCACTATCCTTTTGAAACATTTTGGGTTCTGATCTTTGAACTCAGACACAGGGGATAATCTCATTCATTTTGCTCTTTACGGTAGCCTAGCCCACTTGTAGTTGCCAGAAGAAAAAAGGCTCATACACATTCAACACCCATTCAAGAAAGTCCCCATTATAACATAAATTCACTTAATTTGGGTAAACTTGATTATGTGCCTTCTTGGTGGTATGGTGATGGAGTTACATACCTGAAACTACCCACTCAAAGACCTGGAAAGAGGGCTGAGAGGTTGTTGCAAACCTATGATTTCAAGATTTCGTCGGGTCGGCTGGCCATGGTGGTTTTCTCCGCAACGGTTTTGATAGAGATGGTGACTAGAAATTCTCTATTTAGGAAACTGAAGGCGGAGGGGAGAGAGAGGAAGGAGGGATATAGAGAGGAAGAGGTTGGGAGAGAGGTTTGGTGGGATGGTTTTTTTTTGGGGTTACTTTTTGTTGTTGTTGTTTTTTATTCTTTTATAGTTTTTAATTAATTTTAAAAAAATAAAGAATTTATGTATGTATTTTTTTTTAAATTGGTTTTTTTTTTTTTTTTTTTTTTTTTTTTTTTTTTTTTTTAAATAGTTTTAAAATTTGCCCCAAAACTATAGCATGTGCTGCTCACATGACTTAATTTAACAGAAAATATAATGGTATGACCAATTCGTTAATTAATAAAGAGTTGGTGGACTATTTGAACGAATAATTTAGTTGATGGACCAAAATGCAACTCCGGTATTTTTTTTGGTCAGGTATAAGTTTAATTTGTTTTTTTTTTTTTTTTTTTTTTTTTTTTTTTTTTTTATTAATTTTTTATTAATTACTGCGCCCCATCGAGTCTCCTAAGGAGAGCTTCTAGAATGCAAACTAGGGAAAGATCAGCCCCATTTTTCAGCTCTTCCAAATTTCTCTGGTCACCATTGGATGCTGGTGATTGTGACTGATGGATAAGGGTCCCGATTTCTCCTGGCTGCACCATTTCTGGTGTGGTGGGTGCTGATGACATTGTCTTCTTGAATGAGGAAGACATTTTATCAGGGAAGATCTAGAAAGAGAGGGAGTTCTTTATGCAGAGAATAGAGGCATCAAGAACACAAAGGAAACAAGAGAAATTGCACACAATTGTAAGGTTGAAGATTGTATTGAAATAGTTATTGTAATTTTTGTTTCTGATTGTATCAATGTATTGAGGCATTGGTTATGAAAAATGAATAAAGAAGCCTGATCCCCTTCCTTCTCTTTTCTTAACATTTTTATCTACCCGTGCCATTAATTTATTTCAAAATGCCTAACAAAATAGTAGTGCCAAATCTTTTTTAATTTGAAGAATTCAATATCCACTAAAGTCCAAAAAAGAAAGATACAAAATAAATAAAAAACCAGCAAAGAGAGGCCAATGACTTCAAATAATTAACCACAATTAATTTATTCAATCCATTTTACAATTAGCACGATCCTTATCAATTCACCCTTGTTGGCGTTTTGCTCATTTTTTTAAACTCTAGAGTTTCGGAATAATAAATTTCTGGTACACGTGCATGGTCAAATATATATCAGAATGAAGAGGGTTGAGGCTGATCAATTAGGCAATATAAGTCCCATGCATGTCACTTCATTTATTTGTAAGCATAATATGTAATAAACATTTCAGATTTATAACAACTAACATGTTTTCTAAACATGTTTTGTAATTATTGAATTAATATTGCTGCATGGTCAAAACCGACTGAGAGCTATATAATCTAGTTAAGGATGAACAATGGGGTAAAGTTCATATCGAAAGTTACAACTCCCACCCACAACACGCCCACCTCGTTTCGCATCACAACAATTTGGTAATTTGCTTATTGCACCATCAAGACACTTCTTACAATCAGAACTAGAGAGGTCCCTCGTGCATTGAGTCAAACCATATAGCGTTTCCGATGAACTGAGCTCTAGCTCACCAGTAGCATAAAACTTTGGATTAGAAGAAGCTTTAGTAGATAACCCGCTTAACAATTCCTTAACTTTTGCATTGAATGGCTTGGGATCATCTACTTCTTGGACATTCCACATATAAAACCTGTTGTTGTTATCAACTTTCCCAGCAAAATTCACATTTGAGTACTTGAACAGGCAGTTGTCGTACCATATTATGGCTCCTTTTCTACTAGGGCAGCGCTCACCAAGCTCTTTGCTTGCTTCAACGACACAAGTCTTGCAATCTTGGCTTGAGACATCCCCACGACATAGGGCTAGCCCATTCGCTTGGTTTTGGCCTTCACCAGTTGATCCAAGGCCAAATCCAGTAGGAGGAACTTCTGTATACAGAAGATTGAACAGCTGAATCAAGTTAGCACCATATGGGCTATTGGCAGTGTAGTTTTCTTTGCTGAAACAAAAATGGAAAAGTGAAGCACCAAGCGCTGCATGGTGTAAAACACAGAAGAGTAAGAAACAGAGAGGGATTGATTTGGAAAAGAACATATTGGCTGAAACTCAAAGTTGGTAATTTGTTCCGTTTGTTTATGCTTCTGTCCAGAACACACTATAAATACACATTTAGGAAGTTTCTAAAAGTACCGGTTATGTATGGCCTTGTTGAAATTGCTGACTTTTTAAAGTGGGAACCTAGTAAAAAACAAATTTGTGAATGAAAAGTCCAATCTGGAAAACAATCAAATTTTCAAAGCATTCTTTTATAATGACAGTTATTCTCAACACGCAACTTCACGTGTGTTATCACTAAAGTGTAATACATAGACAACATATATTGGGTGATGTGGGAGAACTACTCCAAAAGAGGTTTTGGAGATAACCAAAAAAATCAAACATATATATCTAACTTGTTTTATAAATAGCCCAGCCTATTAAAGTCCAAAAAAGTCTTAAGTCTTTATGAATTTAGTTGCACGGCATCAATAAACATACACATTAAAAATTAAAATAGGTACACTTTTAAGTATGTTGTTGAACATATTTTCTTTTTGGTAATATGTGCTTTTTAGTTTCATTTAATTAGTATTGTTTATGTTAAAGCTTATTGGAAATTAACATTTACCCTTGCACTTGAAGTCTCCAAGTTCGATTTCCCCTTCACTCAATATCGCTTATTAAAAAAGAAAAAAACATATTGGAAATTAGTCAATGGAATTATGAACTAGTGTGTTTTTAAAAAAATTTAAAAAAAAACAAGCAATAATCTAAACTACAAGGAGGAGAGGGTTTAAACCCAGACCACCGGTTTGCAAGTTAAAGTATTTTTCCACTTGGCTAGACTCCATTGGCGAACTAGTGTGGTTTCTATGATTTAAATTTTAAGTTAATAACTTTAGCTAACCCACCTGTTGAAAAATTTATAGTTCCATCCTTACGTGAGAGCATATATGATTGTTTAATCCGACACATATAGCCAATTCTATTACCATTAAAGGAAGTTGCAATTTTACCTGAAACCAAGCAGGTGCGCTGCGCATTAACAATAAAACTAATTGCGCTGAAGTTGATCTCAACGTCTCCTACGTTTGCTTTTTAGCTAATTGCTATAAGCCAGAGTGGAAGCTTACACATTGCCGACGTAGAAAAGTAAAAATGGCTAATGCAATGCCAAAATATTCATAGAATGAAGCTCATCAGCAGCCTGACAAAAGACAAAAACTAAGGGCTCACCTCCGCTAAATTTCTTCGTTAGCAATGAAAAAAATTATATTATAGGAAATGGATTGTAGGGGTTTCTTGTGCGGTGTTGACTCAAATTTATATAGGCAATCTTCTAGATGGAAGTTGAAAAAGGTTGCTCTGGAGGTTGCCTTTTTGCAAAGGAAAGGTGTTTATGTTTATAAAATTCAAATTTTTGGAAAGTGATTGATGTCATATTGGCCAGGTCTAGTTGGATGAACTGTGGGCATAATGTATTGAACCAACACATGCATGTTGTTGGAAATTAAACTGATCTCACCCACTCAGACCAAAAAAACCAATCTCACGCCCAACTGTTTGGTTTACTGTCTTATCAATCCACCACCAGTTTAAAATTCTAGAAATTTCTATTCATCTTCTGTACACTTCAGTTGTTTCCTATTGTTGAGGTTGATTGTTGTCTTTTGGGTTTCCTAGGCAAGTGGAGTGCCGTCCAACACGGAAATTTTTAATGAAACCAAGGAAGAGAGGCCTCTATGTACCCTATGGTTGTTTGTCAAATCTTTATTTTTCCCGTCAATTGTTACTAATGCATCTGTACTTGACAATTGGACATTTTGAGTTACGATGCAGCAAATCGTAAGTAATATAAGAAATTCAACAATTCTATTATTTGTTTAGATTTTAACCATCAAAGTTACAAATACTTTATAACCTTGGAAATTTGGATTAACCAGAGTAAACACCCCAAATTATGCGGGCAATTACAAACTCATACTCAATTTTTATTGACTCATTTGACCAGTACACAAACTTTACAACACCTTTCAAAACACCCTCTATTACCCAATTTGTTAGTAGATCCGTTAAATGTTGACATGGCAACTGTAAATTCTATTTTTTATGCTACACATGAGAAAAAAAAAAAAAAAGTATAAAAAAAAAAAATATTAAAAACTAAACCTACAAGCCCCACAAACTGCCAGTCACTCCCACCAACGCACCCCCAGCAACCAGTTCTCTACCCCCATCTGAAACATCCACGACAAATGCTACCCTCATCCCAGCCACCACATGAACGTACCTACCAACCTCGCCTGCCCTCATGCCCACCGACCCATCGTAACTCTCAGTCTCAATCTCAATCTCTATTTCTCTCTCTAGTACCAAGAGAGACAAAACCCATATTTAAACGAGTGAGACAAAAATTACGAAACCTAAAGTCATCCCTTTCTTCCTTGCCGACTCCTTGCAATTCAGAGAGCTGTTAGAAATGTGCCCTAAAAGCCAATACATTTGATGTAATTAATCCCCTCAGAATACATTTCGTATATGATAAATAAAGGCCAAGTTTATTTGGTTCACTAGTAAAAAAAACTCATTGCGCGACGAAAAACTATTCGTTGCTCAATGTCACTTTGCGCGACAAAACTAAAAAATTTGTGGCTCAAAGTCTTGCGCGACTAAAAAAATTCGTCGCGCAAAGTCACTTTGCACGACAAACTTTTGTGCGACGACAATACTTCGTCGCTCAAAGTCTTGCGTGACCAAACTTTGCGCGACGAAAAACAATTTGTCGCGCAAAGTCACTTTGTGCGACAATACTTCGTCGCTCAAAATCTTGGGCGACCAAACTTTGCGCGACGAAAAATAATTAATCAGACAAAGTGACTTTGTGCGACGACAATACATCGTATCTCAAAGTGACTTTTCGTGACGAAACAATAAACTTCATTGCACAAAGTCTTTAGCGACGAAGTATGTTTCGTCACACAAAGTTTTTACAAAAATAAATAAAATAAACAAATTGTTTTTTTAAATCTTTGCATGATGTAATCCAAATATTTCGTCGCCTAAACCAATTTATTTTTGTTTTTTATTTTGTATGCATTAAGTAGCTTTAAATTTATTCTTTTAGTTTACATCGGATTTTTGTTAGAAAAATATATTATTGTAGTTCATATTTGGCTTTTGTTAGAAAATATATATTTTAAATTGATGAACGACTTAGTTCATTGTATTAATATAGGGTTAAGGAGTGTAGCTGTAAAAAATCATCAAAATCGGAGTTAACATAACCATTAAATCGTGATTTTTCATTTATAACCGTCGAAAAGTTTTGTTCAATTACTTGATCTCTGAATGTTTATTTTTTCCGATTTTTGGCGTATATGATCTCGAAGTATAAACAAACAAGTTTGACGGTTGGATCGTTGAAACTAGTTTTGTAGAATGTGTATGCCATCAAAACAATATATTCACCAACAATTAAGAGTTTGTTTAACTTTCATTAAATATAACATAAGATTTTGTGGTTTCCACTAGTGTAAATATTTTAAATTGAAGATCAAATTTAGTCATTGTATTCATATAGGGTCAAGGAGTGTAGCTATAAAAAATCATCAAAATCGGAGTTAAAATAACCGTTAAATCATAATTTTTCATTTATAACCGTTGAAAAGTTTTGTCCCGTTACTTGATCTCTGAATGTTTATGTTTTTTAATTTTTGGCGTATATGATCTCGAAGTATAAACAAACAAGTTTGACGGTTGGATCATGGAAACTAGTTTCGTAGAATGCATATGCCATCAAAACAATATATTCACTAACAATTAAGAGTTTATTTATACTTTCGTTAAATATAACATAAGATTTTGTGGTATTCACTAGTGTAAATATTTTAAATTGAAGATCAAATTCAGTCATTGTATTCATATAGGGTCAATGAGTGTAGCTGTAAAAAATCATCAAAATAAGAGTTAAAATAACCGTTAAATCGTAATTTTTCATTTATAACCGTTGAAAAGTTTTGTCTCGTTACTTGAGCTCTGTTTATTTATTTTTTTTTTTTTTTTTTTTTTTTTTTTTTTTTGGCATATGGATCTCGAAGTATAAACAAACAAGTTTGATGGTTGGATCGTTGAAACTAGTGTCGTAGAATGCGTATGCCATCAAAACAATATATTCACTAACAATTAAGAGTTTATTTATACTTTCGTTAAATATAACATAAGATTTTGTGGTATCCACTAGTGTAAATATTTTAAATTGAAGATCAAATTCTGTCATTCTATTCATATAGGGTCAAGGAGTGTAGCTGTAAAAAATCATCAAAATCGGAGTTAAAATTACCGTTAAATCATGATTTTTCATTTATAATCGTTGAAAAGTTTTGTCCCATTACTAGATCTCTGAATATTTGTTTTTTGTGATTTTTGGGGCATACGATGTTGAAGTATATACAAACAAATTTGACAGTTGGATCATTGAATGGTGTGTGTATATATATATTTATTTATTAAGTAGCTTTAAATTTATTTATTTTGTACGTATAACACTTAAGAAATTGAATAGTATATATATTTATTAAGTAGCTTTAACCTAATTTATATTTTAAATCATAAAATAAATTATTTTCTTTTTTATTATTCATAACAATTATTTTTATAAATATTGTGCTACGAACCAATTTTTCGTCTCTCAAAAGTTTGCGCGACCAACAGTTCGTCACGCAAAATTCTAAAAATTTGGGCGAGTACAAAAAATGGGATGCGAGATTTTTTATTTATTTAAAAATTTAGACTTTACGTAGCTAATATTTTTTGTCACGCAAAAATTTAGGCAGGTACCAAAAAAGGGACACGGGAATTTTTTTAGATAATTTTTTTAGACTTTGTGCGACAAATATGTATTTTTCGTCGCGCAAAAATTTAAAAATTTGGGCGGGTACCAAAAATGAGACGCGGGAATTTTTTATTTTATTTTTAATAATTGTTTTTAGACTTTGCGCGACCAATATATATTTTTCATCATGCAAAAATTTGGGCGGGTACTAAAAATGGGACGGGGAATTTTTGTATATAATTTTTTTAGACTTTTCGCGACCAATATGTATTTTTCGTCGCGCAAAAATTTAAAAATTTGGGCGGGTACCAAAAATGAGACGCGTACCAAAAATGAGACACGTGAATTTTTATTTTATTTTATAATTTTTTTAAGACTTTGCGCGACCAATATTCCAGTATTCATCGCGCAAAACTTTGTGCGACCAATATTTTTCGTCGCACAAAACTTTGTGCGACCAACAATATTTTTCATCGCGCAAAGTGGTACTGTTTTTAAAACCAAAATAACTCCTCCACCATTTTCTCAATGTCTTTCTCTACTCTTACCTCTCCTCTCTCTTTCCCTCTCCCCAAATCCCACCTTTTCTCTCACACTCACTCCTCTCACTTAATCTCTCATCTCTCTCATCACTATCTCTCACTCACTCTCTCTCTCATCTCTCTTTTCACGATCTCTCACTCACTCACTCTCTCATCTCTCTCTCACTATCTTCTCTAATTCTCTCACACTCACTTCTCCCTCTCATTCTCATTCACTCTCAATCTTGCCAAAATGTATATTCTCTCCAAATTTTAAATTTTTTTCATTAATATGTGTTTTTGGAGTTAGTTTTGAGTTTGTGTGGGGTTTGGGGTTGAGTATAGGGTAAGGATTGGAGTTTGGGTTGGATTTGTGGTATAACAATTTTAGGGGAGATTATGCCAATTTTTTTATTTAATTTTTTTGTTATTTGACCTTTTTTTTTTTGTGTGTAGGGAATCATCGAGACTTTGACGGCTAAAGTTGAGGATTAGGAAG